GGCGCAGAGCGAAGCTCTGCGCCACGCGACGCGCCTTCTAATTTATCGATATTTATCTAAATATCTCGAGTTTTATTAAATAATATCGGTAGCATACACGGATAATTTACTTTATGTAAAAGATAAATTCGTAATTGGGACCAAAAAAAAAAAAAATTAAACCAATCGGATTTAAAGTTCGTCGCTTCGTTTCGATGCGATTCGAAGCGACGCGTAAAGACGACTAGTGTTTAAGAGATATTTACGTTATTCTAGAATTAAAATACAACCCGTAGTATATTTTTTCGTTATTTTAAAGGCTATTTACATTATTTAATTGGCAAACAACCGAAACGGAATTTAAATTAACGGTAGAATTTACGGATCGGGGAGGTCGCGACGCGTTTTTCCAAGCGACGTCGGATTATTGTGTTTTCCTTTAAAATTTCTTATATTTTTCATTATTCTTTCCGATTTTATATCTATATTACACATCGTTTTAGTATGGAATAAAGGTAGAAACCCAATTCTGTAGTAAATGGGATAGGAATTTCATACAACTCCCTTCAAGGCGGAAGGGTGGAAGAGATTGGCGAAGTGTTTAAAAGGGAGTACGAACTATCTACAAAATAAAATTGAGAACACTACTAGCGCCTTTAAAAAATCTATAAATAATAGAGAAGGAACGTGTTTCTTTAGCCACACGCTTTAAAAAATAGGAATTTATCAGGAAGACAGCGAGCGTTGTACCTCTAACTGACCATCACGGTGGCACAGATTCTTTGTTCATAAAGGGAAGAGAGAGAGAGAGAGAGAGATTTCTATCCTTAATAATCATGCACGTAGCTTGGCTCTGGATGTTCGGATGTCTGGTCTTTTGGTTTCTTTTGGGGAGGACTTTAGGAAGAAGGAACCCTTCAGCTTATTACAGAAAGCTTCCGGCACCCGAAGATAATCACTTCTTTCTTTACTTCAAGTGGTTAATTTCCGTATGGCACTCTTCTACCAACTACAAAATCGGTGAGTCTTTTAAGTTTTGTACGTAAACGTGAAGAGTTGAGGGAAAACTCTCGATTATCCGGTGTCTACGGTACAATTTTGGGGGATTAGATTGGTCGTATTCAGCAACGTAACACGTGGGTGACTTTCAGAGAGGGGTGAAGTCTTTGTATGGTAAACTGGCCCCTAAATACATGTTACAAACGTAAAGAAAATCCGGAAAACTCCACGTTAGTTAGGTGCGAACCCGCGACCACTCACTCGGCAGCAATATCAGAGGTGTATCGTTAAAGATCGACAAGAAATCGATTATTCGGTGTTGATTTATGTTATATTTATCACGAATAATCCAAAGCTCGTCGTGCTTCGTTTAAAATAATACAGGGTGGGAAAGAAAGTCACTTAACACCCCTATTACAGAATATAAAATGCATCCAAAGTTAATTCGCTGGTGTCAGGAACACGTAACACCAAGGGAGAAACAGATTGATGTGCGGCCGCCATCTTGACGGCGGCCATATTGAATAGAATTCCGATACTGTAATTGGGAAATGGGTCGCGTAACACGTCATTTAGGGTGGGAATTTCATTTCTGTAGTAGGGGTTTGTTAAGGGATTTACTTTTACACACTTTACTTTTAAATTCGAACTGGATCTATAACAAACCGAACGTACTCGAGAGGAAGGATCGATACGCTCTGTTATTTTACAAATAATATAATTATCGAATAAAGAATCTACCATTAAANCAACTTTTATTGTTTCTAAACTTCGTTTAAACTTCGTTTAAACTTCGTTCCTAAACTTTGTTTGCGATATCCTATTAAAATAATACTAACATCGTTACATTAACTTAATTTATGCCTTTTATGTGTAATCTATAACAAACCGAACGTACTCGAGAGGAAGGATCGATACGCTCTGTTATTTTACAAATAATATAATTATCGAATAAAGAATCTACCATTAAAGTAGCAAAAGTATCGGATTTTTTCGTCAGAAAATTACACATTTAACAGCTATTCTTCTCCAAGGAATGCTTTGACCTAAAATATTTCACGCATCAGTTTTGAAGGTTTTACTTCGCTTTAAGTTCAATGTCTTTCCTTCTTCTCTCCTCCCCCGAAACCAATTTAAAAAAAAAGGATAATATAGTTTATTATCTTGTTTTACGAGTTCAATATGTCTTTCTTTTTGAATGTCCCAAAAATAATGTTAAACTAACGGGCATCGTTGGCATATAAAATGAAAGAAAATTTTTCTAATCTGTCAGCGAGTTGTCTAACTTTCCCGGCCAAACACATTAAAAAATACCGTCGGATTCGTCTTAATTTTGATCGTAATTTAAGCAAAAAACTTTGGCATTTTTCTTCATAAAAAAATGATACAAAATGTCAGTTTTTCTTAATAGACAATTCTTCTTTCTCATTTTCTTTTCTTTTTAAATAGTTTTTCCATTCGAATGTATTCTACATTTTTTCTTTTTCTATTATTTTTCAGTCGATGGTCTAACTGTGCGGTAAAGCTACAGATTTATATAAGAGAAATGGGAGCTTATTTCTCAATTTTCTACGTGAATCTCACACGAGGTTCATCGATCACCCTTCTTTATTACGCCATTCGATCTCCCTTCCGGCACTTTTTTACTTTAGTTTTATATTCTTTGTCTTCTTTTAAACGTGACTTTTAAATTGCATCCAATAAAAAAAAGAAAATCTATTGTATTATCGAAGTCAGAAAAGGTATAAATTGCATCAATTAAACCAACGAAATCACTAGAAAAAAACAATGATATTTAGCTTACGACGGTTAGAAACTAAATACCTGTTTTATATATTAACTTGTTAGACCCATACCTTTATATTTCCTTAGCCAAAGAAATATAGAAGCGAGTTCCAACCCCACTCGAGATACGACGCGTGATCCCCTCTAATTCTTCACCCCTTCGATATTTAACTACCAAAATTTAGTATAACACGCAAACATCTCTGCAAAATTTCAGAGATTTTCGGCAAAAGGAACAGGATTTATTAAGCTTAAAAGTGGGTGAAGAAATGCGTGCCACTCCCACTCACACACACAGACATTCGTATATGCAGGAAAATCCCTTCGAATTTCTTTGTATTTTTCGACGTTTCGAGGTCCTTTTAGTCCAGAAATGTAAAGAAACTTGGTGGGAGATCATTTTTTTGACCGATGGTCGTACTTTCCCCCTGTATAACTTCCATATTACAGCCGGGAAAGTAAGAGTTTAAGAGTTATAACGTATACCTCACGTAAATAAGGCTATTCGTTTAGAGGAGACTTTTACTTGCATAAATCTTCTATTGTATAATGGAACCTAAATAGCTATAACGTTAAACGTGCGTTAATTAATCGGAAACGGGTTTTCTCCACGTCAATAACACCTAAATAGGGTCCTTTTTCTCATAGAAAATCCTCACTGGAGGCATTGCCAAATATCGCTGCTTCTCTATACACTGTATTAACCAAACACTTAAAACAATTTCATTAATTTAAAGGGCCTTACGAGGCTTTAATTAAAGCTGTTAACGTGGAGGGCCGAAGAACAATTAGATAGCAACCAACCGCTATAAGGGAATCCAAATCCACACACGGTACCACCTCGTTCCTTGTTGAATCTTACCAAATCTTGAGCGTTTTTATCTATTAAAAAATCTGTAAATCTTTAATTTGTCTTATAATATATTTTTCTATCTAAATTTGGCAGCCACCTTTCGTATAATAGAAGAATTAGTATCCCTTTTTAAGGATCACGGAATGATTCAATACAGATTTGGAAAATTGGCCAGTTACGTTATGCTCTTTCATCACAAAACCGTACAAGTGAGTAAATTTTGTACAGGAAAACCCTTCCCTTTAATGTATTTCTCGGTTATTAATTTAATTTATGGACTTATTTTTCCACACAGCCAATTCTAGAAAATGGCAACAACATCAATAAAGCCGGTTTCTACAATTTCTTCAAGCCGTGGTTAGGAAGTGGACTTTTACTCAATTCGGGAGAAAAATGGAGAAAGAGAAGAAAACTATTGACACCAGCTTTTCATTTTTGCATCTTGGAGAACTTTCTACCCATTATGGACGAGCAATCACGTCTTCTAGTCGAACGCCTCGAGCAATGTCGAGAAGAAGAATGGATCGATATCGTTCCATACATTGCTCAATGTGCCCTGAATACCATTTGCGGTACGTTTAGTTGTTTTCACTCACGTTTTTACTTTAAATATTCCACTCAATAGATGGAATCTTTCAGAAACCGCAATGGGAATTCCAGCCAAAACTCATATTTCAAGAGGTTCCCATTATTTCGAATCGATGAAGATGTAAGTTATTGTATTTCAAGCATTACAAAGAAATATAATAGAAAGGTTGCGGCCGAAGTTTTCGTCTGTAAAACGTGAACGTCGAACGTCGAGCGCCTCGTACGAGATAACGGCGCTCCACGTTCGACGTTCACGTTTTAAAGATGAAAACTTCGGCTGCAACCTCGCTAATAACAAAGAGTTTTACATTTTTAGACTCGGGGTCCCATGAAATACCGAGAAATGCAAAGAAATTTCGGGTTTGTTCAGTATTTTAGCGTATGTGTGTGTGGGGAGGGCGATTATGTTCAGCCATTTTGAAGCCTTATAACTCCTGTGTTTTTTATCGAAATTTTCTGAAATTTTGTAGGGTGGTACGTGTATTAGTGGCATTGATGCTATTAAATTTTGGTAGTTAAAGGTGAACGTGGTGAAGAAATAGAGTGGGACCATCTAATAATGCATCCTGTATATTTAAAGAAAACAAATATATTCATTCTATTTCTTCAAATCTAATCGATCTATATTATGTGTGTCACTCTTGTATACTTTTAAAAATTACTAAATGTAATTTTAATCCGACAAAACAATTTGAAAATGTCGTTAAACAGGCGGCTTCTTGTTTTAGCAATTTATGTCGGGTGTTATTCCCGACACGTTTGTTCGAGTAAACATTGTCTACGTTGTATTTTCTAGGTAACTCGGTATACATTGCTGTTACGTTGCAAAGGGAGACATTTCTCACTATTTTTCTTTCACTGGACGGATTACTTTTCCAATTCGCTCTTTCCACTGATCTAATTTACAACTTTTATTGTTTCTAAACGTCGTCTAAACTTCGTTTAAACTTCGTTTCTAAACTTTGTTTGTGATATCCTATTAAAATAATACTAACATCGTTACATTAACTTAATTAATGCCTTTTATGTGTAACTGGCCCTTATTTAAGTGTTACAAATGTGAAGAAAATTCGGTGGTGAGGTTGGAATCCACGATCTCCCCTACGCTGGTGTTATACTGGTGGGCATGGAATATCTTGAAGTACAAGTCGACACCCCCTATAACACTATTGATAATTCCGTTTTATGTGAATTCCATGTTGTACGAGTCACTTAGATTTTACGAATACGTGTGCGAAGCTGTGAACGGCTCACGTATTTGTAAAATCTAACTGACTCGTACAACATGGATTTCATATAAAACGGAATTATCAATAGTGTTATAAGGGGGGTTGACTGGTATGCACGTTGTAATTTCTTTAATTTTATAATTTAGAACGATTAATTATAGTATAATTTTCAGAAATATTCGAAATTCGAGGATATATTTCAAAGATATTCTAAGAAATCGAACGAATGTAGTCTAGCTTCTGGCTAAATTTAGTTCGATATAAGATTCTTCTTTCAGAAAGTTTATTCTTTATCGATTCCTTCTATTTTCTAGAAAAATCTTGAAAAATTCTTGTCACAAACTTCTTCGAGTATTGGTTAAAGAAAAAGGAAAATATAAACGTAATTAAAATGGAAATTTACCGAGGTTGAGACCGAAGTTTTCAACGCAAAACGTGTACGTCGGACGTTCAGCGCCGCCTTTCTACAAGCCTAGAAGTTTGACAATGACGTTTGTGACGTTCCGAACGCCATTTTTAAACTTCTGGCTTACAGGAAGGCAGCGATAAACGTCCGACGTACACGTTTACGCGTTGAAAACTTCGGCCTCAACCTCTCTATAAAACTGCAAGATTTGACCTTAGATACTTTGTTACATTTATTGACGATTTTTAAAAAAATTTTCGCCTTTTATTACTTGTATTTTAAACAAATGAAATACTAGAGAAGTGTATAAATTAATCGAACAGGGTGTGCGAGACTATACTACAACGAGTTTTCCACATTTGGACTTGGTGCGACTTCATCTTCTACCTGACTCCTAAAGGTTTAGAATTTAAAAGAAATTTAAAAGTAATGAACGACTTTATAAAGCAGGTAACTTTATGAATTAGCGTGTAAGTGGATGGAAGTTTTCCCCTCCCCCTACGAAAAGAATTGAAATTTTTCTCTCTAAAAGGTCATAGAAGAACGTAAAACTACTTTAGAGAAGAACAGAGAGAAATCTGTTGAAGTGCGTGACGAAGATAACGATATTTTCTTCAGAAAGAAGAGCAGGAAACCTTTTCTAGATATTATACTCGACTGTTATTTTAACGATCCGGAATTCACGTTAGAAGACGTGAGGCAAGAAGTTCATGTTTTCATGTTTGGGGTAATTTGTTTCTCTTAAATTTATAACGAACATAAAAGTGAATAATAAAAACTCTTCGGGGATTCAGATAAACGTTAAACTTATAACAAACTTTCTCTGTTTTCAAAGACTTTGCACGCAGGGGTTTTTGAAAAAATAATAATAAAAGAAGTAACGTGTATACTAATAATTCCGTTTTATATGAATTCCGTGTTGTACGAGTCACTTAGATTTTACAAATACGTGTGCCGGGCTGTGAACGGCTCACGTATTTATAAAATCTAAGTGACTCGTACAACATGGAATTCATATAAAACGGAATAATCAACAGTGTTATAGGGAGNTTTTCTTTACAACTTGGTAATTTCTCTCTGTCGAAATCACCCGTTCGCTTCGCGGTTATAAAAAGTAAGGAGTCAAAAAATAGATTAACATTTATTTGGTAGCAATATACAGTATATACATTATAAAAGGGGCGTCGGATGGATTTGAAGTTACAACTGTCTTCATGTGTTTTTCGATTGTCTCCTCGAAGAATTTCTGGGCATCCGTGCATCTGACAGGAGCATGGTCGTAGCTATCTGTTCGACGACTAAACTGCGAATAATTCCCAAGGTATGGCAGGTAGAAATTCTGGGACGGCATTGAGAACAAACTATGTGTCCGTTGGTACATTGGTACACGGGTGGCTGCACCAGATTATAGCAGATGGGACAGCGTAACAAGCAGGTTAGGATAGAATCGGATGGAGTCGAGCGAGTCTGTAAATGAGAGAGATGTAGGTGTTATTTCTTAAAAGAATGATTGATTTTTTTTTGTTATTATTAATAGCGAGGTTGCGGCCGAAGTTTTCATCGCTGAAACGTGAACTCCGAACGACGAGCGCCGCTTACAAGATAGCGGCGCTCGACGTTCACGTTTGAGCGATGAAAACTTCGGCCGCGACTTCGCTAATAAACTTATATTCTTCTTTCATCTTTATTTCTATAATTAAAGGAGAGTTTAAGATTATATCCTCCGGCACCCACCACCGGAAGGACCCTGAGTGAAGACGTGGAATGCGGTAATATTTGCTTTTATCTTCTTTAGAAATTGTCGAATTATAATTAGTAATTCTTCTCCTCTTAATATTTATAAATTAAATTAATTAAAATCAATGAATGAATTACATCATTCTATAAGATATATCAACTGAATTTAGTGTTATTTAAGTGCTGACTTCCGCTTCCGGCAGAGAGTTAATAATAATTCGATTGTCAGCAATTTCTGGAATTTTTAATTTACTAGTTTATAAAGAATTCTGAATGAGAAATAAAGGGGGGGAAGTAATGAATTTCGTATTCTGTAGATGGATATCGAATTCCTAAAGGGACGAACTGCGTGGTACTTATCTACTTCCTGCATCGTAACCCGGAAGTGTTTCCCAATCCGGAAGTTTTCGATCCGGACAGGTTCTTACCCGAAAATTGTGCCGGAAGACATCCTTACGCCTTCATCCCCTTCTCTGCAGGTCCTAGAAATTGTATAGGTGAGTCGAGTGGTGTGCTTTTGAGTTAGGAAGATCGATATCGTAACCTCCTTTTAAAGTAAATTTTTCTTTTATTTAACTAATTCAAGATGACTGTAAATATTTAAAATTCATTTCAACATCTTAATTTTCTTTTTATTAAGTTTTTCTTACTTATTTGCTGTGTAATTATTGAATACAGCGGTATCAAAGTGGTGCTAGTTTCTATTGTAATCACATACCGGATGGGTTTATTCGTGTAGAGAGAGATAAATATTTAACTTTTTACTTTTAAATCTTTCAATATGGCTAACAAAATGATACGTAAATCAATTATAAGGTGACAGTACCAAATTTATCGCTGTATTTATGATACAATAGTACGACACCCGTATACTACGTTTATGACTGATACTCCTTCTGGATTATCATTATGGCACTATATTGTTCTCATTTTTATTCTACCATGGGCATTAGCATCCCATTTTTCCGTATGTATCGCGGATTCGGTCGGGCCTACAATGGAGGCGGTGTTGAAGGAAGGGCACGAGAAAGATCACTCATAAACTCATCCTAAATCCCCCAGAAAGATAGACTAATTCTTTAATAGCCTTGTATTTCAAACCTTGTATTATGTACAGACGAATCTAAACTCAATTTACCCGCCTAAACTGTCCGTAGCGTGGCGCTGGACGGCGGAAAAATAGTTCGGCTGCCCGATGACGTTTTACGTAATTATAGGAGTTTTTTTTACCGTTGTGTACGGATACCGCCACAATTTTTTCGCCGTCTTATAGGAATCGTAATTATAGGAACCAGTCTTATAAAGGGATTTACTGTATTTACAAATTTTTATTCGTTTTAGGACAGAAATTTGCAATTATGGAAGAGAAAACAGTTTTGGCTAATGTCATGAGAAATTTCCATGTCGAATCCTTAGACGAGACGGTGCAACCCGTTTTGAGTGTCATTCTTAGACCTTATGGTCCCATTAGAATCCGAATTAAACCAAGGAAAAGGATAGAAGAACATTAATGTTTTACATAGAGAAAATTTGAAGTAATCTCAAAAGAATTGATTCTACAGACTATCGATCTCGGTGTAATTCTTCCAGCTCATTGAACCTATACGGAATCAATAATGTAGTTTCTACAACAAATCAATCTATTGTCCTGATTGAAAAGACTCGTGGTAGAAACATTAAAATTGCATTGGCATAACGCGTAATTTCTTTGTAACCCTATCTTATATTTCAAATAACCAACATAAGAAAGATACATTTTAATTTCTATGTAATTTATTACACTAAATCAATATTAAATTACAATAGGCTTCAACAGGATTCAATTGTATATTGCGCGTAACAAAACACGGAATGTTACGTGATATTCTTAATTGTATATCGATTGCGTTGAGTTATAATACGAGTTCTGTACAGTTTTATATTAATTTTTAATAAAAAAAAAATAACTTTAAATTTGAACGTTGTATTTCTCTACACAAGATACAAACGTTAGTTTTTAACGTTACTATGATATAGACAAGGGGGTGGTCAAACTTTGCCACGATAGGAGCCATCAGTAATACGCGAGACAAGCATCCTGCATTAGAACTATATATAACCTATAAACTATGGGTGTGTGGTGTGTATATATTTGTATACTGGACGTTAAGGGTGACCCGCAATAAGGGTCTAGAAAAGCTGCAAGCGGTTTGGCCACCTTGGATACAGACAATTGTATTGTTAATGAGCAGATTAACCGAATATTGAAATACTAACTTTTGTGTGGAGTCATCTGTTATGAAATATTATTAAAAATAACTTTTATATTATTAATTAATACAAAATAAGCAAAATGGCTTAATTTTGAGGGTAGACACAAGCTTTTTTTTTAAAAAAAATTGTGAGGATAATAACGAGTTTCCCGGAATTTCCAGTGTTTTATAATAACACCCGGAAAAGTGGATTGAAAGAGTTTTTAAAGTCCTCCCGTGGCAACCCTATGTAGAATACATTACGTTAATTGGGAAACATAATAGATACGTTTAATTTTAAGTGTATTAAAGGACTTCTCGTGTTTTATATCGATAATAAAATTCAATTTGTGGTGAAATTATAATTCAATTTCCGTCCGGTTAATCGCTTAACACGTCTCCACGTCTGGGCATTAGTTTAATTCTGATCTTTCTTTCGGGGTGGCTGACGACTTTGATAGAAACCGGTACCGATTCGTCCAAAGAACGTAAATTAAAACATCTAACGATGTTGGAAAGTAAAATTTTCATTTCCATCATGGCGAATTTCTGTCCTAAAAGAAAAATAAATGTAGCCATTAATTTTAAATACCAGATTTTTCCAGTAACATTTTCAACGTTTCTACAAATTTATTCGTGTTTTTACATTCGAAAAGACCAAGAGAAGGAGGAAAAAAGAAAGAAGAAACGTCGGGGCATTAAACACGATATCTCTTTAATGAGTGTATTACGAGAAATATTAATCTCTCTTTGAAAGTAGTTTATCGCCAAAATATTTTTACGGTCTCTCGTCATCTAACTTATACAGATTAGCATCGTTGTAGTTCATAAAAAGCATTTTAAATACATATAATTTCAAATATATCTCGAGAGCTTTTTTATAAAGAATTGATAACGTCTTCAAAAGAATCTTAAGAAACTGTACTGTATTTAAACGAAGTACAGAGGATACGCTTTGTACACGTACTAAATGTTCTATTACTTTACAAGCTGCTATATAATAGAGAGAAATTATAGATATTTTTACATTGTTTCAATGTGGTACAAGTAGACCCCCCCTATAACACTGTTGATAATTCCGTGTTATATGAATTCCATGTTGTACGAGTCACTTATATTTTACAAATACGTGTGCCGGGCTATGAACGGTTCACGTATTTGTAAAATTTAAGTGACTCGTACAACATGGAATTCATATAAGACGGAATTATCAACAGTGTTATAGGGGGTATACTTGTACTTTAAAATGTCGAGGTGTGTGTTTAGGACACGATTTTTTTTTTTTAACCCAATTTAAATGTTAATAAATCCTGTGCCTTTTGCCGAAAATTTATGAAATTTTGCAGGGAGGTTTGGTTATTAGGGCCATAGATGCTATTAAATTTTAGTGGTTAAAGGTCGAGGGGGTGAAGAGAGGTGTCGGATTTAATAAAGATATTACTCGTTATTATCATTTATAACTTTTTAAAATATTATTTATAGAAAATCTTATAATATTTTAAGAAAATTCAAATGAAAACAGCAAACAGCAATGCTTACCTATGCAATTTCTAGGTCCTGCAGAAAATGGAATGTAAGAATAGGGAATGATTTTCGTAATGTTTTCTGGAAGAAATCGATCTGGATCGAAAACTTTCGGATTTGGAAATAATTTCGGATTTTTGTGCATAAAATATATAGGAATTATACACATGGATCCTCTTGATATTTTATAATTATCTAAAAATATAATATAATATAAATACATTAAAAAAAAAAACGAGAATAATTGAGTAGGAAAACATCACTACACTTTGTACTGTTAAAATATTTTATATTTCTCGAGTCTGCAATGCAAGAGGAAAGAGAAAAACAGAAGAAAACCAAAGCCAAACAATGCCATCATCCTACTGGAACACCCATTTATTTTCATTTCAATTGATATTGGCTTAAAGGAAAAACTTACCTACAACAATATCTTTCGTTAAGTTTCTGGTCAGTAAAGGAACCGTTGGATATAATCGAAGAGTTTCCTGAAGAAAAAAAAAAAAATCTATATTATCTTACCAATATTCATCCCTTTATGGAAGAGTTAGGAATTTGTATATCTCACTCTAATCACAGCCTCTAAATATTTCATCCTTTGCATATCTTCTTTAGTGATGTGTCGAGACCAATCATTCCCAATTACATCCTCAACTTCTTTTCGAACTTTATCTTGAACGTTTAAATGCTTACCCAGCAAATATAATGTCCACGATATAGTAACTGATGTAGTGTCGTGTCCCTTTAGCAGCAACCTTTTTTTGTTTTCATTTATTGCCAATTATTCGGGACAGAATATAAAGTTTACTTACCCCAAATAAAAATAATTGAACTTCTTTACAAGCATCCTCTATAGTAAAATTAGAATCTCTCTTTAAATAATCTAAAAGTAGATCCAAAAATGCTAATTTCTTCACCCTTTTCTCTTTTATATTTTCTGTAGAATTTTCTCTACTTCGTTTTAACTTGTTTTCGATTATCTAAAAATATTTAAAGTCTTATTTACAGTAAATTCTCTTTGATACAAGTGTAGACTCCCCCCCTATAACACTGTTGATAATTCCGTGTTATATGAATTCCGTGTTGTACGAATCACTTATATGTGAGCCGTTTACAGCCATGCACACGTATTTGTAAAATCTAAGTGGCTCGTACAACACGGAATTCATATAACACGGAATTATCAACAGTGTTATAGGGGGGGTCTAATGTATTTACAGAAATTGATACGAACCTTATCAGTTATTTCTTTCAAAATCTTTATGTTTTTCGATAATTCTCTTCTGTTCTTAGTTAAATGGAATATGTACTTCGACCACAAATATGGCTGCCAAGCTCTCATTTGAATAATATTACAAATTCTAGATGAATTTTTCTATATTTTAATCCTTCGAAAATTATATGATTCTATAAAAAGACACGTTAAAACTTACCTGGATAATGATCTTTGGTACTGAGAATAATCATAATCGTATGTATTTCCTTCGATACCCATTGCAGTTTCTTAAGTTTAAAATAAAAAAATAATAATAATAATAAATAAATCATTTTATAATGATTATTTAATATATATTTTAAGTATTTACCGCATATAATATCCATAACAGAACGAGTAACGAAGGGCACAATATCAATCCATTCTTCTTTTTGGTAATTCTTCAATGTCTTTATTAACATTTCGGAATGTTTTTCCATAATTGGGAGAAAATTTTCCAAGATTTGAAAATGAAATGCGGGTGTTAATAATTTTCTTCGTTGCTTCCATTCTTCTCCATCCCTTAAATTAAAAAAAAATCCATTAAACTATAGAATTATAACGTCTTCAAAAACACCTAGACCCACCAGTGTCCAAGAGGTATTCGTACCCCAAACACTGGGTTCGCGCCTCGCTCGAATGAGCTGGCCACGTGGAGTTTTTCGGGTATTCTCCACCTCTGTAACGCCCAAATAGGGGCCATTTTCCCTTAAAAAGACCACCCTGAAAGGTTGCGTTGCCATAAATTAACAAACAAACAAAAACACCTAAAATTTGAAATCGTATTGTCTTGAAACCGATACGTTATATTAAAAAATGTGACAATACAGATCCGTATAATTGTAGATTAATTATATTTCGGGTTGGTTCGAAATATAGGGTACTATTAAGGAACAAAATTGTAGGGGTACCACATCCACAGCATTAATTAAGGGTCCTTAACTAATGCTGTGGTTCAAAAACACAAGGATTGACCCGTAATTCAATGATAATTACGTGTATGTGTATTCTATTTTGTTCAATATCTCAAAATTGAGCGAAGATTAAGGAACAAAATTTGGCATACTTCTTCAATTGTTCATGGTGCACTTTAACTTACCTCAACAATAGCGATGAACTCAGCCATTCTTCCATAAAACTATAAATCACCGATCTGCAGTTATTTTCCGTATTTCCCAACAGAACCTAAAGATATACTTTTAAGAAAAAATAGAACCATTCCAAGAAATTATTACGAATTAAAATCTTACTTTTACGAGATCCGGACGATAAAGGAAAACAACTCTAGAGAAAGGCAGATTGAGAAGACATATTCCACTCTTCCGATGGATTTTTAAGAGTAAATTTAGGTAATTTAACACACCTAAATGATTAAATAAACAGTATAAATCACTCTACTCTAGGTATAAACCTGAAGATTTTCTTGAAAATTCTTACTCTCTGTAGAAAGTCGTCCAGTAGCAATCAAGGAATAAAGAAATTTTAAATAGTATAAGAAGTGATTTTCTCCCCTTCCCGGTATCTTATCGTACGTCGAATTTCTTCCATACAATGTATTTATAAAGAGAATAACAATTGGAACCAGTAAAATTAAAGAAATCACAATAAAAAATGGCGTAGAAGTCCACCAAGTCTGTGTTTCTGGTATGGACATGTCTTATACTTTTGAATAGAAAACTCTCCTTAATTTTAACTTTATAAAGGAAATAAACTTTTAGTATTATTGTTTTTATTACTTAAAACATTGCGAAATATAAATAAAACTGTGTCAATCTTATACAATGAAGCTGAGAGGTATAACATCCTTACACAGGAACTTGCATCACCATTTTAAATTTATAAATATAATACTATTGTTCTATGAAATTCGATAAAAAATAAAAGAAATTAAATTCATTTCTTATCGATTTCATTATAGTACTTAAGTGAGATCCATGGAGTACTTATGGGGGTGATTTGGGTGTTGGATCCCCCCTAGAGTCTTTAACACTTAAAATCAAAAAAATGCATGGATGAACTGTACTTTATGGTACCGAAATTTTAATATTTTATTCTATTTTCAAGGAAATATATAAGAAAAAAAATTTTTCCTGGTGTTATATTGGTATATTTATTTATTGTCTAGGAAATGTCTTTCACAGACAAGAAGAAAATATTATTATATGACTTCTTTGTTGCTTCTTGTTGATGACAACACCATACAGTTGTCCCTTTTTGTCCATAGTATAAAGCTCTACTGTACATGGCATCGGAGGATCGTAGTTTGAAATCTTAATCGGGGCCTTCCCCTCCCGAACCCACTCTCTCTGCGAAACACGGGATTTTCATCCTTGAAAAAAACCCTTTAACTGAAGGGAAGAATCATCCTGCTTCAGTGTATTTGGACATTCGTGTTCCTCTTTTGCCTTCGGGTCATGTGTGGTACACTTAATGAGTGTCTTGCAAAGTTATTCAACAGCATAATCCGCTTCAATTTCCATTTTGTTTCGGTTTTTTACGCTCTTCTAATGATTTATTGTTCCCTATTCCAATTGTTTTCCAGGAATTTTTCTCCTTCCTATTGTATTGTTTGTATACGACATTTGAGTGATCTGCCAAAGGAATGATGCCACCCTGAAGGACTTTTATATAGGAAACTTTAGTTATAATTTTTCTTCACAGAGGGCAGCACGATACTGTCCTGCTCGGAAATTTGTGTGTCGATCCGCCATGATGAAAAAACGAGTCTTTGTTTTATAAATAAATTGTTTTAGTGTTTCTTTCCACGTTGAATTAAACCAAATATATTTCCACTTTCGGCAGTTTCGTAGCTTGTAGATCTACACAAATAAACAGATTTACATTTCAAAAATGAAATTTGAATCATTAATTAATTTATAAATAAAAATATTCTTCTATGTTATTATTTAAAATTAAATTTGATTTTTTTCGTGAAAATCGTTTACGCGTTACGTCATACGTTTCTAATCGATCTCGTAATGTGATTATTACGTCACGTTTCGTTAACCCGTCTCTATAGTAATCTTAGCCTTTATATAGTAGACTAAGGCTGGAATGAAACAATAATTTGGAGTATATTAAACAATAGAATTGCTTAGATAATACCCTCCTTTCGGAGCAACATTGTAACGAAACACTAAAAAGATGGGCCTAATATAGGGGTTTCGTTGCTTTAGAAAGGGACCATCCACTAGGGTTTCGTTCCAATGGAAAGGGGCCATCGCATGGATTCCCCCGTTACAATGGAAAGGGACAATCCCGCTAGGGTTTCGTTACAATGGAAAGGGACCATTCGCTAGGGTTCGTTACAATGGAAAGAGACCATCGCATGGATTCCCCCGTTACAATGGAAAGGGACAATCCCGCTAGGGTTTCGTTACAATGGAAAGGGACCATTCGCTAGGGTTCGTTACAATGGAAAGAGACCATCGCATGGATTCCCCCGTTACAATGGAAAGGGACAATCCCGCTAGGGTTTCGTTACAATGGAAAGGGACCATTCGCTAGGGTTCGTTACAATGGAAAGAGACCATCGCATGGATTCCCCCGTTACAATGGAAAGGGACAATCCCGCTAGGGTTTCGTTACAATGGAAAGGGACCATTCGCTAGGGTTCGTTACAATGGAAAGAGACCATCGCATGGATTCCCCCGTTACAATGGAAAGGGACAATCCCGCTAGGGTTTCGTTACAATGGAAAGGGACCATTCGCTAGGGTTCGTTACAATGGAAAGAGACCATCGCATGGATTCCCCCGTTACAATGGAAAGGGACAATCCCGCTAGGGTTTCGTTACAATGGAAAGGGACCATTCGCTAGGGTTCGTTACAATGGAAAGAGACCATCGCATGGATTCCCCCGTTACAATGGAAAGGGACAATCCCGCTAGGGTTTCGTTACAATGGAAAGGGACCATTCGCTAGGGTTCGTTACAATGGAAAGAGACCATCGCATGGATTCCCCCGTTACAATGGAAAGGGACAATCCCGCTAGGGTTTCGTTACAATGGAAAGGGACCATTCGCTAGGGTTCGTTACAATGGAAAGAGACCATCGCATGGATTCCCCCGTTACAATGGAAAGGGACAATCCCGCTAGGGTTTCGTTACAATGGAAAGGGACCATTCGCTAGTGTTTCGTTGCTTTAGAAAGGGACCATTCGCTAGGGTCTCGCCATCTTGCTAGTGTTTCGTATTAACCCGAAAATTTTTCAGTAGTAATTCCTTCTTATAATACATTGATTTTTGTGTCTAATAACTCCGCTTTTGCACGAACAAACTCTTGGGATTAGTTCTTTTACTTTTTTGCCCATTATAGGGTATAGGCCTATAACAGAAAGAAAGTATGGCAGTCGGTTTAAAAAAAAAAACATGAACCTCCCCTCCTTGATTTTTACATTTTTTGACTCGAGGACCCCTTTAAACGTCGAGAAATTCAAGGGTTTTTCTATACGTACGGATGTTTGCGTTTGTGTAAGTGGAAAGGGCACGATTATGTTCATCCACTTTAAAACTCAATAACTCTTGTTCTTTTTGACGAAAATTTCTGAAATTTTGTAGGATGGTTTGCGTGTTAGAGGCATTGATGCCATTAAATTTTGGTGGTTAAAGGTCGAGGGAGTGGGAAGATAATGGGGGTCACGTATCGTATCTCGAGTGGAGTCGGATTTAATGACGATTTTACTCAGCTTTTTACACAAGGTTTATTGAGCTTCAAAGTGGGTGAAGAAAAGATTGTCACCCCCACTCAAACACATAAACATTCATATATACATACAGGGAAATTCCCCCGAATTTTTCGGGAGGAGGGGGGTAAACATTATCCGGAATACACCAGAGGGAATGTATGGTGTATTCCAGTTCTGGTTTTCTTCATCGATAACTTTTATATAGAATATGAGATCGAACGTATGAACTATATATCGATCAGTCAATTATTCTTTTATAAGAATGTTGATTTGGGGTTTCCTTAATTCTTCCTTCTCTTGTTAATTGAATGATTTGTGTGTCTCCTCCACTCGTAATGAGTCGACGTACAGTACTTTACTTGTCGAAGTTTCAAAGAATTTTAAATATAATTAAATGGCATTTATTAACGATATGTCGTACAGAAGCGAATGTTTGGTCGAGATTCGGAACCATTTCCATGGAAACTAATGCATAAATGCGACCAAGCGTCCACCGGTGGCGGAACCTACGCACCGTTACGCGTCGTTGGTGTTACCAAGTCTTTTTTGAAGGTCGAATCATCGATTCTGTTAAAAATACCACCCTTTTTTGCATCATTTATGGCCCAAATTTATAACCCCAAACCTTATTTTGTCACCTGGAAATTACGTCATCAACTGTGCCCATGAATTTCTATAATAAAACTCTGGTGTGCACGTTTCTGTTAATTTTTAAATTTGTATTTACCTCGGCTCGTTGTGTTTTAACACGCTTAAAATAGCTTCGAAATTAGCTTATTCGTGACGTAATTTAACAATAGTCTTTTCGTTTGCTGTGAAGAATCTCTCTTACGTTCTCATTTCGTATAGATCTTAGAAGGGAGGGCCCCTCTACTGACACTTTAATTCTTTCTTCTACACCACTCTTCTAATCTTTATAAAGGGAGATCTTAACAATAAGAGAGATTTCTCCTTTATCTTAAGATTAAAAGGTGATGAGGACTCGTTTATCTATTACTATAACACTTGTATGCCCGGTATTAGCGAGTGATAATTGAAACTAATTATCTCCCCATTCCGTCGACCTTTAATCACCAAAATTTAATAGCATCAATGCCCCTAATACATAAACCTCCCCGCTAAATTTCAGAAATTTTCGACAAAAGGAATGGGTGTTATTGAGCTTTAAAAGTGGGTGAACGAAATCGTGTCCTTCCCCCCCACACACACACAACTAAGATCCATACATACAGAAACCCAATGGATGCTGCACCAGACAAATTCGGGACTGGATCACTGCAAAATTTCCTGTCGTTTCTCGGAGAATATAGTATCTTCTTTAGTATCAAGAGGGGGTGCTGCAACACATCCCCTGATACTTCCCTGTGATTTTCGATGTATTATTTACGACTATTGTAGGGTAAATTCTGTAATTATTTACCGGAATTTAGGGGAATTAGACTAGAAACATCCGTTAAAGTAAGACAAAGGAAAGGGATTTCTATTGTCTTGTCTACGTGAAGACTAGGAGACACAGAATTAATAGGATCGTCTTCTGTTTCCGAGCTTTAAAAAAAGGGATTCCAATTAAAAGGAGGAAACAATTTCATATTTTTTCTTATTCTCGGAGGTAAAAAAATTAGTTAAAACACCAACTTATGTGTTAATTTAAAAGTATTTCCTGTTTCATTTCCACAATACACAACGATTCGGAGATCCTCCTCCATCGTAGAGGTCATAGTATCCAGTGACATTCGACAGAGTTGTAACTGTTCTTTCGTTCGCCGTCCCCATACTTAGTAGGATGTATCGACGTGTTGTTGCCACAATCTTGGCCCCTTTCCAGGATTTACCGAGTTTATATTCACCGTTACCTCCCCAAATTTTAATTAGATCGCCTTATTTTTAGCGGGGGAGGGGAGGAAGGAGAGAGAGGTAGAAATAAAGTCCGAAAAGGGTCAGGGACGTAAAACATCGGTATAATTAGAAAGGATACTCGAGAATTTTCTAGTTTGTTTCTATCGATATTTGTCTTTTTTCGGTATTTTTTTAAAGTTTGAGCCCATTAAAAATTAAAATAATGTCATTGTAACACGGTCAGGAAATCATAAATTCCGACCTCTTCTATACGGATGGGAATGAAACAATTAAATGCTTAAATTGGAATTTTAAACAATAGGGTGGAGTTTTGTTATGTTTTCGGCAGAATATTTTAAATGTTTCTAGTGTATTTTTATATTTTATTTCTCATCTCTGTCCTTTGTCTGCTAATAATAATAAGGTACAGTCGACCCCCTCCCTATAACACTGTTGATTTTTCCGTTTTATACGAATTCCATATTGTACGAGTCACTTAGATTTTACAAATACGTGTGCCGGGTTGTGAACGGCTCACGTATTTGTAAAATCTAAGTGACTCGTACAACGCGGAATTCGTATAAAACGGAAAAATCAACAGTGTTATAGGGGGGAGTCGACTGTACTGTACGTTTTGTAAGCGAAGATCCTTTTAAAAATGTCCATAAATGACGTCCACAATGGAGGGGAGAACAAGTGTGACTGTGAGCCCTCTCCCTTAGTTATCCGGGTGTATCGATGCGGCCTGGAGCCCCGGGTGGCCCTTCCGGAACAGTGGAGAGATAGCTTCGTGGGCGCAAATTTGAGTTAGGGGGGTCCCTTGTACAATGTTGACTTCGGATATTTTTTATTCCTGAAAAAATATTTGCTTATAAAAGACTGGTTTGGGGCCTCTTGTCGGTGGAGGCCCTTTTTGCCTATAGGATAAAGAGCGCCACTGATGAGGAAAAAAGGAAAAAAAACTTATTGAATAGATAAACGGGAGATTCTAATCAACGCTGTACCTTAATTCAAATTCGTCTGGGCCCCACGAAACCCACGTGTCACTTTGTGTTCGCCCTTCTAGCGTGTCGTTTCTCGCTTCTCGCAGGTCGCGGTGAAGCAAGCGAGTAACGTTTCAAGTTTCGTTTCGTCGTAAAGATCGTCCGATTTGGGGTCTTTTTTTTGTTTTTTTTTATTCTCTTCCGGTCGATTCTTCTGACGTAACGAAGATAAAATTATTAAATTCTCGAGAGTCGTCGTCGTCGTCGTCGTCACTCGCGACAGTCGCGAAGTTACGCAAGAAATCGTCATCATCGGCGAATTTACTTCTTCTCCATCGTCTGAAATTTCGATTGTGAATTAATCGCGTGGCCTTTTCAGATTATTTTCTGTCGTCCAAATCGGAATTAATTTCTGCGTAATATAAAAGTATTACGAAGTTTATATTTATAAAATCGCGAAGAAAATCGCGCGTGAAACTAAAAAAAAAAATATCTCGAAAACGAGCCACTTCCGGTTATTTAATATAAACTATTTCGAGTTTAAAAAAAAAAAGAAGAGATACGAAAAGTAAGAAAAATGCTTTGACCTTCGCCCCTTCCGAACTGCACGAGGAGAGAAAGAAGACCTTCGAGAGACTTTGTCGCGACGACGCGACGCTACAAAACTTTGCGATACGCGACAAAGAAACGAAGTCGCTCGCCATAATTCCGAAGCGTTAACATAGAAATACGTCGGTTACGAATTAAAGAAAAGCGACGATATTTAAAACGTAGATAAGAAACTGACCAATGGAACGTCGCGTAACTTAAAAAAAAACGCTTCGAAATTCGAGAACAGGGGAGAGAAGACGGTGACGTTCCACCCACGTGTCATAAAGTTTGACATTCGGGCCAATGAAGTGAGCCGCTGGACGTCACGTGAGTTAAAAAGCGTGCAGCGTGTCGGACCGGGGTGAAAGTGGATGGAGTCGTCGTCGATCGGTGGAAAGTAAAAGCGTAACTGTTGTACGTCACAGTTTGAATCCGGTCGCCGTTCCGACATGACTAATCCGTCCAGCAATCTAAACGACTCCTTCCGTCCTTCTAGTGGAAGAGATGCTTGGGCCCTCGCTAGTCCAGCTTTCGAGCGTCGAGACGTGGAGGAGGCCTTCGAAGACGATGAGGAAGCCGTTCGAGACGTCATTCCGGAACAGCAGAGAAGCGGATGTTGGTACGGATTCACGCGAGGTGTCAGAGGTAAACCCGACTTTGACGTCACTTCCGGCTTTTTTTTTTTCGTGTCTATTTCGCATACACTAACGTCTAGAAATATGCCCCTTTATTCCGGCTTCACCGTCAAACACGTGCGATGTTTACCTTCCGTTTTGGTGTAAAAAAATAGAAATTCAAGCAATGAGTTGCTTAACTTTCCCGGCAATGTTTAAAACTGCGTGTGAATGTTAATAACGAGTAAAATCTGCGTTAATTCCGACCCTACTCGAGATACCACACGCGATTCCTCTTTATCTCCCCCCCGACCCTTGACCTTTAACAACCAAAATTTAATGGCGTCAATGTCTTTAACGCGCAAAACATCCTACAAAATTTTAGGAATTTTCGACAAAAGACACGGGTGTTATCAAACAGCTAGCTACACGCGCACCAACGTCCGTACATAAAGAAAAAACCTCCAACTTTTGTTGCATTTGTGGACTTTTGTAGGTCCCCAGTCCAAAAATGTAAAGATCTCGCGGTTCATTTGTTTGACCGATTGCCGTACTTTCCCTCTGTTACGTACAACGGAGCCGGGGAAAAGTGATAAAACCCGTTTCGACGAATTGATTGATCTCTCTGCGGATTGCCCTCGAACGAGGATCTCGAAAAGAGGATTTGTAAATTAATCCTACATAGAGTGGTATTAAAAATTAAATTATGTATGAAATTCATCTTACTTAAAGTTAAAAAAACTTCAAATTAGTGAAAGATGTAGTGGAAATTGACTGTAGATTGAGTTGAAAAGGATGTAATTTCTGAGATCCTTTGTAGAAAATGGGTGGAGAGCGCTGGCACGCTATAGCTTCGTGGGGCTCGGGCAAACTGGAATTGGGGGCCTGGCGTACGGTATCGACTTTGGATGCTTTTCTTCGGGAAATGTTTTCTTTTAAAGATTGGTTTGGGGATCCCCGTTGCGATGGCCTGGAAAATTGTCCTTTTTGCCCGTAGGATAACTTGCCACCGATGCAGAGGATCCAGCTACTGTTTCTCTTTTATGTATGGCAGAGGTTCCCAGTTTATAGTGTGTCTGCTAGTATAGTTATGGGGAAGGCAAGTTTACAATATGAGATCTGCCAACGACAAAATTGCCGTTTGTGGTCCTCCGTCGGCGTGGTCGGAATTTTGTTTAAAGGACACGAAAGTAAAAGAAATACGTAATTTTAAGAGTAATTGTTTGAAAGATTACTCTTAGAAAGTACGTACGGATAGAACCTTTTACGAGACCTTCTGTCTCGATTTTGGATCTCTGACCTACAGTCTTCGTAGCACCCAATTTTGGGTTTTATATTCTATTTAATATGAAGTTGTTTATATCAAAACAGATTATATGATATACAGTTCACTACGTGTTTTAGTATTGAAGAAACTGTTAATATTGTATGATATATTCCATTTTACCCCAAAAATATTTACCTATTGGTATACCATATTAAATATTCTAATAGAAATACAGATTTTTAGAATTTCTAAACACACAAAAATTACATTTTGTAACTAAAAGTATAACTCATACAGTATAAAAATTAATTAGATAAAAAAAAAAAATCAATTAAAGCAGTGGCTCCCAATTCTTGTATTGTTGCAAAGGTCATCCTTAAATTTTTAATAGAAGGGCCAGTGATGCGGAAAGGAACTGGCGACAAACGCATCTAACGGGGTATCGATCCGTATCGCGCGCCATTCTATTTATATATATCGAGTACATAATTAATAAAACAAATTGATAACATAACGTCATTTGTACTTAATGAATATCATTTGATATTAAAATTTATAAAATTATCATTTTTTTATACTGTTTAAAACAAAATTTTTATATTAATAACAGGATTATGGTCAACGCGCCAAATGGAAAAACTTGCAGGTGACAGAGAATGGTACATTCGGACGACGCTTCGAGAATTAATAATATATCTTGTGTTTCTCATAATCCTTTGCGTCTGTGAGTATGTCGTCAAAAAAATATTTATTTATATCTTAAAAATTTAATTTGTTTTGTAATTTATAAGTCGACCATTTTGAACATATATTTTGTTAAAAGGACACGAATTTAAAGCTTTAAAATTCTTTGCAAATTCCATTTGACGAAAGTCTCGAACAAAGAAAATTAATTGTAGAATATTTAGTAATACAGTAGAGTCCTGCAAACTCCGCTTAATACGGACCGAGGTGACATAAAATTAACCGTACATTTTGTTTTATTTGTGTTATATATTAGTGCCAAATAAATTTAACTTAACTTAATTGCATAAAAATTAGAGAAATAATTATATATATATGATTCGTTACACGCATAAAGATGAGATATATATTTTAAGCAAGCTTTATTTGATAGTTGGTGTTTGATAAATTGTGTCCAGATGATATTCTACATCTTCTCACTAACAAATTCTATCAAAACTTGAGAGTTTCGACAGTAAAAACATAACAGACGTGAAATATAAAACTCTCTTTTTATTGACATTTGGTTTAATTTATAATGCCAACTAAACAATTAAATTTGACCCATTAAGCAACTGGGTCAAACTGATAGATTTCTATCAATTCAACATGCAAAACTATAGTAATTTTCATCAGTAATATTATTTATAAAGGATTTTGTACAATGAAAATTCCCGAAGATAAGTTCCTCGATTAAAAATACCTTCTATTATCAATGATATTCGAAAAGTTTCAATAAATTGCAAATGAGAATCCGTTCGGAACAATTTAAACTTTGATCGAGAGGCACAAAATTGTCGTACCAAAATATGTTTGGTTATCGTTATCCCGTTCTCTAAAATTTAACCTTTCGTTTGATCTATATTCCAAAGAACACGTGAAAATTTCATCATTATAATACTCTGTATCGTGGAATGTTTACATTGAACTATTTGTATACGTGATGTTATAAATTGCAAAATGATTCTGAAGAGTTACCAGAGGTGTGAATGGGTACGTGGAGAAAAGGAAGATAGAAGAATATTTAGTGAAATTATAGGAGTTTGAGTCAAAAATAAGTGTTGATGGTAAAGCATTCATTAATAAAAATATTGAAATTTTTTTCTAATATATATGGAAGATAATTTTTGAAGTATGGCACCGAATTGTTTTTAATGTGACAGCTAGAGATGGGACAATTAGTTTTGAAATTACTTTTGAATAAATCTTTGAAGATTTCGGGTTGTTCCGAAGTTTTCTTATTCATCGCAAACTTTCTTCGATTAAAATTATTATAAAAATTAAACTTTACCGAAAATTTTATGCATTTTTCTTTTATAGTAACATTTGGAATGATGAGTCCCGCAATGTTTTATCAAACTAAAGTTATTAGCGAACTTTTCCTGGATTCGACATTTGAAGATTCAACAAGTTCAATGAAAACATCTTCACAGATTAATGACTTTTGGAGGGTGAGAATTTTAAAATATCTTCTTATTAATTATAAGAGTTATAAAGATAAGTCAGTAGAGCCTATTAATTCTGGAGGTATGATCTGCTCCAAATATCAAGCTGTTAATGTTGGATAGTCAAGGAATATTTGAAAATAAAACTGGTATTAACAGATCAATGATTTATTAATGTTTCGTAGCCAAATCACATCATCTCTAGGCAATTTTTGGACAAAAGTCAACTTGTACTCTGTTACATATAACAGATTCATTCCTTTGTCTCTGCTGTTATCCCAGAACAGTTAGTCGACTAAATTCTTATGCAAGGAATGATAAACATAGTAAATGAAATAGTATATGAAATAGAACAAATGTGTAAATTCACAATTTATAATTGTTAGTGATCATTTCTTTTACTTACGCACAAGTAATATTAAATTATTTGTAAATGAACACACAAAAATTGGCCACCAGTAGCCACATAAGAGTTTTCCAGGTTTCCTTCACATTTGTAACACCTACAAATGTCCTCCAGAGAGGCAATATTTCCCTTGGCAGGTCACCCACTCCAGAGAGGCAATCTGAACTAATTGAGACTAGTGGTAGTAAGGATATGATGTTTACACATAGAATTGTTATTAAATCAAACAGGATAATTGCAAGAATGAGCAGTAATGCTCAAAACATGTGACTTGATGTTTACTTTATATGTTATCTGCAGGTATACAGTTGACAAGTTCATTACGGGAATGGTAAAAGCTTTTCAGATTAACACGACCGTACTTTAAACAGCTTTAATACAACTGTTCAAGTAATTTATAGAATAAACATTTTCCACAAATGCAAAATGATTAGAAATTGATTAAACATACATTTCCATTCTCCAAATTTTAATTTTTCCTTGCTCTTCCGGATGTCAGCTTTCATGTTAACTGTTATCAGTGATTAAACTAGTCTCCAATAGCTGTTTTTAGATCTTTTACTGTTGTACGATGGTGTTGGGAAATCTTTTCTTTTACAACGACATCAGAGGAATTGTCACACGTTAAGTCTTGACTTCGAGGATGGTATTGAATACATTGAATCACCAGTACCAATACATACAGTACATTTTACCAGTAGTGGTTTTTTGTGTTGTGCAATCTTTGCACAACATGAAAAGCTCTGTGCGTTGCTCAGATTTAATGTAAATAATTATTCAAACAAAATAATTTTGTTTGTTTCTTAATAAATTTATTTCAATGAATTATTTTCAGTTTGTAGATAACGTAATGCTAGATAACTTATATTGGGAAAATTGGTATAATAAGAAAGAAGCAATCAAAGACGACAGAAATATTTTGTATGAAAATCGCTTGCTCGGTTCTCCGAGATTGAGACAGTTGAGAGTGAGGAACGATTCTTGTAACGTTCACGACAATTTTAAAGCAGTTATCAGTCAATGCTATGACGTATACTCGCCACACATAGAAGATAACAGACCATTTGGACTCATGAACGGAACAGCGTGAGTACACTTACTCTATTATTTTTAGTGTGATATATCTATAATAATTGAAACTAAAGGTATTTGCATGTTAAAGTAATAAAATAAAAAATGATCAATGAATTTTTTGTAAAGTCTAGCTATTAATTATAAACAAAATTCTAATAATTAGATACTTGAGTCTCATTAGTGGCTATGTAATAATAAACAATTTAAATTGTTTTATACATTAAACTATTTATTTGTGATTATTTTTGTGAAACGTAAACATGTCTGAATTCTTTTTATTTCAGTTGGGCGTACCATTCGGAGAAAGAGATGAATGGTTCTAGTCACTGGGGATTAATAGCTACTTATAGTGGAGCCGGATCCTATATGGATATCGGAATAACAAAAAAGACAGCTAAAGAAAAGATGGACTTGTTACGACAGCATCTGTGGGTCTCTCGGGCAACTCGTGCCATATTTTTAGATTTTACAGTTTACAATGCCAATCTCAATCTCTTCTGTGTTGTGAAGTAAGTATTAAAATTTTGAATGAAGTAGAATTTATATTACATTAAGAATAATGAGACATTTTCTTTGCAGGTTTAGTTTTTAAAACATTACAGGACATTTTGCATTAATAATTATTTTGATTTAAACTTTTCACAATTAGCACAACTAACACTAAAAGCTGGTTTACAGGGTCATGACATTAAGGGAGAAGAACACCATTACATTGTGCTCTATCAATTGTATATCTGCACTAAGGACAACATCAATATAATAACCAAAAGGGAATGCAAGATCATCCCTAAGGAAAAGTGAACTAACTACATACAACACATGTTGAAATTCATGCACACTACATTACATGCTATTATAAAACATATCCCAGTGAAGGATTTCAAATATCACACCTTGTAATGTTCTTTAAAACAGTTTTGATACATTTTTGCTCCGTAATGAAGTTTTCCTTCTATTGTATGGAACTTCACCTCGAATAACCCCTTTCCTGGACATAATTGGGTGCAATAATGATATACCGTAGCCTTTGAGATTGCATGGCATTGCCTCTCGTATTTCTTTATTTATGCTTTTGTGAAGGAACACATTTATATAGCTAAGCTGCTCTCTACTCAGGAGCTTAAGAAGATAATTGCGGCAATTGTGAATCTTGTGACACAAGAAATGTTGTCGAAAGTCATTGAGGAAACAAACCATCACAAGAACTTGTCTGTTGACATTGTGGGTGGCTGTACCAAAAAAAAAAGTAAAATTCAAAATCCTTCACCAGGATAGGTTTTATAATATTTAATTGAATGTGTATGAATTTCAATACAATTGATTTAAAATAAAATATTGGATGCAATCATGACCCACACTGTTAATTACACATTTTATATTATGATATTGATGATAATTATAAAAAATGTTTTAAAATTAACACTTAATATTCTGAAATGTATGCGCAAACAAAATTCAACAACAAGAATTTTTTTTTTTGACATAAGGGAAATAAATAGCGAACATATCACTGCCACAGAAATTCATTGAAATATTTGTTACTTGTTTAATCATTACCTGAAAACATTTTATAAATTGGGTTTTGCTCCTGATTAGATGGTCACTATAGTCTGAGGCACAACAACATTGTACATAGAGTTAAGCTTAAATAAGCCACTTTCTTAGAAAAGTATTGAAACTTTAACGATCAACTCTTGCTTTCTAGTAGACAGATTTAACCCTAAAACTTTAATACAGACTTAATTTACCTTGCAATGGGATTTTACATTGCATCGAAAGGAATATTTCCCTTCAAAAGTGGTCAGCGGTCCCCAAATTACAACCTCGGAACCAAATCTGGCCCACGGCACACTTTGAAATTGATACATTTGCAGACTGGATTAAAGATTTCCATAAAAATTCTTATTAGAATATTGGAATTTAAATAGATTTTTAAAATACTTTGGGATCATTTTCTCTAAAATGTTTTAAAAGTTTAGCCTCTTCTTATTCTTTCAGACTAGTATTTGAATTTCCTGCTACGGGCGGAATGATTCCTTCTTGGAGTTTCCGAACGGTAAAGTTGCTTCGTTACGTCTCGACTGCCGATTATTTCATTTTGGGTTGCGAAGTACTCTTCTGTTTCTTCATTATATACTACATTGTCGAGGAATTGTTAGAGGTGAGCGAAATATCGAAATTTTTTTTCTTATAATAAATATTTATTCTGTATTCTTGCAGTATAATTATACAGTAGCAAAAAATCTTTTCTGAATTTTTACAATTCATTATTCAAAAAAATGAAAAGCATTTACTAGATCTAAATTATAGTTTGTTCATTTCAACTGCGCTTGAATTTAATAGTAATAAATTTAAAGCATAATTAATTCTCTGCAATTTTGTAATAAATATTTTTATTTCAGATAAAAAAGAATAAATTAAGCTATTTTAAAGAAGTTTGGAATATATTGGATGTTGTAGTTATTCTTGTAAGTAGTTTAAAAATTAAATTTTCTGATTATTAGAAGTTATCGTCATAATAGTTCTATACAGTTCTTTAATACAGAGCACATTCTTGTATTGAATATCTAGACTTTGGATAAGTTCTAGATTTGTAAAAATTATAAACAACATAGTAGAAGTATTGTATTACATTCATATAGTCTTTAACTCTAGAGTAGTCTTTACGTAATTATATAAGCCAGTGTAAATCTATCGTGAATCCTGTTTGTTAAGAGAAGATACAAATGCAATTCTTTCAATAACTGCATTGTACAAAGACCTGTCTACTGCGATATAGTGAACACTTCTTTTCACGTTTATACCCACTCTGTAGCTCATATTTGCGGTAATAAGTAAATAGTTGTCATAGTTGTGGCTGAGAATAGTTAACGACGTGGAATTTTTGAAATATCTTCAAGCGAGCAATGTAAAAATATCAAAGTCTACGAACTGTGGTGTAGTCAATAGACACACACACACACAACTTTATTTCTTACGTATTTTGGGGGGATATATATATTTTTAATCACTATAAAGTTATGTAACAAATTTAAGAAATTAGAAACCATATGAAAGACTTTAAACAAACATTTTGCAAAATATGTCACTATAAATGAGGAAAGAATTTTTATTTTTGTCAATGGGAAAAATTAGTTTAAAAAATCACTGATAGGTGGCTTACTTTCATTGTGTTTACAAGACATGTTTGGCATGGCTCATACCACAGGGTATAACACAATTTGGCTCAGTAACAATGCCCACACCTGCAAACTACAACATGTCTGGATGGATGTTGGGTAAAGGCTGGCACTTTTTAGTCAATGCTACTCACCTCATGATGAGTATCAGTTTTCAATTCCAACAATGTGGAAGGACGCGACAAAAACATTGCAATTTAAATACCCCACAACCACAATTGAAAGACACTTTCATTGTCTTTCGTACATCAATGCCACTGTCGGTGATCTTTCAAACTAATTTTTTCCCCACCAAAATAAAACTCCAGGTGGTGACAACACTTACGTGTAAACCACATTTTTTCCACAAACATTCATAAAAATGGAAAATTAACATTTTTACGGACTGTAACCCACCCAATATTTGCTTTGTATCACACAAAGCCATTTAAGCAATTCTAAATATTCATAACTTTTTAAAAAACTTCATTTCTTTTTACAGATGTCCATAATATGCATCGCATTCAGCGTTTACAGAACAGTTATGGTCGAAAACTTACTTTCAGGATTACTAGTGGATCCCGAATTATATCCGGATTTCGAATCTCTGGGATTTTGGCAGACACAGTTTAATAATGCCGTCGCCTTAGCCGTTTTCTTTGCTTGGATCAAATTTTTTAAATATATAAGTTTTAACAAAACAATGACTCAGTTGTCGTCTACATTATCAAGAGTAAGTATGTTAAGTTATATAACTCAATGTTATATTCTCCATAGACTATATATATATATAATCTGTTAGTATTGTAAACCAAGAATTAACGTATTTTATTCTGAATAAAACTTTAATGTTTAATTCCAGTGTTCCAAAGATGTTGGAGGCTTTGCCATTATGTTCTTCATTGTGTTCTTTGCTTTTGCACAACTTGGCTATCTGTTGTTTGGAAGTCAGGTTCAAGCTTTCAGTTCGTTTGGGACTGCAGTGTAAGTTTTTGAATATTACTTTAAATTTATTAAAAAAAGAAATATATAAATTATTTGAAAAACCTTTAATACATTCTCTTCTATTTGAAAGATTTTCCCTGTTGCGTTTAATTTTGGGCGATTTCGATTTCGAAGAACTCGAAGCCGCCAACAGAGTTTTGGGTCCGATTTATTTCCTCAGCTACGTCTTCTTTGTCTTCTTTGTTTTAATGGTAAGTATCCAATTAAACTTTACCATTGTGACATTCCACCAAAAGATTTTTTTCTACTAATTGAGGAAATCAAACACACTTGTTAAAAGTTATTTATTCTACTCAATAAAATCAACATTCATCTGTTGGAATGTTCACCGAACTAATCTAATGTTTTGCACGCTCGATTAATAGATACAGTACTGACAATTATTGGTTTATTACTACTATTCTACTTATCTATATTTTTATCTACTAGTTCTGTTATTAGAAGATAAGGACGATTAGGGATGGAAGAGAGGGATGGATCAGAGGAATTGTAGTTCCTTTGATCCATTCTCCTCTATTTGTTCTCTTTTTGATTTCTTTCATCTCCTCAGTCTGGCCATTCCTCTTGTTACAAATATCGGTATCCAAAGTATCGAATTGTAATTTTTGCCATTAGTGCAACATTCTCTTGCAGAATATTTTGTGCACCGAGAGAATGAATTTATATTTTCTGTCTAAATTTGTTATGATAATAGATAAACACACAAGATATGTAATTTTTTGCTTTTTATTACAGCTATAAAATGACTAAAATTGAAAATTGGCCGATAGTATTTATATTAAAATATATATATTGAAGATACAAACTTATCTTCGTCTTCTGTCATTTACAATCGCCGGCAACAATCCTAAAACAATTTTCACTTAGAGACAGCCTTTTATTTGAGACTGCGCCTCCACAAAAGAAATGTAAAATGGATAAAAGACTGAAACAAACATAGAACTTAAACGACGGAAGACTAATACAATTTTAAAATCTTCGATATATATATTTTTTATATTTTAATATAAAATGACATTTTTCATTATTGAATTTTTTAGAAAATATTTAAAAGATTATTTTTTACAGAACATGTTCCTTGCCATCATTAATGACACTTATGCCGAAGTAAAATCAGAGATTTCGCAAGACAGTAATGAATTTGAACTGGTAGATTACTTCAAAAAGGTAGAATTTAATTTTTCTAGTTTCTTTTATATTGAATTTTAAATATTAATGATAATAATCTCAAATAATTTCAGGGTTATAATAATTTTCTTAGTAAACTCGGTAAGAGAGATCAAATTGCGGATCTACACAATGCCATGAAATTGGCAGACTCGGACGGCGACAACAAACTATCGTTCGAGGAAGTGCGAAGAAAACTAAAACAGTAAGCACTAAACACTATGATATTTTACTCGAAGATGCTTCATGCACATATTAATTACAAATCTCTTTTAACATTGTCTGAAAAGTTTAGGGTCCGCTACTTATTGCCGAATTCAATTGTTTTTATAACATTAATCGTATCAGAAGCTATAGCTTAGTACATTATGTTTTGAAATTTCTTCTAAGTTATTTCTCTTTCTCTCTCTCTAAACATGATAATTACAATGGAAATATTAGTAAATAAATGTTAAAATTGTAAGGAAGAAAAAATATTTTATCATAAAAAATACTAATGAAGTTACAGTATCCAGATGTTAAAATGCTTGCTTGGATTGTTGATTGTTTATGAACTGTTTACACATACAAGTAATCACAAAATGAATATTTATTATACAATGAACCTTATTTTATTGTAGAATCCTTTATGATTGTGAAATGATTTAATTACATGCAATATCGACATAAGGATCCACTGTATCTATCTGATCTCATCTGTCAATTTCTTAAAAATTACATTAATTAATAGAGAAACTGATAAAAAAATCATGCTTCATTCCAAGCAGTTTCAAAGCTTATCAGCTCGTTGTCGGGGATAAAACCCAACAAATTTTTAGAACTCCACAAATTCTGAAAGTCAGATATGTTTCAAACTTATTCCTTAAATACTTTATCAAAAAATCTCTCTACTGTTGGAAGAATGTTTTGAACAGCTGGGATAACACCAAGAAGAGGAGGAGAAACATGATATTTTGGAGTTGAAAAGGGTAAAAGAAAAATATACTTTTATATTAAAGGATGATGATATATTAATTCTCAGAGGTCTGCTCAGACAGAATTCAATACAGTTTGAAACATATTTGACATTTACAATTTGTAGAAATGTAAGAAATTAAGATTTTTTGAATGGATAATTTATTGGTTTTCTCCCAACGATTCTCTGCTTGTAACTTTTAAGTCTTACAGACAAGAAACATATTAGGCAGAGAATAGAATTTCTTAGGAAAATTGCACTTTTTGAAATGCATTTTTAATATCGTATACTTCATGAATTTATTTTTATATTTTCTTACGAAGACAAAATTTCTCGGAAGCCGAAATCGAAATGTGGTTTGCAAAATACGACATCGACGGCAACAGACAGTTGGACGAACAAGAAACGAGGCAGATGTTGGCCGACCTGGAAGGCCAGAAACTTCAATTGGATCGCGAGATCGAAAAGGAACAGCAGATGCCTTCGGATGCCAGCCGTCCGGCCTCCGCCGTCGGCGGCCGTTCGGGAGTGTCTCTGGACGATTTTCACGTGTGAGTACTTTTGTATTTTGTATAGTTATTGTTGTATATTTTGTATAGCCAATATGGTGTGTTATAGCTTTGCGGAGCCCTGGTGAATCTGAATTAGGGCACCCCGTGTACAGTGTTAACTTCAAAAATTTTTTTCTGGGGGAATATTTTCTTATGAAAGATTGGTTTGGGATCTTCCATTAGTACAGGACCCAAGCAATTACCCTTAAGATAATGAAACCAGCATACATTCAGTGGCATGTTATGTTTTGGTTAACGATTGTCTTATTACATCGAGAGCTAAGACGACGACATATGGTTTGATTGGCACTCGGTGAAGGCCACCAACCAAATGTCTCCAATACACTATTCAGTAAATTATTATAAGGAGTTTTAATTTGCATAAATTGGAGCTTGTTATTCTGGATAGCATTTTAAATAAAAACCATTTGTTTTGATGCAACTTTATAAGTGAATAAAAGCAATAAAAGTAAAATAGTTTTACAGAGAAGCACTGCAAACTTTAACCTATTGACCCGGAAACTTCACAAGCATCTTGCTGATAACAAGGGAGACTTAAATTTACTTAAAATTTAAGCTTTTTAGATCCACTAATGTTTTCTTCCTAGGGGCATCTGCATTACCAGATGAAGAAAAAGAAGAAATTTTTTTTGGTGAATTTTTTGCACTTTTTTATTGCTTATATTTTGGCAGCCCCTTTATAATCTTATATTTTACATAATACCTAAGAAAACAATTATCTTATATTCAGAATTACTAAGGTATTTGGGGGAAGTTTTTCTTTTCATTCAAAATTAAATATTTCCTCCTTTCAGTCTGTCACGTCGTGTCGATCGAATGGAACATTCCATCGGAAGCATCGTTTCGAAAATAGACGCAGTACTTGTAAAAATGGAATCTATGGAAAGCGCCAAGACGAAACGCAGAGATAATATGAATAAAATCTTAGACACAATTTCCGAAGTAAGTATTATTGCACTTTTATTTATCAGAAAACACTTGGGACACCTCTAATAACAATTTCCGAAACTAGATACAGTCTACAAATCGGGCTTCCGAAGCAATTGCATTCAAACATATTTTTACATTATTGCATTGCGTTGACGGCACGATACCGGCTCCGGGTTGAAAAGGTCTGCGTTCGGGGATTAGGCAGAAGTTCGTATTTGAAAAATCTTTCACGGTCTCCCTTGGGCCAGTAGTGAATGCAGCACTGGCCCAAGTAATTCTACTGCAACATAAGCATATTCAGCTCCTCGCACATACACAAAAGACAACAACACACCCAGTTCTAGAGATGGGCAGTAATTAACTACATAGTTTAAATTACGTTAATAGTTAACTACTCTCGGCATATTAGCTAGAATTATTTTTTATATGTACTATTACAATTACCAGTTAACTGTGTGTTTAATTTCAACTGCTTTAACTACCTGTTATATTAAGCTGAGTGACAGTTTCAGTTTTTATCAATTCAACAAGTTCTGGTTTAACTTTTATACTTAATTTGAGCAATTGTAGCATTGGAAATTTTTATACTGCCAGTTGGTGAAAGTCACATTCAAAAACAACCAGTCAGGTTTTACTATATGTTGTCACATACGTGGCTTGTTATGTAAGTATATTTGTTTTGTACTTGCGTGCACACGTTAAGTACAAAACTCAAAGTAAAATAGCAGAAATCTGAAAAACAATATTAATTGTTTGAGTGTGTTAAACAACTGCTGGCACGTAAGAATACAACACTATAAGTATTCTTGCCAGTTACATCACTGGAGCATCGGCTTTCTTTGTTGGGATAAATTTTAACAGTTAGATGATGCAGAATGTCAACTGAAAAGTTTGTATTTTGAGATAGTTATAAAAGTGCCAAATAATAAGGACGAAACTGTTATTTTAATACAGTCTTAATATTTTGTTTTTCTACTTGAGTAGTTTAAATGTAGTTAACTAATCGTTTCGACTACTTTTTATGCATTTAGTGCCCATCATTACTATCCACCAATCACACCAAAACATGAATGAATTCATCATCCGTACCTATTACAAGACATACATCAAATACTTATTGCTAGTACCTCAACACATGAAAGTGTACATAGCATAACATGCACCAATAAAAACATAAACACAAAACTTACAACTACTGACACTACAGACAGAATTAATTAACACGCTCATAAGTTTATTTTAGGAAACACATATATACAGATTTAGACTTCACACACACAGATCACATATACTCAAAATGCATAGAGAAAACTCTACACAATCTAAATACACACATATTACTAAAGTATATTCTACTTCAATCAACACTTTAAAGCATACAGTACATTCATTACTATTCTAGTGAAATCACTAGAGTTACATACAGTGGTGATATTCAGCAGGTTTGCACAGGTTCGGCCGAACCCATTGTTAACATTTTCAAAGTTTTCCGAACCATGTTAAACACACGTAACATTTCTCGGTGGTTTTGTTTCTTTTAAAAAATATATTAAAATATACGTATTATATACTCTGTAACACTACTAAACTAGAGCCTTAGACCCCATTCGCCTTGGTGCGACCTCTCTCGACCATTTCAATCTGGACCGAAACGAGGTTCAATCGCGATCGACTCGAGAGAGTTCTTGAACTAGATCCAGTCATAAGAGAGATGTCACAATCCCACGCGCGCAAGAAAATACAAGATGGCTGCGGAACATGTGTCGGGCTATCGACAGCAAAATAAAAAAGATACTGTATTTGGAGAGATGGTGACATCCGTCTATTATTAGATATATCGCAAGAAAAAGTATTGTATTTATTTCTAACCAAAACTTCCATTTTGTTTGTCGGTGTTGGTGACTTACCGCATAGTCATTTCAGTTTTATCGTTGCGTGTAACAGCTGGGTTCTTCTCAAGTTGACTGCACACAGGCAGTCAACTTGAGAAAAAAATTGTTAATGAAAAATTTTCTGTTAGCGAACCCTTCGTTAAAATATTTCGAATATCACCACTGGTTACATATCATAGTCTTAAACTACAATCACAATTAGAAACACATATACATATTAGATATAAATTAGGCAGGCCAACACAACACACTAAAAGAGACATAACACTAAACTTAATGAAAGAGATTAGGAAAATTAAAACATGCACACAAACAAAAACTATCAACCAAATCAGACTCAAACAATAACTAATTACAGAGTACACTATCCCGTACACACGTGGTTCTCAATCCGTGGTCTGCAGAACAAGGGTGCTTTGTGAAGCCACTTCAAGTGTTCCGCGATAAAAACAACTATATAATTAAAAATTGTTGCAAAAGAAAAATCTATACAATGTAAAACAATTTTTATATGGGAATGTAATCAGCAAATGCCAATAATGTCGTATACTAGACCGAGGGTGCTCTTGATTTCAAAAAGATTGAGAACCATGGCTGTACAGTACAAAATCATATAAAAATATACGAGATAATTAACCATATACATGTAATAGAATACAGAAAATAATTTACTAATGACTTAATGTTAAAATCATTTTAAAATGTAAAAATCTGTCACTTACTTTAAAAATATCCAAAATAGCACGACGGACTAGACGAGAAAGCCAAGCGCCAACAAATGGAACAGTTGGTTCGAGAGGAGCTGCAGCGATGGGATTCCGACATTTCTATGAATTCGCCTCGTTTTGTAAGTCTAATTTGCCAATTTAATAAGTTTTCACCCTCTCGTATCTTTCACTGACTTTTCGTTAAAATTTTACAGAATGAAAATAATACATAAAACAACGCCGAGTGCCCCGTTTAAAATCTGGCACAGAGAAAGACCACTATAACTGGAAAAATTGCACACCGAGTTACAATTACAAAGCTAGCACCATCTTCACCAAACCATCGTTTGGCAAAATGATTAAATTTCGTCAAAGTTCGGTTTTATTTACCATCGGCCACAAGTTTATTCTATCGCTAGCAGTGTGCACTCGTATTAAAAACAATCCGTATGATTTAGATGCATTAACTATGTAGCCAAAATTCTAGTCGTCCTTATTCTTTTAGTTGTAAAAACATGAATTTCATATATATACATATACATACACACACAATATTTTAGTTAAAATTTATGTACTGCAAATGTTTTAGCTCTAAAATATCAATCAAAAGATAGTAAGTTTTTGTAATTATTAACGATACTTACAGATTGGCGATGACGCGTGGAAGTCCCGTAGGTTGCTCGTAATGAATTTATCGAGAATTCTTTCAACCAAAATCGAGGACGAAGCAGATTTAGCAACCATCGGTCTAAGTTTCTGCCCCAAGTGTCTTTGTGAAGATCCACGAGGAGAACGCGCGATCGACCGGCGGTCGATAAATCTTCTTTGCCCTCGATTCTAGTCGAAAGAATTGTCGATAAATTCATTACAAGCTACTTATAGATTAATTCATACTACAAAGTTTAGCTTATTTTACTTAAAAAATTACATAAAATTGATGGAAAAGTAAGTTATGCTCGAATTAGTTTCATATGCAGCTTAGACATAGTTGTCAACTTCAGACGATAATAAAACTAGGTTACATTTTTTTTTTTAATAATTATTTCATTAGCCACCCTTAGAAAATGTATGATGTCGAAAGTACCAATATGCAGCAAGCATGCAGTTTAATTATAAAAACTTAATTTGTGTTTAATGCATTGAACTAAACTCAAAATTATTATTTATTACAAGAACATTTCTGAATTCTAGCAACTCTTAAAATTATAAGAAAGAACTTATAATTTTAAAACAGTACGAAATATTGGAAAACAGTTTCAATAATTTCTTGATCTAGTCATTACTGTGGAAAACTGTAACCAGAAAATTTTAATGTAAACCAAAGATGTCATGTAATTTATGATTATCCATTGAAATAAAAATGCATAGTAAGGCAATTTAATGGTGTTACGGATGAATTATTTAATGACGACGATGTAGAAATGACATAAAGAGATCTCGTAGGATTTTTGGGAGTCGTATATTAGAAAGATAGCAAAAGATAACAAAACTATTTTATCTTAACTGGTGATATATTTAATGATTAAGGTTAGAACATAAAAACTATATCAAAATAACAATTAATACGATTTTTATTGCCTTAATGACCTAACCTTACTAATAAAACAAGGTTTGGTTTGCTTATGTATTGTGTTGCTGTAAATAATGCGCCTCCGGGAGGATTTTTAATGGGAAACTGGCCCCTATTTGGTATTATAATCGTGAAGAAAACCCAGAAAATTCCCAAGTGGCCAGCCTTTCAGTGAGGTGCGAACCCACAACCGACTATCTGTGCTCAGTGGTTTTTATCCACTTGGCCACCGGTGGGCAATAAAATAGTTACAAAATTTTTTAAAAACCTAGAAAACATTTTGGACAACCCAATAAATGTTACAAGAAAAATATGTTTGATAACAATTTCAGTAAATGCATGCTTCTATGCTGGAGTTATATAAAATATTAGGATTTTCTAATTTAATATTAATGTTCTTATACCACTAGATGAGGATTATAAGACAATTTTGTTATTGTCTTATAATCCTCATCAAATATACTACTTAAAACATGTCTAAAAGTACACAGAACTATTTTATTTTCAAGACATTTTACTATGTGAATTTTTAAAATCAAATGTCATTGGAATTAAACTGGGATTGGATTGCTTTGGTTTACTAATAACGGGTAGGACTTCTTTTTTGGATAATACGGCCAAAATATGTAAAGAAACAGACAAATATAAATCACAAACAACATTAATGTCAATTTTGTACCATTCTTCAACTGATAGTGATGCTAATTCCTTGAAAGAAACAGGAAGTCTAAATCTGTTTCTAACCTTTTTCTCAAGAATGCCCAGACAGGCTAATTATTCTAGTCGAGTGATCGAGTTGACCGGGACAAATGCTTAACTTCAGTTTCGTGCTCCTCGAACCAAGATCGAACAGAACCAGCAGTGTGGATAGCAGTATTGTTGTTCTGAAAGATTGCATAGCCGTCCAGAAACAAAGTCTGGATCACAGGAGGAGTTGGTCACTCAGAATAGCAGACGCCTCCGGACTTTACTTTTGAGGAGGATAACTGTTGGACTCGAGTTTAATGATATCACACCCATATCATGCAGAACCTCCGCCAAACTTGATGGTAAGTTTAAGGCAGTCAACATTGTAAACTTTACACGCTAATCTCCAGACATAAACATGGCCAAAAGTGGGAAACACAGTGAAAGTTGACTCATTCGACCAAATTTCATGTTTCCATGTCTTGAGTGTACATGTTTTGTATCATTCTTTCCATCACTTCCCATTTGGGAATCTGTTAGGTCTGACATAATCATGCTACAAAAATAGGAAAATAGTTTTTCAACAGCAAAAGTAATAAAGTTCATCGACAGTGATATAAACTATGCAAATGAGTGTATATGTGATGGCATGTGTTTCAAGAACAGTTTAATTTGACTGTGTAAGACGGAGATGTTTGAATTATTTACCGACTCCTGTATGTTGATACATCACGATAGTTCCAGCTTACAAATTCAATAAGTTTAAACTGTAATTAATGTATAACAGAAAATTCATACCTCTCACACTTTCCAGCATTAACTGTATAATAAACTAATATTTTTGGCCACATTCAGAGGCTCGTGTTAGGTTAAGCTTATACAAAACTGAATGTCTATAGTGAATTCGAAGTTTGGAAGAATGCAGATTTTCATTGATATCATCATTTTTAAAATTATCTATATTTATGTAAATATTATCACAGTTTTAATGAAGTAAACAAATACAGTGGTGCCTCGAATAACGGACTGGCTGCGAACAATGGACTTTCCATTCAGCAGTTACGTGAGGCAAACAACTGACTTTCTGTGAACAAGTGCGAATGATGTTTCCACTCTTTTGCCGTTGCCAATGACAATCTGCTATTTTTATAATATATTAGTATTATTAGAATATATTATTAGTATATCTGAAGTACAGAGCTCCCGTTGGGATTCGGCTTGCTCCCTTGNAATATATATATTTTTTATATTTTAATATAAAATGACATTTTTCATTATTGAATTTTTTAGAAAATATTTAAAAGATTATTTTTTACAGAACATGTTCCTTGCCATCATTAATGACACTTATGCCGAAGTAAAATCAGAGATTTCGCAAGACAGTAATGAATTTGAACTGGTAGATTACTTCAAAAAGGTAGAATTTAATTTTTCTAGTTTCTTTTATATTGAATTTTAAATATTAATGATAATAATCTCAAATAATTTCAGGGTTATAATAATTTTCTTAGTAAACTCGGTAAGAGAGATCAAATTGCGGATCTACACAATGCCATGAAATTGGCAGACTCGGACGGCGACAACAAACTATCGTTCGAGGAAGTGCGAAGAAAACTAAAACAGTAAGCACTAAACACTATGATATTTTACTCAAAGATGCTTCATGCACATATTAATTACAAATCTCTTTTAACATTGTCTGAAAAGTTTAGGGTCCGCTACTTATTGCCGAATTCAATTGTTTTTATAACATTAATCGTATCAGAAGCTATAGCTTAGTACATTATGTTTTGAAATTTCTTCTAAGTTATTTCTCTTTCTCTCTCTCTAAACATGATAATTACAATGGAAATATTAGTAAATAAATGTTAAAATTGTAAGGAAGAAAAAATATTTTATCATAAAAAATACTAATGAAGTTACAGTATCCAGATGTTAAAATGCTTGCTTGGATTGTTGATTGTTTATGAACTGTTTACACATACAAGTAATCACAAAATGAATATTTATTATACAATGAACCTTATTTTATTGTAGAATCCTTTATGATTGTGAAATGATTTAATTACATGCAATATCGACATAAGGATCCACTGTATCTATCTGATCTCATCTGTCAATTTCTTAAAAATTACATTAATTAATAGAGAAACTGATAAAAAAATCATGCTTCATTCCAAGCAGTTTCAAAGCTTATCAGCTCGTTGTCGGGGATAAAACCCAACAAATTTTTAGAACTCCACAAATTCTGAAAGTCAGATATGTTTCAAACTTATTCCTTAAATACTTTATCAAAAAATCTCTCTACTGTTGGAAGAATGTTTTGAACAGCTGGGATAACACCAAGAAGAGGAGGAGAAACATGATATTTTGGAGTTGAAAAGGGTAAAAGAAAAATATACTTTTATATTAAAGGATGATGATATATTAATTCTCAGAGGTCTGCTCAGACAGAATTCAATACAGTTTGAAACATATTTGACATTTACAATTTGTAGAAATGTAAGAAATTAAGATTTTTTGAATGGATAATTTATTGGTTTTCTCCCAACGATTCTCTGCTTGTAACTTTTAAGTCTTACAGACAAGAAACATATTAGGCAGAGAATAGAATTTCTTAGGAAAATTGCACTTTTTGAAATGCATTTTTAATATCGTATACTTCATGAATTTATTTTTATATTTTCTTACGAAGACAAAATTTCTCGGAAGCCGAAATCGAAATGTGGTTTGCAAAATACGACATCGACGGCAACAGACAGTTGGACGAACAAGAAACGAGGCAGATGTTGGCCGACCTGGAAGGCCAGAAACTTCAATTGGATCGCGAGATCGAAAAGGAACAGCAGATGCCTTCGGATGCCAGCCGTCCGGCCTCCGCCGTCGGCGGCCGTTCGGGAGTGTCTCTGGACGATTTTCACGTGTGAGTACTTTTGTATTTTGTATAGTTATTGTTGTGTATTTTGTATAGCCAATATGGTGTGTTATAGCTTTGCGGAGCCCTGGTGAATCTGAATTAGGGCACCCCGTGTACAGTGTTAACTTCAAAAATTTTTTTCTGGGGGAATATTTTCTTATGAAAGATTGGTTTGGGATCTTCCGTTAGTACAGGGCCCAAGCAATTACCCTTAAGATAATGAAACCAGCATACATTCAGTGGCATGTTATGTTTTGGTTAACGATTGTCTTATTACATCGAGAGCTAAGACGACGACATATGGTTTGATTGGCACTCGGTGAAGGCCACCAACCAAATGTCTCCAATACACTATTCAGTAAATTATTATAAGGAGTTTTAATTTGCATAAATTGGAGCTTGTTATTCTGGATAGCATTTTAAATAAAAACCATTTGTTTTGATGCAACTTTATAAGTGAATAAAAGCAATAAAAGTAAAATAGTTTTACAGAGAAGCACTGCAAACTTTAACCTATTGACCTGGAAACTTCACAAGCATCTTGCTGATAACAAGGGAGACTTAAATTTACTTAAATTTTAAGCTTTTTAGATCCACTAATGTTTTCTTCCTAGGGGCATCTGCATTGCCGGATGACGAAAACGAAGAAATTTTTTTGGTGATTTTTTTTGCACTTTTTCATTGCTTATATTTTGGTAGCTCCTTTATAATCTGATATTTTACATAATACCTATGAAAACCAATTATCTTATATTCAGAATTACTAAGGTATTTGGGGGAAGTTTTTCTTTTCATTCAAAATTAAATATTTCCTCCTTTCAGTCTGTCACGTCGTGTCGATCGAATGGAACATTCCATCGGAAGCATCGTTTCGAAAATAGACGCAGTACTTGTAAAAATGGAATCTATGGAAAGCGCCAAGACGAAACGCAGAGATAATATGAATAAAATCTTAGACACAATTTCTGAAGTAAGTATTATTGCACTTTTATTTATCAGAAAACACTTGGGACACCTCTAATAACAATTTCCGAAACTAGATACAGTCTACAAATCGGGCTTCCGAAGCAATTGCATTCAAACATATTTTTACATTATTGCATTTGATTCAGAAATGATTGTTTTGCGTTGACGGCACGATACCGGCTCCGGGTTGAAAAGGTCTGCGTTCGGGGATTAGGCAGAAGTTCGTATTTGAAAAATCTTTCACGGTCTCCCTTGGGCCAGTAGTGAATGCAGCACTGGCCCAAGTAATTCTACTGCAACATAAGCATATTCAGCTCCTCGCACATACACAAAAGACAACAACACACCCAGTTCTAGAGATGGGCAGTAATTAACTACATAGTTTAAATTACGTTAATAGTTAACTACTCTCGGCATATTAGCTAGAATTATTTTTTATATGTACTATTACAATTACCAGTTAACTGTGTGTTTAATTTCAACTGCTTTAACTACCTGTTATATTAAGCTGAGTGACAGTTTCAGTTTTTATCAATTCAACAAGTTCTGGTTTAACTTTTATACTTAATTTGAGCAATTGTAGCATTGGAAATTTTTATACTGCCAGTTGGTGAAAGTCACATTCAAAAACAACACGTCAGGTTTTACTATATGTTCTCACATACATACATTTTGTTACACACATACATACATACATACATTATATGTTCTCACATACATACATACATTTTGTACTTGTTATGTAACTATATTTGTTTTGTACTTGCGTGCACATGTTAAGTACAAAATTCAAATTAAAATAGCAGAAATCCGAAAAACAATATTAATTGTTTGAGTGTGTTAAACAACTGCTGGCACGTAAGAATACAACACTATAAGTATTCTTGCCAGTTACATCACTGGAGCATCGGCTTTCTTTGTTGGGATAAATTTTAACAGTTAGATGATGCAGAATGTCAACTGAAAAGTTTGTATTTTGAGATAGTTATAAAAGTGCCAAATAATAAGGACGAAACTGTTATTTTAATACAGTCTTAATATTTTGTTTTTCTACTTGAGTAGTTTAAATGTAGTTAACTAATCGTTTCGACTACTTTTTATGCATTTAGTGCCCATCATTACTATCCACCAATCACACCAAAACATGAATGAATTCATCATCCGTACCTATTACAAGACATACATCAAATACTTATTGCTAGTACCTCAACACATGAAAGTGTACATATCATAGTCTTAAACTACAATCACAATTAGAAACACATATACATATTAGATATAAATTAGGCAGGCCGTCACAACACACTAAAAGAGACGTAACACTAAACTTAATGAAAGAGATTAGGAAAATTAAAACATGCACACAAACAAAAACTACCAACCAAAACAGACTCAAACAATAACTAATTACAGAGTACACTATCCCGTACACACGTGGTTCTCAATCTGTGGTCTGCAGAACAAGGGTGCTCCGTGAAGCCACTTCAAGTGTTCCGCGAAAAAAACAAATACATAATTAAAAATTGTTGCAAAAGAAAAATCTATACGATGTAAAAGAATTTTTATAAGGAAATGTAATCAGCAAATGCCAATAATGTCGTATACTAACCGAGGGTGCTCTTGATTTCAAAAAGATTGAGAACCACGGCTGTACAGTACAAAATCATATAAAAATATACGAGATAATTAACCATATACATGTAATAGAATACAGAAAATAATTTACTAATGACTTAATATTAAAATCATTTTAAAATGTAAAAATCTGTCACTTACTTTAAAAATATCCAAAATAGCACGACGGACTAGACGAGAAAGCCAAGCGCCAACAAATGGAACAGTTGGTTCGAGAGGAGCTGCAGCGATGGGATTCCGACATTTCTATGAATTCGCCTCGTTTTGTAAGTCTAATTTGCCATTTAATAAGTTTTCACTCTCTCGTATCTTTCACTGACTTTTTGTTAAAATTTTACAGAATGAAAATAATACATAAAACAACGCCGAGTGCCCCGTTTAAAATCTGGCACGGAGAAAGACCACTATAACTGGAAAAATTGCACACCAAGTTACAATTACAAAGCTAGCACCATCTTCACCAAACCATCGTTTGGCAAAATGATTAAATTTCGTCAAAGTTCGGTTTTATTTACCATCAGCCACAAGTTTATTCTATCGCTAGCAGTGTGCACTCGTATTAAAAACAATCCGTATGATTTAGATGCATTAACTATGTAGCCAAAATTCTAGTCGTCCTTATTCTTTTAGTTGTAAAAACATGAATTTCATATATATACATATACATACACACACAATATTTTAGTTAAAATTTATGTACTGCAAATGTTTTAGCTCTAAAATATCAATCAAAAGATAGTAAGTTTTTGTAATTATTAACGATACTTACAGATTGGCGATGACGCGTGGAAGTCCCGTAGGTCGCTCGTAACAAATTTAGCGAGAATTCTTTCAACCAAAATCGAGGACGAAGCAGATTTAGCAACCATCGGTCTAAGTTTCTGCCCCATGTGTCTTTGTGAAGATCCGCGAGGAGAACACGCGATCGACCGACAGTCGATAAATCTTTGCCCTCGATTCTGGTCGAAAGAATTGTCGATAAATTCATTACAAGCTACTTATAGATTAATTCATACTACAAAGTTTAGCTTATTTTACTTAAAAAATTATGTAAAATTGATGGAAAAATAAGTTATGCTCGAATTCGTTTCATATGCAGCTTAGACATAGTAGTCAACTTCAGACGATAATAAAACTAGGTTACATTTTTTTTTTTTAATAATTATTTCATTAGCCACCCTTAGAAAATGTATGATGTCGAAAGTACCAATATGCAGCAAGCATGCAGTTTAATTATAAAAACTTAATTTGTGTTTAATGCATTGAACTAAACTCAAAATTATTATTTATTACAAGAACATTTCTGAATTCTAGCAACTCTTAAAATTATAAGAAAGAACTTATAATTTTAAAACAGTACGAAATATTGGAAAACAGTTTCAATAATTTCTTGATCTAGTCATTACTGTGGAAAACTGTAACCAGAAAATTTTAATGTAAACCAAAGATGTCATGTAATTTATGATTATCCATTGAAATAAAAATGCATAGTAAGGCAATTTAATGGTGTTACGGATGAATTATTTAATGACGACGATGTAGAAATGACATAAAGAGATCTCGTAGGATTTTTGGGAGTCGTATATTAGAAAGATAGCAAAAGATAACAAAACTATTTTATCTTAACTGGTGATATATTTAATGATTAAGGTTAGAACATAAAAACTATATCAAAATAACAATTAATACGATTTTTATTGCCTTAATGACCTAACCTTACTAATAAAACAAGGTTTGGTTTGCTTATGTATTGTGTTGCTGTAAATAATGCGCCTCCGGGAGGATTTTTAATGGGAAACTGGCCCCTATTTGGTATTATAATCGTGAAGAAAACCCAGAAAATTCCCAAGTGGCCAGCCTTTCAGTGAGGTGCGAACCCACAACCGACTATCTGTGCTCAGTGGTTTTTATCCACTTGGCCACCGGTGGGCAATAAAATAGTTACAAAATTTTTTAAAAACCTAGAAAACATTTTGGACAACCCAATAAATGTTACAAGAAAAATATGTTTGATAACAATTTCAGTAAATGCATGCTTCTATGCTGGAGTTATATAAAATATTAGGATTTTCTAATTTAATATTAATGTTCTTATACCACTAGATGAGGATTATAAGACAATTTTGTTATTGTCTTATAATCCTCATCAAATATACTACTTAAAACATGTCTAAAAGTACACAGAACTATTTTATTTTCAAGACATTTTACTATGTGAATTTTTAAAATCAAATGTCATTGGAATTAAACTGGGATTGGATTGCTTTGGTTTACTAATAACGGGTAGGACTTCTTTTTTGGATAATACGGCCAAAATATGTAAAGAAACAGACAAATATAAATCACAAACAACATTAATGTCAATTTTGTACCATTCTTCAACTGATAGTGATGCTAATTCCTTCAAAGAAACAGGAAGTCTAAATCTGTTTCTAACCTTTTTCTCAAGAATGCCCAGACAGGCTAATTATTCTAGTCGAGTGATCGAGTTGACCGGGACAAATGCTTAACTTCAGTTTCGTGCTCCTCGAACCAAGATCGAACAGAACCAGCAGTGTGGATAGCAGTATTGTTGTTCTGAAAGATTGCATAGCCGTCCAGAAACAAAGTCTGGATCACAGGAGGAGTTGGTCACTCAGAATAGCAGACGCCTCCGGACTTTACTTTTGAGGAGGATAACTGTTGGACTCGAGTTTAATGATATCACACCCATATCATGCAGAACCTCCGCCAAACTTGATGGTAAGTTTAAGGCAGTCAACATTGTAAACTTTACACGCTAATCTCCAGACATAAACATGGCCAAAAGTGGGAAACACAGTGAAAGTTGACTCATTCGACCAAATTTCATGTTTCCATGTCTTGAGTGTACATGTTTTGTATCATTCTTTCCATCACTTCCCATTTGGGAATCTGTTAGGTCTGACATAATCATGCTACAAAAATAGGAAAATAGTTTTTCAACAGCAAAAGTAATAAAGTTCATCGACAGTGATATAAACTATGCAAATGAGTGTATATGTGATGGCATGTGTTTCAAGAACAGTTTAATTTGACTGTGTAAGACGGAGATGTTTGAATTATTTACCGACTCCTGTATGTTGATACATCACGATAGTTCCAGCTTACAAATTCAATAAGTTTAAACTGTAATTAATGTATAACAGAAAATTCATACCTCTCACACTTTCCAGCATTAACTGTATAATAAACTAATATTTTTGGCCACATTCAGAGGCTCGTGTTAGGTTAAGCTTATACAAAACTGAATGTCTATAGTGAATTCGAAGTTTGGAAGAATGCAGATTTTCATTGATATCATCATTTTTAAAATTATCTATATTTATGTAAATATTATCACAGTTTTAATGAAGTAAACAAATACAGTGGTGCCTCGAATAACGGACTGGCTGCGAACAATGGACTTTCCATTCAGCAGTTACGTGAGGCAAACAACTGACTTTCTGTGAACAAGTGCGAATGATGTTTCCACTCTTTTGCCGTTGCCAATGACAATCTGCTATTTTTATAATATATTAGTATTATTAGAATATATTATTAGTATATCTGAAGTACAGAGCTCCCGTTGGGATTCGGCTTGCTCCCTTGTTTATTACGTACATCACCTCAGTGCAGGGTATTTACATTTATTCAAGTGTTGTGCAAATCATGGCTTCTAAAAAAACAGAAAGGTGATTTCAATTGAAACAAAGCAAGAAATCATCAGAAGGAGTGAAAGTTGACAAAAACTTCCTTGTCAAATGGGGAGAGGTTCAGGAGTTTACCAACACTCATTATCCAAACAGAGCTGAGGCCAACAGGATCAATGATCTCTACAATGACACCCTTGCCCGTCATTTCCGACAGGTGTTGAAGAAGAGAGAGAAACAGACCACCCTGGACATGACTTTCAAGAAGCCAGCTGCCAAAAAACAAAGGATGGAATAAGAGGAGATGACCCTGCAAGCTCTGGTAGCCTCTCCTGAATCTGACTCCGATTAAAAAACAATAAAAAGAGAATGCAATGTGTAAAAAGTCTGTATCTGTATGAATATGTGAAGAAAGTGTTCCTCCACCACCTCCTCACAACATATGACTATCCGGAATAATTGGTGACTGCTCCATTTTTATTTTTTTATGGTACAGTATGGTTATTTTATGCTGCAGAACAAATTATATGTTTTAACATGTATTTCTATGGGAAAATGTGTTTTGTATAATGGACTTTTCACTTAATGGATGTGCACTTGGAACGGATTAAGTATGTTATACGAGGCACCACTGTATATTAAAAATGCCTGTAATAAAAAGTTAAATTTAAAAACTCGCACCAAGTTTTGTATAGTTTCTGGATGAAAATTCAAAAACTATACAAAGGAATAAGCAAAAACTATAGAAAGGAAAAAGTATCCGTGATCCAGTCATCATTGCCGTATCTCGGACCACCCTCTATACACATCAGCCGCATATTTCGGCGGCATAACTTCATTCTACCTATAATCCCCTACCAAACCTATGCAGGTGTATTTGCAACGATCGGGACAGGCTAACCACTTTAGAAAAGTCAGGGGTTTACGCAATACACCTAAAGAATCCAGCAACGGGAGCTATTACAAGATACATAGGAGTGAAAAGAATGCTCGCCTCTCACCTTGCAGAGCATCAGGACGATGTAGCCAAAGGAAGATGTTCTACAGAGCTCGCTAAAAAAGTTCTCGAGCAAGGCTACAACCCGCTGTGGTCCAGAATGGCAATACTTAAATGCTGCAACAATCGAAGGCTTGTGTTCATCTGGGAAGTGCTTCTCACAGTTACCATAGAAGCATGCAATGTTCCCACCCTCGATCTACCCGAGGTGTGGATTGCCTTGTATCGGGGTTTAAAAATAAAACGGGCCGAACGTTGTATTGCTAACGCAGTGTCAATTCCATGCATGCGCCACTCGCATCGTAAATTTTAAGTATTCAAATATGTCAAAAACTATTTGTGCGTTCTTAACGGAATTTCCACACCCCTTGTTTGAATTTAAAAATTGTTCTTTTGGAATATTCTGCACGTTCGGTTTGTTAAAATTTGTTCATTTCACCTGAAGATGACGATTATACACTCATCGAAAGTACTTATGTTAATGCTAAATGAACTTTATTAATGCTGAACTCAGTGAATTTTCATTCAGAAACTATGCCTGTAATAAGTAACGTAAGCAAAAAAAATCTCGTGAAACGTCAATTCATATTATTATGTGTATTATTATTGGTTGCCACTCTCTTTAAAGGGGATATTTATTACTGATTGACATGCCATTGATATGGATGATGATAATTTCCAAAATAGGCAATCTTCAATACTTTGAAACTCACTACAGACGCTTCGTTTCGTATAAGCCTAACCCGACACAGGCCACCAAATATGGCCAAAAACGCTTGTTTATTAAACAATTACTGTTGGAAAGTGAGGAATTTTCTAAATTACAGTTTAATCTACCTTTTCAATTGAATATGTCATGGAATCGAGAACTTGGTAAATGTCAATGTAAGTCACTGCAAAACATAAAGCAATCAATTGTTATCAATGCACTTTGTTCTCTTCTCGTTTTTTGATAATTTGACAAAGTTCTGCAACCGCGTTGCCTTCGTAATCATTGTCTGAATTACCATGTCTATCTTTAACGGTTGCTGTCCATAATAATTTATACACGTCACAATATTTTTTTATAAATAAAATTGTCTTATTCTCTGTAATAATACAATCTTAAGAAATTATTCAATAAAAAATTTCCATATTATTTTAATAAAATTCAATATATACAAAAATATGTAGATGATACAATCTCATATTTTTCATTAAGTTTTTATCTTACTTGTCTGTCGGTGTCATTATTTTAACACTTTCTTTTTCTTTTTTAGTAATTGTTTCTTCTTTTTCTTTCTCCTCTGTTCTAATACTTTCTGAAAAGACAAACCTTCTTTCTTTTTTACCATTTGCTTCTTTTCTACATTCATTTCACCTTCCAGGTGCATCTTTTTGCGGGGAATGTTCTCTGTTTTCTGTAGCATTTTGCGTTTCTTTAAAAACGTTCCTGCAATAAATTATATATATAAATATACATTTTATATCCATTAATTGAATTCTCACTGAATAAGGTTTAAATTTTTGTTTTACTATTACAAATGAGACTAATCTTGAGAATATCATCATCCAAGACCATGTACGCGGGGAGGATTTCGAGGTTTAATCTCTCCCATTTGAGAAAATTTTTAAATGGTATATTGTATAAAACTTAATCTTGCACATGACTCTGTTGTCAAATGATCTGCCAATAGTTAAGTTAAACTTTCACGGAAAATGGTGTCATGTAACCAAATATTAATCTCTGGATTAAATTAGATTTTAATTTGTAAAAATATATTAGTATTTGAATTCAAACATTTTTTTTCTTTTTAAGCTTTTAAAAATCCAATGGGGTGCGTCTATTCAGTCTACGCATTGCCTATTACGGGCCTCGGAACAGAAAACGACTTCAAAATAAGCGAGAATAGGAACTCCTGGCATGGAAAAAAGTGACTAAACAGTGACAACTAAAGTTAATTGGCCATGATGATATACATTATTCGTAAGGAGTCAAGTCCAAATGTTATTTTATGTTTATGGGTTTTGCTCATTTGACATTATAATTTAGTTTGAGAACATTTTCTTTTGTTTAAAGGACAATAAAATATTTTCATTATTAACTAATAGTAATTATGAATAAAGCAATCATAATTTGTAATTATGACCGGAAAATACCATGAATCGAGCTTTTGCCCGTTGGCACCGTTTGCCGTAGCGGCATAATTTAGAACTAATGCTTGCACGGGGGCTTAGACGTTTGTACGCATTTCTCGCTTCTGCGTAAATGGTGTCGCAATTGCGAATTCTGGTCTGAAAAGTTTGTTTTTGTGTGTTTTTCTCACTTCTCACATTTGCATAAATGCCGCCTTACAGCGAAGACTCAAACAGATGCGAGTCTCCGGCAAACCAAAACTCCGGAATTTCCGGTTTCGTATTTTGAGCGCGTCGTACCCGAGTCAGTTGACCAAAATTAGCAAAAGGGGTCATTAATTATCCTTTACTATATCTGTGTATTTTGATTTGTTCTTTACTTGGTTTCTTTATTTTTTGTAGAACAAAACTGTAGGTTAATAAGCGCTGGGTCGGTCGGCCAGTTTGATAATTAAATACATGAGACGTCTATTAGAAGATATATGACATGTCTCTCTTAAAACAAATCGAGAGAAAAATTGCCTGTGTATTTACTGTTCTTCCTAATGAGTTATCTTCTTAAATTTTGCAAAGTTAAATTTTTAATTGGTTAAAATTATTAATTATAAAAAAGTTTTTAGTGAAGGTGAATTGCGATGAGCTCGGAAGGAATTAAAATACTGTACTTCGAAAAAAATTTTGTCAACGTTAGACCGCTCTCGAATTCACAATATTACATAACTAACAGTTTTAAGACCTCAAAAGTCACGCAATAACATTAAGTTTTCAACATGCAACAAGAAAAAGATGTTACAGGCGTTGCAATTTAAGTATTTAAACATTAATTAATGAAGTAATACAATAGCTTGGCGTCACAGACATGTCGTTGCCCATAATGGCAGAAAAAGTGATATATCGTCAAAATAGTTGAGAAAAAGTAACTAATTTAAAAATAGTGAGAATAGTAATCCGTTCCAAGGCCTGCTATTACAATGTTGGGTCGAATACGTCGTGTTGTGCTCGAGATCCGTTTTTCTTCTTTAAAATTAATGAATAGGCCCTGGAAGTATGCCTTAAAAATTTTTTCATCTTTCTTCCATTTCACGCTTCAGAAACAAATGGTATGAAGAGTTGACCTTTTATTGTAGATGTAGACACCATAAGACACTGTAAAATTCTCTTTGAAAATATCAGCATCATCAAACAATGAACAGTTCTACGCCTATACAAATTTTTGGAGGTAGTTTTGTGATTCTAATAGGATACAATGCCATTGATTTCTGTCCCGACCATATTGAATATGTCTGTAGGTGAGAGTTCCTTATTACCAGAGATGATTTGGCTAACATATTGATAAAATTGGATATACAGTCGTCCTCTTTACCTTTGACCATTTATTGGGCTAAAAAGAGGAAGGGTCCTAAAAATTTAGGTAGGTGGTTGTCTGAGTATGCAGCCAAATAAACTGTAAAATATGGACAGTTTCAATGTGGAGGTAAAAGTCCAGGCAGTCACCTTCTTGTTGTATTCCTGTGAGTAATCTCACCACGAGATGAAATAAAGTGTTGTTTCGTGAAGCATATTACGGCTAATTGAAGTGGACTTTAACTGATTACAAAAGGAAACAATAAATGAATTACTAAGCTATTAAAGTTTTCTTATTTTTTCGGCTTATATTTGAGTTATTCATTTAAGTTTGAATGTTATTTGACACAAACATGGACAAATTTATAAATATTTTTATTATACTAATTAAATTATGGGTAAAAACAAGTTATTTCTTATAAACTTTTTACCCTGTGGTTTTCCTCCTCCTTGTTTCATAAACTGTTCTGTGTTATTTTCACTTTCGTTGTCCTCCTCTTCCTTTTCCCCTTTCTCTTTTCTGGCTTTAGAATCTTTCTGTTGCATCTGTTTTCTCTTGACGTTTTCTTCTTGCTGCCGCTTTCGTTTTTTCTTAAGTAATCTGTATGCATTAAATAATATCTCATTAGCTTTTATCTTGTTTTCAATGGTAACAAACTTAATAAAAAAGCATTTTGTTAAGTTCTGCTTGAACAAGGTTAAAAGGCTAAATTGCAAAAAAACTAAGTTTAAATTTACTACCGATATAGCACAATTATACAACTAGAATTACAGTGTACTCCTAATTATCCGGGCCGATCGTTAGTAATGGATTCGCAGGTAATCTGTAAGTCTGTTTTAACAAACGCTAATCGATTTTTCTTTTCTTCAGTTTTTAATTTCATATTAAATTCAACATAATAGTTTATATGTTATGAATAAAATACATTTTGAGAATGATAATCTATTTATTTATTTATTAATATACTTTAGGTGTGATCAGAATTGAATAAAACTTTTGACGTAAACAGAAAATTCAAAAAAATTAAGTTTACTGTGAATTTCATCTATTATTATCCAAGAATGACGAGTTGTTGGCTAGATATTGTCTTAAAACATCATTAATTTTGCAATATTAGTGATTATTAGATGAGGAAATGATTCAAAATATTTTCTTTAAACAATTTTACAGCTTATTTAATGGAAAAAAATATGTAAGTAAAGCTGTATTGTTCAAGAATCAACTATATACATACTGTACTTGTTAGGCCATTTAATTTATGCCTCGACCATTTTAAATAGCAAGAGTTAACAAGGCAAATTTTTATTTTATTTTAATGCTAATATCCGCATTCCTGACGTAAACTTTTATCGAGACATAAGCAAGCACGGATAATCAAGATGACCATATTATAACATATATCTTAGTTTATTCAAACAATTACCAAATTTGTTCATTTATATTCCTGTATTTTATAAAACAGTTTTCTTTTTAAAGTAATTTACATGCAATTACGGTTAATCAATAGCAAAGTACGTAACCGGTATTAAGTTCCATGTAAGCCACTCAATAAGCTTGTGAGAGTGGTAATAAATATATTCAAGAACTAGAGTAAGTGTATAAGACTCATCATTTGATACTCATATTGCAGACAAAGTTTAAGTGCAGTAGTATATACTGGTACTTTATCTGGAAATTTTAACACTGTTGATATAAATGGTCTTTTTTAATTATGAAGTGTTCTTGATTAAAAGAAATAAAGTTATTTTTAACCAGTTTATGGCATATCAATTTGAAAGTTAGTAAGCAATACTTTACTATTGTTTTTCATTAACTAACATATTCACTGCCATTTTCCATAGATGACATGATGCATTCCATTTTCCAATAAGCCAGTGATACACAAAATGTAAGAAAAACAATTTATTAATGCAAATTTTTATTTCCAAAGCCTTTAAACATTTTGAAGCATTTTAGCATGATTTTGATTTTGTGTTTATGAGCTACTTTGTATTTTGGCTTGAAAATTACTCCAATAACTACAACTTCCAAACATATCATATCAATATTAATTGTAATGTCATCAAATGGCATTTATTTATAATTATTGTTTTGTAATTACACGAAAGGAACTGAAGCAAATACGGGACCTCAAAATGTCGAGAAATGCAAAAAAGTTGGGTTTTTTTCCCTGTGTGTATAGATGTTTGTGTAGCAGTTAAAGATTTTTATAAGAAAAAATTAAATAAATATTCTATGCCACTTTCACGAGGACATGACTTACTATAATCACCATCAAAAGCTTGGTAGAATACCGATATAATAATTTACTTTTCTGTATATCATCTATATATTATAGACAATAGAAAAACAGATAAAAAAATTAAAAAGAAACTTGCGTTTTCTTTCTTCTCCTTGTTTGCAACAATTTAACTTCTTCGGGTGTCTTCGAAATGATTTTGTGATAAATTACTTCACCTTCCATTAATCCTTCTTCTATTTTTATAAGCTGCAACGTCATTCTCGGACCTAATTCAATCAATCTATAAAATAATCATTTATTATGATTATTAATAATTTTGAAGAAAATATATAAATCTGGATATATAATTTATTTAATACATTATTTATAAATTTACAAAGCAGAACTGCTTATCAATGTGTGGACATTGTTCCATTATTTATAAATTATAACCTACCTAATAGCACTTTTTTCGGACTTTATATTCCCTCTGCTCGATATGTGCTGGGGTAGAACGACTTCATTCTCCGGACCGTCTGGTTCGGCTTCGCTTTCCGACAGATTTCCAGATTTCGTGATAAATTCACTTATATCTTCAAACTGACTCAAATTTGGAACTTTATTCTGGATTATTTTCTTGATTGGTTTACTAACTCCGCACGGAATAACTTTTATGGTACTGAAAGATATTTTAAATTGAAAATCAGTTATGAAATAACTTTTAATTATATTTTAGTAACATCAAAATGGTATTTATAATGCACAAAGTGAAAATTAACTTTAATTGATGATAAATACATTAGATTTTTCATTTAAGGTATCGACTTTCACAAGATAAATAGCAAGACACAGTTTTGTTTGCTACAATTGATTTATTTGACTAATGAATGCTAGTAAGCAGTAACGAGCAATAAAATGAGCATAATGTATTCTATAATATACATTGAAGGATCAAACACTAAAAATAAGTGATTATTCTGTGTACAAATGTACATGTTAGATTCGTTTTCGACTTACAACAAAATCTTGTAACTAGGGCAACACCTGTATTATTACTATTTTAATTTATTTGCTCATTTTTCAAACTATTGAGTGCAAAAATCTGTTTCTTATTAATTAAAGTGACATTTGTTACCAATTTAAAATAATAAACAGGAAAGTCAGTAGTCGTGCGGCATGGAACACGGCAAACTACTACAGATTACTACTGCTATTTTATTTCACAGATAAAAATGATTGACAAATTATCTAAGAATGGCAGTAGGAGGTAATTATTTATAAAGTGTATTATTACATTTGTTTAGATACTAATGAATTTAAAGATCTGAATTCTCAATAACTTCCAGCTGATCATTCAATACTGGATGGCTAAGCACTTTTTCTGAATGAGAGTATCTAACAGATCCAGGCTTCGATCCGTATTGAATTCTCAAAGATAATTTCGAATGCAATCTGCATGAATATATTGAATTCAGTCACTTGTTATCCAACTATTCCATTGTAGATTTTGCCAACTTTGTAAATGGACACATTAAAAGGTCCTCTTAGTGCCAACAGGACAGAAAAAATAAATTAATTTATCCATATTTAAAATTTTGGTAATAATTTCCTCACTGTGCATAATCTACATTTGAAACGTGTTACCATGAAGTATTTTTCAAGATATATATATTCATTTATAGCATACGTAATACTATAAAGCTTACCTCGGGTAAATATCTGTTTTTGTGATTAAATAAACATACAAAAAATCAATTGAAGCAACGAAATACTTACTAATGTCTGAAGTCAAAAGTATCACTTTCGGGATCGTAATTTAACAGTACGCATCTTCTAATTCCATTTAGATTTACCTAAATGATAATGTATATTTAAAATCTTCGAAGTATTTTTAAAACTTAAATCATGATAAACTCTACACATTTGTTAAATTATCAAAAAGAATTAGCTAAAGGCCAGATTGAATTGACTAATATGTATGATGTGTGTAAGTGCGGGAGAATGCAGGTCCTCCCATAGACAATAAAAAACATGCCGAAAGACTGCCAGATTCAATTGGACTACGTCGCCGCTATTATTTAAATTAATTTGTAAATAATTTCTCACTAGAGGTAGGCGTTAGGTGCCATCTCTAGTTAAACTAAGAAACTATTTTATGTATGACTTTTATCAATGTAGAACTAGTTTATTTTATTTACAAATCCTGTTCATGACCCCAAATGTATGGTATATTTATTATACTGTGTAGCATACTTTCTTCTAGTAGCTGTCATTCACTTTAATTCTGTAAGTCAAAGTGCATGACTTAAATTAAACAAAAACACTGAATTACATGTGATTATTTTTGTGTGTTTTTAATCATGAATTTAAGGGATCGAGGAAAATATTCAAATTAATCATGAATTTCAATTAAACAAGTTCTAATTGGCCAAGTTTGACTGTACTATAATTCAAATATAATTAATTGAAAGTTCACAAATCTTATGCGGGCCTTGCATGTAAGCGAGAAAACCATTACAGAGGAAAACATTTGAATCTGAATCCATTGGAGAGTCTTCTACACATTCCAATTTTAGAAAAATCTACATGAAGAAGGTCTTGGTGTAGACCAAAAACATTAGTAATGTTTTTCTCACTTATGTGCAAGGCCTATGTAAGGTTGGTTAACTTAATTAAACAATTAAAGTTCTATTATATTCTTTTCTGAGAGTACTTCCTTAGATTCTTTCTCTGGGATAATCTACGTACCTCAGATCCCTAATAAGGCCATCCCACAATTTGATAGCGTCACCTCTATTACAGTTGGTCTAGCTGTGCCTTGGACTCAAATTACACGTATTTATTATAACTTGGCAAAGGTACAGTACTGCATGTGTAAAGTTTAAATTCCTCTCATATTGTCTGTGATAATACAGGAAATCCTCATTAGTTCAAAAATCAAGGGACAAAATAATCATGACCGAATCATCCACAATTTACATATTTCTGTACAATATGCCACATAACTGTTGTAATTTATTAAGCAAACGAAATACGCTACATATAAAGAATGCTATTTTTGTTATATTATATTAATATAAATAAACTGCAGGTAAACAGTACATGTCTGGTGAGAACCTCACAGATAGGTTTTATAAAAAGTAAAGCAGAATTCTTGAAATATACCCCAAAAAGTAGTAAGTTGCTCAAATCTAGTAGCCTAGAGCCCTACAAATATCTCAATCTGCTTCTTGTAACCCAATCTCGCCCAGCCATATTTTATGAGATAAGAGAAAAAGTGTATACCATGGGTAAGATGAAACCCAAAAATGCATTACTGTAAAAGCAAAGCCATGTTTACTAGATTAGAGTTGTTCTTGGTCTATTGTTCTCTTAAAGTATGAAGACACTCCCTGACCGGGACAAATAGCACAGTACGAACTAACAGGATTTTGAACTATCCGAGTTCGAATTTACGAGCATTACCTGTAATTAATCTACAGTTATAAAGTAAATTCAGATATTAATTAATGCAAAAACCTCTATTCAAATTTATACTTACATTATTAATATTGATTGATGGAAACATATTCTGGAACATGGAAGCAATCAATTTTAAATGCATACCTTCACCACTTAAATTGTTCAATACTAATAACGGATGACTCATAAACTGGCTAGCGTACGTCACTTGTCTTCTCAAAGAAGAGATCACATCTCTGGCAAGAGTATAATTCAAAACACGAAAAGTCAAAGTGGGACCTCTCGGAAGTCTCGCAATACGTAAATTGATAGAAATCTCGGTTTTGGTAAACACCACAAGATGCGTGACATGCAGCAAACCTGCTACAGAAACGAAATCCTTGATAACATTTCGTTTTTGAACCTAAAAAACAGAAACAAGAATTTATTTCTCTGCGCTTATTTTATGTTGTTCTAACAAAATAAATTTAGGTTTCTTTATTAGGGAGGATTTATGCTATTAAATTTTGGTGATTAAAGGACGACGGAGTCAAAAGATAAAGGGGATCATGCGTATATTCAGTAGGATCAGACTTAATGATGATTTTACTGGTTATTAGCATTTACACTTTTTAAAAATAAAACCCATCCCTACCCCGAAAATGAAACTTTCTGCATTTTATAATAGTTAAAAGTATAAAAATTTAAAAAATAAAATATGATAACAAATAGCGCCAGCAAATGTTACCGGAAAAGTTAAGCTACTCATTGTTGGATCAAAGTTTACAGAAAGTTTTTATTTTTTTACAGATCTGAGTGTAAGAGAAGAGTAATAAAAGAGAAATATTTCATAAAAAATTTAATTTAAAATTTTTATTATTTTCCTTTCTGTCTTTTATGTGTTTTTAAAAAATGTATTTTTTGTTATGAAACTTTAATGCATAATCCATTGTATACAGCAACTAAATGAAATTTTTTGTATCTGTTTGCAAAAATCATATTGTTGTTGATGTTTGAAGCAAAACTTTACACTTCCAGGAGAAAAGATGCAATATATAGAGTGAGCACAAAAGTATTCCTTCATTTTCAACCGATATAGAATGTAACTTTATCAGGGGGTATAGTTGCATCAACTCAAAGTTTCACACGATATTAGTTGGTATTACACACTCAACACGTCCAACCCATTACTTGTCAAACATCAACGCGATAATCTACCTCAGACCTGACTCTACGGCACATCTGACACGACCGAATTTACGGCTGCGGCGACACATTCCAGCAGGTCATCCGGGATACGCAAAAGACCAAGCACACATACATACACTTGTTCTTTCATGTACCCCCAAAGGAAAGTCAAACACAGTTAAAATTAAAATATTTTATGTATCATTTATCAATTATTTAAGACCATTTTGTTTCCTTCTTCTGAAAGCAGCATTTAAATCTTAAGTTAGCAGGTACAGTGTTATCTTGAACATAACAAATGTTATGTTTATCATAGACCGCTCTCGAATTCACAATATTACATAACTAACAGTTTTAAGACCTCAAAAGTCACGCAATAACATTAAGTTTTCAACATGCAACAAGAAAANAAGCATACATACATACACTTGTTCTTTCATGTACCCCCAAAGGAAAGTCAAACACAGTTAAAATTAAAATATTTTATGTATCATTTATCAATTATTTAAGACCATTTTGTTTCCTTCTTCTGAAAGCAGCATTTAAATCTTAAGTTAGCAGGTACAGTGCTATCTTGAACATAACAAATGTTATGTTTATCAAAATGTGGTCCACTGTCTCTTCGGAGTACAAAAGTTCCTCAGAAAATACATCGATGGTTTGACCAAAAAGTTAAAATCAATACGGTTGAGTGACCGAGCAAAGGCAAGAGAGGTCAAGTGACACACTTTGTACACGCGCAGCACCACAACGACAAAAGCAACGACATCTCAAACAGTGCACGCTCGGTAAGTAGTCCTATTACTTTTTTGTTTATAGTGCTTTTTAAGCGGGTCAATGACAAAAAAATTCGGTTAATGTCCAGATACGTGGACTGTCATGGTGGCAGTTCCTGTTTCAGCCTCGAAACCGGACCGGTTTGGAGACATGTCACGTGACGACGCGAGCGAACGGCGGCGGCTGCTGCGCCGCGATAAACGGGGAAAACCGATGCGCGGGTTAACGTCCATATACGTAGACTGTCATGGTGGCTCATCTCTGATTCCGGAAAAGAAAAGGAAACAGTGGGGGCACACGTTCTAACCTAACCTAACCTAATCTAATAATATAATTGGTAATAATTATGATAATTTATTAGAATAGGTTAGGTTAGGTTAGAACGTGCGTCCCCACTGTTTCCTTTTCTTTTTTCTTGTTTAAAGTCCAGACACGTGGATTATCATGGCAGCTCACCTCTGATTCCGGCAAAGAAAAGAAAATGAAACAGTGGGGACGCACGTTCTAACCTAACCTAATCTAACCTATTCTAATAAATCAGCATAATTATTACCAATTATATTATTAGAATAGGTTAGGTTAGGTTAGAACGTGCGTCCCCACTGTTTCCTTTTGTTTGCTGGAATCAGCGATGAGGCGCCATGACAGCCGCCGATGCTGCCGCGGCGCAGCAGCCGCCGCCGTTCGCTCGCGTCGTCACGTGACATGTCGTCTCCAAACCGGTCCGGTTTCGAGGCTGAAACAGGAAGTGCCACCATGATAGTCCACGTATCTGGACATTAACCAAAAATTCTATTTTGGAAATGTCTATCAAATTTGTGGTTTTAAAAAACAAAACGCGTAATGTACGAATTGTGGACTTTTACAATAAAGGTAAAAGTCTAAATTAAGTATAATTAATTCTCCTTGTTTTAAAGATTTAAGTAAAGAACTTACTTTTAAATTAGAAGCAGTAAAAGGTTCCATAACTTTTCTGAAATCTCTCAGTAATTCAGCAGTGTATTTCCCTAACTTTCCTCTATAAATAACAAAAGTATGAGGGGCATTTTTAAGTTCTTCTGGTTCTTGACTAGCAGCAGACTGTTCAGCGCCTTTGGCACATTTCCCTTTCTACATAAAAAAAATTAATTCAATTGTTACAATTAATCAAATTCATAAGTTAAAACTAAATTTTAAGATAATTCATTATATACATTTCGTAAACATTACTTACTCTTCCCTTTTTTTTGCCCATTCTTACTCAGTGTTAATTAACACGTGTTTCTCTCATTGAATAACGTAACACCCCCTAGCGGTAAAATTACTAAATCGCAATATTTAAAATAATTCAAAATTATATATATTTTAAATTATAAATATTTATTATTTTAATACTTTAAAAAACTTATTTTTTAATAATATGAATCAGTAAATAAATTTCTTTATACTAAATTTTCACTCGAGCATTATTAATATATTTCATGAACAGAGAAAACCAGCAGTACTATTTGCTATTTCAATAAATAAATCCATAAAAATACATTTATTACTAAATTAAAAATTATATAATAGAATCATTCGGTGCAAAAGTGACGCTATTAGTATAGAGGCACCGGCATATTGCGGGCTTAGAGGCGCTATAAAATGCGCTTCTAATCACGAGCCGACTTCCGGGAAACCAAAATATTATTCGGCGAATCGACTTTCTATGGGCAACTGACTCCTATTTACGTCACGTGGCCAGGCGCGAACCCACGAACACCAGTGTTTAGTGTTGTTATCCTATCGGCCGATAGCAGATTCCAGAATTTTTACCGAAAGTAATTTTACAGGAATTACAGGAATTTTTACCAGTGTGAAAAAGGAGTCTTCATTACCAACGTACACTGTTCTAGTTTACAATGATAATAAAGAGAGCACATCGGAAGAGACTAAGACACTGCTCATTAATTCTTTTGATCAACGATTGCATAAGGTGCCTATCAAGAGTATTCGTAAGATTAACAAGGGTGGAATTGCTGTTGATTTTCCTATCAGAGAGGAGGCTGAATACTTTCAGGAACAATTAAACAAAGTAGAAGGATTGAAGGCACGAAACGCAAGACGGCGTCCTCCTCTTATGAAAGTGACTTCAGGCCGCAACTCAATCACCAAAGAGGACCTATTGGAATATCTGCTTGAACAGAATTTTTTTTTTTTTCATAGAAGTTCACGATGGAGGAGTTTAAAAAGGTTTTAAACATTCGATTTTCAATCAAACAGAGAAATGACGAGTTTTTATCGTGGGTGTTAGAGATGTCACCAGAGGTTAGGGCAATGATTAAAAAACAAGGATATCTTTATGTTCAATGGAAAACGTGCAATGTTTATGATTTTTTCCCTGTTTGACAGTGCTACAAATGTCTTGCTTTTGGATATTTGGCAACAAGTTGCCCATCACCGAAGAAAGTTTGTAGCCATTGTGGTGATAATCATTTGTTTAAGACATGTACAAAGAAAAGTGAAAAGCCTAAATGTGCTAATTGTTTGAGGAGTGGCCTAGATAAGCATGAACATAACACACTGGACACGGAGTGTCCACTTTACATTAAAGCAAAAGCCTTATATATTAAAACAGCTGATTACTTACCTTAATGATTATGGAATCCTTTACAGGGCACAAATTGTTTAATTCGTAGTGCTACCTCTGCTTCTTAGCACAACAACTGATACAAGCAGATCATCGCTTCTCTATATACATTTGTGTTTGTTGACTGTAAGAAACATGTAAGCTTCATGATCTTCTGTTTTGGGGTTTAAAGTGTTGGAATTGATACTTACAATCACTACCTGTGTTGACTTTGTTTTTTTTTTTTTTACTTGTACGCATATTATATATGGACTCATGGGATTCTCAAATCTTTGTCTTACAAATTTTCTGCACGGGATAAATGCTGTTAAACACTTATTTTTCAGAATTATTGTATTTACTGCGACCTTCTTTTGCGAAAGTATTCCTGCAGATAGGTAATCTGTTATATGCTGCAGCAAGCTGCTGCATATTTTGTTCGGGTCTTTTATTGTATTTATTTTTTTATTTTATTTTTCTTTTCACTTTGCTTTGTTCATTAGTCCCTACTGTAACTCGGTGCAACTATGTAACGGATATGCTCCTGTAATGCTCACTGCGGGGCAGGACCTTGTACCTCCTTATAAATGTACAATTAAACTAATGAATGAATGAATAAATCCTACCGGCCCTAGTGGGCTTCTTTGTTCCCCGATCTCTTTCTTCAAATATTGGTTGGTCTCCGCTTTTTATTTACATAAATGAACTAACATATAAAAAGATAAATTGTTTTAGTATTCTTGGTATTATGGGCAATGTTCCCTCTAATTTTTTTTTGTCGATGAGNTTGGAGAGTCTTCTACACATTCCAATTTTAGAAAAATCTACATGAAGAAGGTCTTGGTGTAGACCAAAAACATTAGTAATGTTTTTCTCACTTATGTGCAAGGCCTATGTAAGGTTGGTTAACTTAATTAAACAATTAAAGTTCTATTATATTCTTTTCTGAGAGTACTTCCTTAGATTCTTTCTCTGGGATAATCTACGTACCTCAGATCCCTAATAAGGCCATCCCACAATTTGATAGCGTCACCTCTATTACAGTTGGTCTAGCTGTGCCTTGGACTCAAATTACACGTATTTATTATAACTTGGCAAAGGTACAGTACTGCATGTGTAAAGTTTAAATTCCTCTCATATTGTCTGTGATAATACAGGAAATCCTCATTAGTTCAAAAATCAAGGGACAAAATAATCATGACCGAATCATCCACAATTTACATATTTCTGTACAATATGCCACATAACTGTTGTAATTTATTAAGCAAACTGAATATGGCTACTTATACAGAATGCTATTTTCATTCATTAATAATTAATAATATGATATTTTATTTTAAAACTTTTTATAACAGATGGAGCCACTTGCAATTTGAAATTTTTAGCCGAGAAAGTCACGCAACTCTGTCGGATTTTTAAATTATTTATTGAATTTTCAGTCCTCAATAAATCACGTACAGATAATGCCATGCAATTAAACAAAATTCGTTCCGTATTAATGCAATTTTCCATTGTTTTATACGCGACAGTATTGTGCAGTTACTTTGCAATGTTATTTGCGGCATCGTCGTCATTATTATTTTCTTGTTTATCGTTCTAAAATCGTCTGCAAGAAAATAAGAATGCCAAAAGAATGCAACTCCGCTTTTGTAAACTCTCCATAAATTAATTGGCTTGAAGGATTTTGGCCGACGTTTGTATTTTTCCATGGACGTTATTGCCACTAAAGATAGTTCCGGGTTTTATGCTCTTGTTTAAGATTAACTACAAAATGACAGTTTTAAATAACAATTCCTTAATTAAAATTAGCTTTTATTTACAGGATTTTATATATAAAAATTTGGATTTGTATGTATATTTATGACTTACTTTAAATTTTTAAATTTCTGTGCATGTTTCGTTGCAATTTTCTTCAGTCTGTATGCACGTTTTCTACGGTTTATCCAGTCTGAATGCACGCTTTCTACGGTTTATCCAGTCTGTATGCACGTTTTATACGGTTTATTCAGTCTGTATGTACGTTTTCTACTGTTTTAACTTATCAACGAATTTGAATCGTCGATAAGTTAAAGTCCCTATCGCTTGTTTTCTAAACATTGTAAAGTAGTAAATGTCACTTCTTGCCAAAATTTATGTTGCCATTGTCTACGTTTTAAATGTTTAGCGAGAACAAGAGTGAGTTACTTCCTCAATATTTGAAATCGCACTATTTTACATATAACAGATTTTCTTTTTCTTTAAAAATATATTATTTTTGACCCAAATTCACCAGGCGTTATTCCCGAAGATTGTAGAAAATTAATTCTATGGATACGCAATGGAACAGAGAGCAGTGGCGTAGCAAGACCTAAATTTGACGTGAGCAAGGTACAGTACATTTCGCGAGGCCCTCTGGTGGCGCAAGAAGACGGATTTTATAAAATAAAAAGCAGTTGAAACTGTCAAATTTTTATTCATAAAAATGCAAACTATATTCTTTGACTAACATTAAAGAAAAATTTAAAAAAATAAAAATAAAATAAAAAAAGAATTAAAGGAACAGAAATTTCCTGCTTTTAGCCTTACTGAACTCATTAAATAATAGCGGCCGGATGACCGAGCGGTCAAGATAGCAGCCTACCGCTCTGGGGGACCTGGGCTCAAATCCGAACGGGTCGAAAAATCCCCAGGATTTTTTCGGTGGGTGGTCTGTTCGGATATGTCGGGCCCCGTCCTTCACCATCCGGCAACTCCATTATGGGCCTGGCCAAACCCATAATGGGCTTGCAAAAAGAGGCCCTCTTAGTGCTCACAGGGAGGAAAGAGTTAAAAAAAAAACTCCTTAATAATTGTATCGTAATTTAGCTTAGATGCTATATATGCTTCAATAGATAAAACTGCCAAAGCTGAAAGTCTCTCCTGACCCATTGTATTTCTTAAATAATTTTTTATTAGTTTTAATTTTGAAAAGTTCCTTTCAGCGTAGGCAGTACTTACCGGTATTGTTAACAAAATTCGAATGGCAATGGAAATATTTGGGTAAATTTCTTTCGTTTTCTTGGTCTCTTATGTCAATATATTTATCGTTTTATAACGAGTAAAATTTTTCCGTTGCGTTCACAGCTTTTTTAAGTAATGCGTAAACCTTCGAGGCGAGAGGCCCCTCGGACCGCGAGGCCGTAGGCGGTGGCCCACGTCGCCCACGCCTTACGCCGCCTCTGGCAGAGAGAGACAGCCTCATACACCTCCTCTCAGGGGTTGTCTCCTGGGAGGTCTTTTACGGTAAACTATTTAGGTGTTACTAGCGTGAAGAAAACACTGAAAACTTCACGTGACCGGGCGAACCCACGAACATTGTTCAGTGGTTTTTATTCACTCGGCCACTGATGGGCCTTGTTTTCTTGTAATAAGTACACCCATCCCGTTTTACGACCGATGTATTCTTCTACACGAAATACACTCCACGAAATGCCAAAGAAGCAAGCACATTAAGATCGATCCTACTCGAAATAAGACGCACGACTCCGTTTATCTCCCCACCCCCTCGACCTTTAATCCCCAAAATTTACTAGCACCAATGCCCCTAAAACACAAACCTCCCTGCAAAATTTCAGAAATTTTCGACAAAACACACAAGAGCTATTAAGCTTCAAATTGGGTGAACAAAATCGTGTCCCCCACATACACTAACATCCATACATACAAAAAAAAATCCCCGAATTTTGTTTTGTTTTGTTTTTCTTGACGTTTAAAGGTGTCCTAAGTCCAAAAATATAAAAATCTGAAGGTCATTTTTTTGACCGATCGCCACACTTTCCCTGTTATATATAACAGAGGGAAAGTGTCAAGTACTAAATTATGACATATTGCCTATAAATAGTCAGAATTTTGTGGGCCCCCTAGAAAAACGCATTTATAAGTAGGCCTACTCCTAAATTTTATAGAAATAAATTATTTATTATAGAACAAAGAGCATATAATTAACTATCTGCCACGTGGGTAAACTTATTATGAGATCGGTTAGTTCATCGAGTTGGATAGGACTTAATGAAAATTTTAATCGTTATTGGCATTTATAATATTTTTAAACACGTGTTACTACCCTCAAAATTAAACCGTTTGCCTTTTTTTATTATAATTAATAATATAAAAGTTATTTTTTAAACAAAATCCTGTGGCATCCCCCTCGTCAGATCGCCCACGTTCGCGTTGCCATAATCAAATAAACCAAACCATACCTTTAATTTGGGATTTCGTTGAACGTGATGAAGTTGGTTCAAATCCTTGATCCGTGGTTCAAACACTTCCGTCATGCTGTGCATACGCGATAACGTATATTGACGTAGAAGTGAAGACATTCCAATAATGCACAGAACCTTAACAAATTCTTTATATATTAAATTGCCCAGAATTACAGGGTTATAGTCTGTATTAGAATGTATCATACTTAGGGGGGATCCTAGTAAACCACAAGTTATAATGCCACAAGAGCCCATTATTATTCGTCGATAAGAGGAATCTACAATTGAATTTACTATATATGTATTTTACTACGCATAGAATCCCGCTAAATCTAGGATGAACTTTTCGTGAACCCGATACACTAAACCAATCACGAGCAAACCCGCGGCCCATGAGATCCTCCTAACAGGCGGCACTCGAGGCTTCGACAACGTAATTATGCATTATGCAACCATACTTATGCTGATACTCGTACTTAACTCAACTAGAGAAAGGATGAAAATAAACGATATACATTGTTAATTTGCATATTATTAGAATTATTTTAGTACGTAGTGTGTTGGCGACTGTAAAATATGTCGGTGTTTTGTAGGCTTAAAGACTGCAACTCAATAAGAAACAATGTACGAGGCCTGCTGAAAGACTACGAAGTTTCCTCGTGGCTCTCGTCACTACACTAAACTATTGTTTTTATTTATTTAATTTAAAATATCTCAAATTAGTAGTGGCTTTCCCTGTACATCATACTTTTCCTTTAACAATAGTGTGCCGGTCATAAAACATAGGGCATAAAATCCCTCAAATTTTAGCCACTTTGATCCTGTGAACCAAGAGATTGTTTGTAAATCAAATTGGCAAGAGGGTATAATGTAGAAAGGTGAGGAATTTCGAAGAAGGAAGAAAAACCAAACGGCAAAACGATTGTTGTAAAACATCCAACAAAGCATAAAATAGAGTGTTTCTTGTGTCTACATAAAATTTAACAAAGGACATTACACTCAACAATTACTTTATCTTCTTTGCAGTTGTAGAGTAGGTTTAATCAAGCTTCGTATCGCGCCAGAAAGTATCTGTCAATCACGCTCTACACTCTAGTGCGTGATAGACAGATACTTTTCGGTCATTTACATTTTTTAAATCCCTTATAGCGAAGAAAATAGAAATTTTGAGTCAAACACCAGGTTTTTTAGAGTGTTCGAAGCTAATTTTGGATTGCTTTTGTGCACGGGTATACGCGAATAAATCAGTGTGTAACGCGTTGAATCACCTCCCCCGTAGATTGATGTTAGAAAATGATTCAAAAATGATCTTCTCGCCACAATTCTATGAATAATTCAAACTAGAAAACAAGAGTCGAAGACAATTAATGGCGGTGACTCAATTTTAAGGGGGGCAACAATGCATCTGTAAACTTTTCTCGAATTTCGTTAAGACATTTTGGAAGATAAACACCATTTTCTAGTCTTTTTGGCCTCCGTCCAGATCGACGGAAGGGTTTATTATCTAAAGGACTCTCTCGTATTTTTTAAAATAATCCGGACTTACCCGATCCTACGAGCCACGGACAATGGCAAAGAGATCGTAAATTCGAAACGGGAGAGGGGACAAATATATTATTATTATTACTTTCGTTTAATAAAAAAAAATGAAGTGGAGTCGACCCAAGTCGAGAGATGATTCAAGTGGAATAGCGAGGATGCTGATTCAAAAATAGTCTTACGTACTCATCCATTTGGCGTGGGGGTGGAAGATTATTGTTCCCATTCGAGCGCTTTATCAGCTGTTACGATTGTTGTGCAAAACAATGCGTCAGTCTCCTCGTTTCGACGTTCAAATGATGCTTTGTCTGACGACATCAATCGAGTTACGTGGCAGATTACGTCCGACAAAGAATGTCCAAATGAATGGTGGATAAAAAAAGCCCAGCTGCTATTTTTATAGAACCCGACAACAAACGAATTATTTCTCTATTTGTAAGCACGTATTTTTGACACCGGGTGACGTATGTCCGTGTCCATCCCTGGTTCCTTTTCGTCGGATAATAAAAAAAAATAAATTTAGAGGAACCCGCAAAGCGAAATCTCTAAAAAACGAAGGCCCTCCTAGAACACGAGACTAGTCGAAGGTCAGAAGCTATACGTGTTTATAAACAGAAAACAATGCCGGAGTGATAGAGTTTAACGTCTCGGACAGATTTTTTTTATATATATAACTAATTTATAAAAATATGAAGTTGGCGAGCCGATACGGAGCTCACCCCATGCTCTTTAATCATCACAAAAAGTGCCAAGTACAAAGAATGAGGAGGAATTCACGTTTATATTTTGGTTGTTCTTGAAATTTTTTTTTAACAAATAAAAGAATCGGGATGTAAAGTTCGAGATTTTAATAGTGACGAGTTAAGAATCACCCTTTTATTGACGTTGCAATGAAAGTCCAATTCAACTCCAAGTGCTGCAGAGTTGAATCGTGTTTTTGTGTTGGACGAAAGACGATTGTCTATTGGTTAATTCAATGACTTCCGGATGATCTTATCGACAGTTCGCCAACCCGATCCACTTGTTCGACAGGCGAAATTTTGGTATTAAGAGTGCTTAACGCCCTTTGCAACTCGGAATGGTCTATCGTGGATACTAAACCCGTTTAAAACAACAAGACGGAGATGATTTAGTCGTCGAAACACGCAGAAAGTTTCCAAAAACTAGAGATGACTAATGTAGAATCGGGTGCTTGTGTTTCTCTATCTTCGGGATGAAGATTCGATGGTCCAAGATTGCGCCATTGACACAATGGGAGGATGCTCTTCTGACTCATCCCTCCAATCGAACAACAACAGGTAGCGAGTGCACGGGATGTCAGACGGAGAGGCTCCCTCCAACGACCAGAAAACTCAGAGAGGGGGGAGTATTAAGGCGGAGCATGCGCACCAGCCTCTCTGACCGTATTCAGACTTAGTTATAACCTGGTAGGAAATGCCGATTTCTAAAAAAGGAAACCGGGTTGTGACTAACAAGTAATCCGAGATCCGGAGCGACTGACGGGCTAAGGTGAGAATTTAAGGCATGAGACCCGTGGCTCAAGTCGTAGTCTGCTTCGTGCCTGCAGCTTAGCAGCCTCCACCAGTTGATCGCCATCTCGGACGCACGTGCCCGATCAAGCAGAGGTTGATCTCGTGTTCACTCGTGGGAATACCGAGATTACACGTCTGACCGCCCCGGTTCAACAATGACCACTACAAAGAGTGCCAAGTACTTCTATAGATCCACCGGTGGGGGTGGTGGAGGAGACATTTCTATCGAATATGGCACCGATCTGGGTGCACTCACCCGGCTGGAGGTAAGAGTCCCCCTTTTTTTTCTTTCTTCCCCCCTCTGTCGACTTACTTCCGCGACCTTGTGAATGGCCGTTTCCGCTTTATAAGTTTGTTTGTAAGTTCTAAATTTATAAAATTCCACACAAAGGGGTCGTTCATGAAACGGACAATCTCAATTGTCACGTTAAAGATTCATAATGAACCTTTTCATTTCAACGCAGGCAGGGAAACTGTCGAAAATGATGGAAGAAGACGGGGGATGAGGAAAATAAATGCTTTGATTTGCGTGTTATCGAAGAGTGGTACCCAGAAAATATATTTTAATCGTGTTAATATTTAAAAAATCCGAGTTAGGAGGAAGGTCCACTGGTGGTGTCATGTATATATATATATATAAACATGGATTTAAAAACGGAGCGTGACTCATTTACGGAAAGTTTAGCTCCCTCTCCTAACTTATCGTTCGTTCGCCTACGCTCCATTCTTGCCAAAATGTGGCGAGCAAACCCGGTAGTTTAGAATTTACCCATTTAATTCGGGGATAGGACTATGAATTTATTACATTCGATCTTACTTAAGAGCGTGGATAATTCGGAAAACGAGAACGTGAATAACGTTTATATAAAGCGGAAACGGCGGTGTAGAGTCTTGTTTCCGCTTTTCTACATCGACGAACCGGAAGTAAACGTCAAATTCGGGTGGTGGGAGGTAAACAGAGCGGAGCGAGAAGAGCTGTAAGGGAGGATGAGTAAGAAGCTGCACGCTTACGACCCAGATCGCCGCTGGCAACGATGTATCGAAGAAGACTATTGGCTGGCACAGGGCCTGTAGCCTATAAACCATCCGATGACGTCACTTCCACCATCGGACAGTTTTGGTAACGCCCGAGCCATCGACTAAATTTGGGTTTTGATGGGTTTTTTTTTCCCTCTTCAGGAATGCGGTGTCGGATGGTCATCGCAGTCGGAACAACCTCCCAAATTCTTCCAAACCCCTCCCCGAGTTAATTTCCAACAAAACAAGAAATTTGCCCGGTTTCATGAAGAATTTTCCATGTCGAAACCAATCACGGATAAAATGACGCCCAAATCCTTGCTACCAAATAAATAAATTAAGGAACAACAGGGCTTATGGCACACGAAATGAGGAAATCGTGGCACGTACGAGGATGTAAAAGTAAAAAAACTCAGCATTTAAGGGACTTCAAAAGATTAGATTCTTGAAATTTCTGAAATTCCTGCTGTGCCACGATTTTGGATGTGACAGAAAATATGGAATTTCAATGGAACTCGAGTAGTGAAAGAATAAATGGCACATAAAGAAACGATGGTTAAAATATGGATGGAACAATGGAAATAATGGAACTATTACACCCACAAATCGTAAAAAATTTGCATAATTATGGCATACAGTAAAACCCGTGTAAACCGGACAAAAGTTTCCGTTTTGAACAGGTTTTACTGCATATGACGAGCCAATAAAAATCTTAAAATTACGACAATTATAGTATTAAAATTCGTAAAAATTTCATACCCATTTGTTTCTTAATATATGAAATTTATACTTGTAAACATTATAAGGAACCCCCCCCCTTTTTTTAGGTTAAAATATAATGTTTTTATTATTATTATTTTTTTTCCAGGATAAAATCCGGCTGCTTCAGGACGATCTAGAAACGGAGCGAGAGATGAGGCAGAGGGTAAGTCATACCTTTGCAGGATGCCACCAGCCAACGAGGGCGGATGCTATTTTTGGTATCAGCATCCGAGAAATGGGTCACCCACCATACGTGGAGAATAGCGCGCTAGAATTTCTAGGAAAGTTGGAGCAAACCACCGAGTTTTGAATTTTTTTTTATTCCTCCTCCTTTTTTTGGTCCTCTAGAAAAATAAATCCCTCTGCCAAGGAACGTTCTCTAGAAAATAGATATCCTCTTTGTTTCTATGGTAATTCTATAAGGAATATTGTCTCAAGGCACCCGAAAAATCTATTCAAAATAAACATTCTTTCCTCTGGTAATTATGTAAACCTATCGACTTCCGTTTAGTCCTCGACTAGAATGAGGAATTCCAAACAGGGAGGAAGTATTCGTCTTTACTCTCTCTCGTTTCCTAAACGTATTATTTTTGGATCTTTCTTTGAAAATCGTCTGCCAGTCATGTCTTTTTATAATATTTTACTTTCTCTTCTCCTTGACGTTTAAAATATCTCATCTAACCTGGCACTTCTGTCGGTGCCCCTGAGATTAAAGCGGCTTAACGTAAAGGAACACTAGGAGCTTTGGTAATTAGCCTCGTTTCTTAAAGAGGGGAGAGAGTTGCAGGGGTTGAAACATGCTCTTTAACACTTAAATCGTTCATTCTCGTGTCCAGAAGACTAAAGGGGGGTGGGCAACAGCGACAATTGCTTCGATTTTGGCAGAGTGCTTAAAAAATGTGACGTAACAATCGGCTCCCGTCCGTCTGTCCCTTCAAACTGGAGTTTACGTAACACAAGCAGTTTCCCCGTCGTTTAAAACACAGATTTTTTTGGGGGGGTAATTTCGACGTTAAATTAGTATATTTGAGGTGTGGTTTCTGGTGGACAACGAGCCAAAATCGGTTTATTTTGATTTCGCATTCCTTCCCTAACGAAATGGTAATTTAGAAAGTGTTCTAAAAACATCGTTTGGTGAAGAATTTCCCTATTTCCCCCTCAATTTCTTCCCCCTCACAGACGTGACGGGAAAATATTTGAAATTCTTCCCCTCCGAAGTTGAAAGTCGAAGACTTTTCCCACTCAAAAACCCAAATGGATGATGGTCTGGGATGGAGAATATAATTTTGCCCGGGTCTAAATTTAGATGCCGATCGTCGGTTGCCAAAAATAGTCAAGACACACGTCTTGAAAATGAAACTGGGAAAACATTTGCTACTTTTTACCTTATACCGTACTCCACGATCGCATTTCATCTTCTTCCATCCCTCCTTTCCAATTGGTTCCTCCTTTCGTATGTGGGTGCGATTACTTTTCTTTAATAAAAAAAAAAACATCGCCGTACTAACGACAAAACTTCGACTGGTGGCGGGACTCTTAAACATTTTACACGGGGTTTAGAAATTACTTTATTAATATACGGTGGCCTTTGTTATTAGTGATTTTATAAAAGGAATTAATGGACGTGGGTGTGGGTAATTTCATACCTCGTTAATTAGTAGGGTACACAATTAAGTTATAAATAGAAATTATTTAAGTAAATGGGAGCCAACTTTCTAAAAAAATAAGTGAATTTATTACCTCTATCCTTAATTAAAGACTACCTAAAAATATATTTTACTTGAATAGTTTATTAGATATATAGTAGATCCCCCGCATTACGACCGCTCGATTTACAACTCATCCCTTTTACGATCGAAACCAATTCTATTGTGTTTTGTGTTAAATTTTGTGTTTAATTATAGTATAATAGAATTTTTCGCCCACAGTTTATTTACGGTTTTATACTCCTCGCTTAATTAATGATTAACTCGTTAGGTCGTAAAGCGAGGGGTCCACCGTAAATGTTATTGTTATGTTAGGAAATTATTACTTAGAATAATGTACGAGTATGCGCGTTTTATATGTACAATTTTTTTATATTATCCGCTCCGAGAATGGAATTAATGTGGTTAGTTTGGTTTATTTTGGTAATCTACTGAAGGGGGATGGATTTTATACAGGAAATTGGCCTCTATTTAGGTGTTATAAACGTGAAGAAAACCCGGAAATCCGAACCCACTACCAGTGTTAGGTGGTTTTATGCACTCGTATACTAGTGGGATGGGAATTAAGTAGGGATCTCTCTGTGTTTCGCTTGTTTTTGTCCATAGTTCTTTTGTTAAAATACGTCTCAGCATGGAGTAGGACCACCGTGACGGTGACAAATCCAATTTTTATGTACTTAACTCTTACTTTAGTATATATAATTTGTATCGATATTCGCATAATGCATTTTCTCCTACAGATCGAACGAGAAAAATCCGACCTTCTGATCCAATTGATGCAGGTGACGGAGCGGTTGGAGGAAGCGGAAGGAAGCAGCGAGAGTCAGGTATAAAAAGAAAAAGAAAGACTGTTTGCATAGAATTCTGAAGCATTCCCGCATTAAAAAAAATTAAAATTAAAAATTTATGACAAATTCTAGGCGGAGTTGAATAAAAAAAGAGACGTGGAGTTAGCCAAATTGAGAAAATTGTTAGAAGACGTCCACCTGGAGAGTGAAGAAACGGCCCATCATTTAAGAAAAAAACACCAAGAGAGCATCGTCGACTTCCAGGAGCAAGTGGAGCAATTAAACAAGCACAAGACAAAGTACGAAAACCAAAATTAATTATGGAAAGGAGAGATTTTCATGTCGTCATGTCTAAACTTCATTGCGGAATTTCAGGTTAGATAGAGAGAAGCAGAAATTGCAAGCCGAAGTTTACGAGCTGTTGGCTCAAGTCGAAAATGCCAATAAAGAAAAGGTAAGACACCCTTTATACATCACGGTTTTATATAGAACTGTTTACAAAATCTAATTATTATTATTATTGGCATTTGATGGTGCCATTACGCTCTAGACAGACCATCCTTTGTCGTATATTATTCATTAAGACGGTGATGTAGGGTCTTCAGGCACTCAGAAAAGTTCCAAAACAAACCCAGAATGTGTTCCAAATATATAAAACAATTCACCCAAATTTAAGAATAGGAAAACGTTTGATGGACTCCTGTTTTTATAACCTAATTCAATCGTATAAAAACTTTCAAATTGAGATTACGTAACAAGGGAACGTAATTAAATTATATTATTTAACTACATAATATGATAAGGATCTGCAGTATTTAGGAGGGAAGAAAGGCATAGCATATCAAAAGTACGGTAGGGCAACAAATGATTAATGAAGCAACAGAACAAGAAAAAAAAGACACGCAGTAAGATTTTTAAATTATAAAATGGCATATTTATTATCAAATATGTCATTTTTCCTCAGAAAGAGAGAGAGAGAAGGGGAGAAAAAAAAAACAATTAAAATTTATAAGAAATTGGCTCGTGCTGCGAGAGATCCAACAATTCGAGAAGTTGGCCAAAAACTGGTAAATGTTTACAATGAAGAATGCACACTTAAAAACAAAAACAAGAACAAAAAAAATACCGTGAAACACAACAGAGAATGTTGCCATTTCGTCACTCGATTCCATTGCAAAATATTTTTCAAGAGCTCTTTTCTTTCTTTTCTAAGAAACAAGATCCCAATTGTTTGCAGAGGAGATTTATTCTACAAAATGCAATTAATCCTCCCTCTAAAAAGAAGAAGAAGGAAAAAAAAGAAAAAAAAAAACTAAGCATGCTTCTCGACAAATGTTACGATCCGCCATTACAGACGGATCCAACTTAATTGGGAGTGAAGATAGTCACGTGATGGGGTGGCGTAGTCACGCTCCAGTTTTTCGCGAAGGAGCGAAAGTAAAGCTCAGAAATTTCTAAAAATATCCGATCGAAAACGTAACTAAAAATATCGCCATTACCGCAATACTTAAAGTAAATAAATTACATTTTGCTTCGTCAAAAATTCAACTTTTGCTCTGATGTTTATTGGTAAAAATTCAAAAAAACAAGTTTAAATATGCCAAGAACAATAACAACTTTATAAGCTTAATAATTATACATGAATTTTTTCATGTTCTCCTCTAAATATTCGTAATAAAGCGTATGAATGAAAAAAAAACATGGCGATAAAAGAACTTTTATTTAATTTTTTGGGGGTTTTTCCACAATTAAATTATAGAACGGAGTATTGCATCAAAGCCTCCCATGCTCGAGGGTGTAGTGCTTATATGGCACTATTAAATATTTTTAAAACCCGTAAATATATTAATAATTTGCCATTCATAGATAACGGACATTCAGACGTCCAAACACATACTGTATATATATAATAAACACGAACATTAGGGATAGAAAGAGGAGATAAATACATAGAAAAAGATAGAAAGATTCGCAGGAATGTAAACAATGTAATGTGTTATTTTGTGTATGCACACAGTAGCATAAAGAAACAGACGTAAACAAACAAAGAAAAAATAAATATTCATAAAGATGAAACACGAAGAACGTTTAGGAATTAGCTGAAGCACGAAACAATAATGGCCAAGATTACAAAGGATTGCTGTAAATCAAACCAAATGAGCGAGATTACTGTGATTTACAACAAAGAATTAATCAATTGTTTGTTATCAGATGGCAGCGCATAAGGTGGTGGAGAAATTGGAAATTACCGTTCACGAACTCAACATCAGAATCGAAGAACTCAACCGATCCGTCACCGAAGTCACAGCCCAAAAATCCCGCCTTCATTCCGAAAACGTGGAACTGATCAAAGAAGTCCAAGAGTACAAATCATCCCTCGACAACGTAAACTATCTGAAGACCCAGCTAGCCACTCAACTAGAAGAAACTCGACGAAGGTTAGAAGACGAGGAAAGGGTAAGCATCTTCCTCCCTCTTCGGGTCTAGTTCCTTTTTTTTTAGACCATAACACTAAAACTGACCTTTCGATTTAATGTTTTAGAAACGTTCTAGCTTGGAGCAACACGTCCACACCTTGGAAGTCGAAGTAGAATCCTTGAAAGTCCAACTTGATGAGGAATCCGAGATACGAATGGATCTGGAGAGGCAATTGAGTAAAGCCAACGGTGATGCCGCTGCCTGGAAATCCAAGTACGAAGCAGAGTGCCAAGCTCACAACGACGAATGCGAAGAACTGAGGTGAGATTAAGCACGTGTTTTAATTATATTTTTTTGTAAAATTTGAGATTTTAAAACGTTCGAAAATATATTTCTAGACGCAAACTTGCCCAGAAAGTGGCGGAATACGAAGAACAGCTTCAAGCTTTACTGAACAAATGCAGCTCGTTGGAGAAGCAAAAATCCAGATTGCAGAGCGAAGTCGAAGTCCTGATCATGGATTTAGAAAAGGTCAGTTCAATTTCTTGATCCATCTTTTAAAAAAATTAAATCCAACAACAAGTTGCTTGACTTTCCCCACAAAATTTGCTCGCCCCCATCTGTTATCATATTTTATTAATTTTTTTAAATATTTTTAATTATCAAAAGGCGCCATATTAAAATTTGCCCCTAGTGCCAAACGGCTCTGCTCATACTTAACTAATTTATGACGTGGTATAATTATAGGGTTATCTATACGTATCATTCAACAGGCATTTCCATGTTAGCTTGTTAAATTCCATGGAAATGGCGAGGATAATACTTAGTTTTCATGAGGATTTCACTAAAAATGGTGTATATTTTTGTTGCAGGCCACCACACACGCTCAGAATATGGAAAAACGATGCGCACAATTGGAAAAGATGAACTTAGACTTGAAGAACAAAGTGGACGAGTTAGTGGCTTTGCTGGAACAAGCGCAGAGAGAAACCAGAGCCAAGATCGCGGAACTTCAGAAATTGCAACACGACTACGAGAAACTAAGGGACAACAGGGATGCATTGGCTCGGGAGAACAAAAAGTTGCAAGGTAATACGCAAATCCCAAATCTTACTCCAGGATCTCGTTTATCCGTTCGTCGGATGACCCTTTCCGTTACTTTTGACAGACGACCTCAACGACGCCAAGGGTCAGCTCAGTGACGCTCAGAGGAGGATCCACGAGATGGACATCGAGATCAAGAGATTAGAAAACGAGAGAGAGGAACTGATGGCGGCTTATAGAGAGGCGGAAGCCATGAGGAAGCAGGAAGAAGCCAAGGCTCAACGTCTGGCAGCCGAATTGGCTCAAGTTCGTCACGAGTACGAGAAGAGACTGGCTGCCAAGGAGGAGGAGTTGGAATCTCTACGGTAAGTATTTTACTACCTATCCAGTCAATGAGATTGTAACAGGAAGTGGGGGAAATACCCCTTGAATGAACCTCCACGTCGATAAGGAATTTACCAAGTTCAAACTGCTCGTTTCTCTGTAAACGTCAACAAACTCGAGAACAATCTCTCATCTTTTCCAAAATAATAATTATATTCAAATACACTTTATCTCCTTCATTTCGACCAATTACTTGGACAGAAATGCACGAAGACACGCGTTAATTTCGCTAAATTTTATTGTGAAGATCACAATAATTTGTTTCATTTAGAAAACGAAAAAGGGTCATTTAGAAAATTCTCGCCCCTCCCAAAACTCCTTTACTTTCCGAAAGATGGCAGCACGTATCTTCCATCCCTCTGAGGTCCTATAAATCAACTACACAGTAGTAAGCCCTCTTTGTATCATTGCAATTGAGGATTCCCCTAATATTGTGTGCCTTTTCTGATTAATTTGAATTTAAATTAGTCCTCACTCCAATTATTTTCACTTTCTCTTTAACTCCAAACACAACGTTTGCTGTTACATTAGAAAATTGTATCATTGGACTTTAAACCTTTCGTGTCTTAGTTCTATTTCCGTGTGGTGTATTTGGTTTATTTGTTTATGGTAAGGAGATACGTGGGCGATCTGTAAAGACTTCTATGGGAAACTGGTCCCTATTTAGGTGCTATAAACGTGAAGAAAACCTGGAAAACTCCACGTGGCCAGCCCTTTTGCCAGGTGAAAACCCACGACCAACTAACAGTATTTGATATTTTTATCCACTCGACCATTAGTGGGCACTCCAACTTTCATGTAAATGTATCGAAAGCATTCCAAGTTTTCAAACAAAGTACGAACAAATACCACTGATGACAATTAGAGAACCCTGTATAAATTGGGAATTAAGAACTGTCAACAGATGAAAGATTTTAATTAGAATTTAGTGCCGAAAAAAAGGGCCTGTTTTGAGGGGAGAAGAAATCTGAATGGATGCCAAACAGACTCTCTAACACCGTCTCACGTGGCCTACATTAACCAATAACGTAAACAGAAATGAAGTAACACAATGGCGACAATTCCGTCATCGTTGACAGTTGTGCAAACGTGGCACATAACACCTCTGCCAACACGTGAAGCTCCCATTGTGTCCCTCACGTTGCGGCCTTCCTTAAGATGGCATTCGGATAAACATTTCGATTCCTAAGGTACGGGATTCGCCGAAAATGCCGACTAATCCGTTTTTCCCCCCTTCTACTCCAAGAAAAAAAAAGTGATGAGATCAGATATTATCCGGGATGGAGCAAGCATTCTGTCGGGCTCTTAAAATAATGCAGACCGGCTGGAAGGACGAAGCGTGGAATGCTAACCCCAGCACTTTTTATCCACCAATAGACGGAGCTGAGTGCGCTTAATCATTAAAATCCAATGGGCAGTCGATTGCATCAAGTGTCTCGAGCCAGATCTATCAGATCCACACTCAAACATGGCACCAGGCAAACACTGGAGAAGACCTTACAGAGCAACCTACAGCGGTAATTACGATTTTGGTGGAAGCCTGTACTCGGAGGCGCTAGCAAGCGTGGGGTTGAAACCGGAAGTCGTTACTCCCGTTGATGGGAAGGAAACGTCTGCAGCGTTGCCAATTCGAGAGAACCAGACAATCGACGAAACGCTCAGAGCACAGAAAGCAAACATGACTCTGCGACGAGTCCGATCATCCGTGGATGTAATGTGCCCAGTCGAAAATGCAATTTGGGACCGGATGTGGAGTAATAAGCGGCGTGACGTCATTACTTTCCACGGCGAACACGTGAAACACATGGACGAGAGAAAAATGATGTTTCAAAGCCCGGAAGAAGAGAAACAGAAGGTGGAAGAATTGAAAAAAGACTCTCAAGTTGTCCTACTGGAACCTAACCTGGCAGAAACCATACACAAGCAAAATGTCTGTCGAGAGCTGGAGATAACGGAGATGCGGTTTGTTCCCCCTCTTCTTGTTTTATTTACAAATTTTTCCTTATAAAATTATAACCCAACGCGATAGAAATTTCTAAATCCCCCCTCCTAACGCTATATATGTAGCGAGCGACCTGAATCAGCGAGTGTTTATTTTAGTTTTTGACCTTCGTTGAACTAGGGGTTAATCGCTTCCACAGTTAAAATTGGTGTTAGCCAAACAAAACCCGTTTACAATTACTAAATGGTAGATTTAATTTTAATTAATTAATCGATATGTATTAAGTAGATCGTAATTAATGGCTTAGGTGTCGATTACTTATGTTAGTATGTAGATATCTTCCGCTATGTCTCGCTACTAAAATAGGTGTTTGAAACCTTGAACGTTCGCCAGTGCAGCGACAATCTTATCGAGGACAATATGAAACAGGTTTAACGTTTTTCTCTTCGGTGCAGTGAGAAAATTTGATGACTCTGCATCTAAGATAGAGAGTTCTCTTAACACCTTACAGCCATAACTACACAAAATGCTGCTTTGTAACTTGAAAATAGTACGGATCAAAGGGAGTAATCAGCAAAAAATAAACATTGAAGTTAAAATTTATTTTAAACCTTGCAAATATGTAAAAATTTCTTTACTTTTCTTTATTATTTACTTATCCTCACTGTCTATTTCTTGACGAAAAATTAACTATGAAACATAGAATTTTTTTTCGAGAAGTTATTACGAGAAATTCATCTTTGTTTAATTGTTTGAATGCAGCAAACAGATGCAAATAGAAATCGAACATCTGAGCCAGAGATTGGCCGAAGCGGAAGCCAAATTGAAGACAGAAATTGCAAGAATCAAGAAGAAGTTTCAAGTTCAAATCACGGAATTGGAAATGTCTCTGGATGCTGCAAACAAACAGAATTTGGATCTTCAGAAGACCATCAAGAAACAAGCTCTTCACATTACCGTAATTGACCTTCTGTCTTTCTTCTAATGCAAAAGGTGTTTTCTGAAAGTTCGCTAAAGATTTCTTTTTTTTTTTCTTCACGACAGGAATTGCAAGCCCACTACGACGAAGTACATCGCCAGTTACAGCAGACCCTCGATCAATTAGGGGTATCTCAACGTCGTTGCCAAGGTCTTCAGGCTGAACTGGACGAAATGCGCACCAGTTTGGAACAGGTGAGATTCCCGCTTCTTCACGAATACCTTTAGTAATATTTTCACCAAATTAATGTCTAGAATGATTTTGTTTAGGCTAACAGAGCCAAGAGAGCGGCCGAGATCCAGTGCGAAGAAGCCACTTCCAGAATAAACGAGTTGAACACCATCAACATGAACTTGTTGGCAGCTAAATCCAAGTTGGAGGGCGACTTCTCTACCTTACAGGCCGATTTCGAAGAAATTCAGAAGGAACTAAGGGTAGGTCGAGGTAAATTTCCTCTCGGTATCATCGAAGGATTCCAAAAATACTGATGGTCGTCTCAATCGCAGGCAGCCGACGAGAGAGCCACAAGAGCAATTTCGGAGTTGAAGATCACTAAGGATGCTCTAGTCGAAGAGACGGAACGTTTAGTCAAGATCGAATCCATCAAGAAATCACTAGAAATTGAGGTGCACAATTTGCAAGTTCGCATCGAAGAAGTAGAAGCCAACGCGTTGGCCGGTGGCAAGAGAGTCATCGCCAAATTAGAGTCCAGAGTGAGTGATCCATTCAGACTAGATCGGTCGCTGTCTTAGAAATTTTATAATCTGATTTCCAAACGTTCTCTTTTGTAGATTCGAGACATAGAAATCGAATTCGAAGAAGAGAAACGTCGACATGCCGAAACGCAGAAGATCCTGAGAAAGAAAGAATTGAGGATGAGAGAATTAATCTTGCAAACCGAAGAAGATCACAAACTAATCAACATGTTGAACGATTCGGTCGATAAATTGTCGGAGAAGGTCAAGTTGTACAAACGACAATTGGGCGAACAGGTAAGGGAGATTTTTCTATACGTCTTTTACTCGTAACTTGCCAATACAAAATACTTTTTGCTTCGATGAATTACCCTTTGCACGAGAATGAAAGATCCTCCAAATCTTTCCAAAAATTACAAGAATGCAAGATAAATTTCGGTAAGGAATTGGATCTTTCATAGATTTCCATCCTACTCTTCACAGTGGCGCGCGTTATCCTATGGGCGAAAAGGGCAATTGGCTGGACCCCCATCAAGAAGGTATCCCAAACCAATCCTTTATTACACTTATTACTGTACTGAGAATATCGAAATTTAAATTTTGGCCATATCCGGGGACACTAAATTGCCGGTGTGGCGAAGGCGCAGTATGCGCTGGCACAGGTGCAGAGGTGGCTTTAAAAAACGAACGAGGATACCGGGTGATTCCCCCAATATTCCCAGAAAAAAAAATGTTTGAAGTCAACACTGTACACCGGCCCCCTAATTCAAATTTACGTGGGGCCACACGAATCCATAACGCCTCACTGATTCCTCAATGAGAATTTTGGCAGGTTAAGAGATTAGTAACCAAGAGAATTTCCGTTTTAACATGGTTTTGCGTTTAATTTCTTGCAGGAAGGACTTAGTCAACAGAATTTGACCCGGGTGAGAAGATACCAACGCGAATTAGAAGCCGCCGAAGAGAGGGCCGATGCGGCAGAAAGCAACCTGAATATGATCAGAGCCAAGCATAGAACCTGGGTGACCACTAGCCAAATCCCAGGAGGCGTCAGGCAGGTGTTTGTCACAGAAGAACAACAACAGTTTTAAATTCGAAAAGACAAAGTCAACGAGTGGAGGAGGAGGAGGAGGAAGAGGTGTAGGAGGAGAAGTAAACGAGATGCTTGACATCCGAAGAAATTTTCCATAAATTGGAACAAAGTTTACGTTCTATTTAAACTGCGCAGTTTATTATAGAGCCAAATTGTCGTGACGTCTGGTGATTCTATATAATATTTGTGGCTCCTTGGTCTTTTACGAAAACCTGCAGGTTTTATCCACTGTAATTTTTTTTTTTTTTGCTAACAATTTAGAAAAGCAGCTTGTATGTGATTTTAATGTAACAGAGGAAAATGTAAAACATGGTCCTGCTTACAAATACGTCTTGGTTTTTATCTTTTCTGGCTTGACTGGCATAGACAAGTGACTCGCTGGGTCCAGAACGAGGAAATCTCCATAAGATTATCTTCGTTAACTTAAAGACAAACGAACAGTTTTATTTAATACCCGACTCGTTCTTGTATCGGGAAGCAAAACTGTACTTTAATCATGTAAAATAAATAATGCAAAATGCAAATTAATTCGGTTGACTTCAATTATAGAATCGATGCCCACAAATTCCTCATTTCGATTTTTATACCCGCCGAATCGTGGAAATTCCATCGATTGATACTATTAGAAATGTACAAATTACGGAATGAAAGCTGAATTAATTCTTAGGATGGCCAAAATTTCTGCCAAATTCCTAAAATATTTATTCAAATTATTAAACGACTCGCTTCAAAATGTGCAATTCACCATCAAAGAAAGGGTTCTTTGATGGTGAATTTAACTTCTGTGACATCAAACAGTAGCGAATTTAAACGTTTTCCGAAAATAAAACATAAATGCATACTCACGAATTCCTAAACGACCCGAAAAATCATTTTTAAAAAACAATTGGCAATTCATACGTAAGACGAATCAATAAATAACCAGCAAAGAGCAACAGTATGGAATGCGCTTAGTGGCTGGTTATTTATTGATCCACCCATACATTTAAAGCAGTTTGCACGCAATTCGAAAATGTTTTAATCTACCCGTGTGAATCGTAATCCACATGTATACAGGCGATAAAGCAGAATTAACACGGTATAAAGTGGTTCCGCTATGTACTACCATTAAACGTATGATTCCGCGGAACTACCATAAGCTTTTTGCTTGCACGTTCGGGGCCTCTCCAGGCCCCGAACGTGCAAGCAAAAAGCTTACAATTGTTATGGGTAATTCACTTTTTTTTAGTCAAATAGTGAAAGTTTTTTTTTTGGAGGGAGGAAAGTCCTACACTTTGCCACTGGGGTGAAGTTTGGATGGTAAAGGGTTTTTGAATGGTGCCATCCCTCTAAAACATCATTAGAATGCATTGTCATTGGACTTAGTTACATCCTCAAAGATTTTAATAAGTATTATCATCATAACGTGTCATTTAAAGTTCTGATCAGCCGCGGAGATGCCTCCCGAAAGCATTTTCTATGGAAAACCTTCTCCTATTTTGGTATTACTAACGTGAAGAAAACCCGGAAAACTCCATGTGGCCAACCCCATTGGCCAGGCGCGAACCCTCGACCAATCGATGTTTAGTGGGTTTATTAACTTAGCAACTGTTAGGCCAATTCTTCAACTGATACGTGGTCAAAATTATATATCGGCATTTAATATTAGACTGATAATAGATTATGGGAGAATTTGTAATAAATGTAGCACGAAAGGATATGGAACTGTGGTTTGTTTAGTTAAGTTACGGCAACGCAACACTTGGGCGATCTGCCTAGAAAGGATGCCCTCCGGAAAGTCTTTTTAAGGGTAACTGGCCCCTATTCAGGCATTACAGACGTGGAGAAAACACGAAAAACTCCCTTCCTGGCGAGGCAAGGAATGAAACTGCTTGGCCACTGATGGCCCATGGAAGTGTATTCTTTTCATTGTGTGAAATTTGAAGCGGGCGTTGTATTTGTTAATATTTAATTCCTCGAAAAGTGTAATTAATTTATGGTGCTTTTCAAAACTTGCTTATTACTGTGTAGTTTATTTTGTATTATGTTGTACTAAGCTATTAAATTTAGTAGTTAAATAGTGATAGAGTTAGTTTTAAGTTATACTTTGACCTCCGTGTAACGAACTAAGTAAGATCCATGCAATAAAAATTGAATATCTGTAAATAAACCCATTTATCTTGATAGATAATAGGAAGGGATTTTTTTGTCCTATTTTCTTTTTAAAAAATAGATATATCAAATAAAGTAAATCTATAGTTATGCAATTATAAGGTATACTATCGTATTGACTTCGTAAGCAATATTTCGCAAATATGAGGCATTATTAACATTCTACGAGGCAACTATGAGGCATTCGTATCATCTTTTTCATTAGAAATATTTTAATAAAAAAGCTACTCTCACATTAAACCAGTTTCTTCAAAATTTGACTGCCAGATGGCCAGGTGGTTATGGTGGCATCCTACTGCTGAGGGATTCAAGATCGAACCCGGGCGAGCTGTAATTATCCCAGGAAGTTATGGAGGATCGAATATCTCGAACCCCATCCCACTGTGGGCCTGATCCAATCGATAATGAGCTTACTAAAAGAGGCCCTCTTAGTACACACACAGGGCAAAAAGAGTTAATTATTCGATCGTTTCGTCGTGTCGATAATTAAATATTTCGTCGGTATTAATTCTAGCGTAGCAATATCAATTTACATTTAAATATTTAGTCAAAAGCACGCTTTCGAATTGAATTTAATACACAAAGAATAAAACGGAAATGAGGAAAATCAGGAAATCCGTAGTACACGTACTTAAAATAGTATCGAACGATAGTGGAAATGACCTAAATACCCGATTTTTATCACTTAATCGGTGTTTATCAATCAAAGTTCGTTATTTTTCTAGTGCCTGTGGGATTATTCGTCTTGTTTCCGAACGTGGAAAATGTCCCTCTATTTTCTTTTGGTCCTCGTTGCCGAATTTTACCTGGCCACTTCTCGATCTCCCAATTTCATCATCATGTTCATGGACGACGTGAGTAAATCGATCAAAATATTCCCTGCGTGGAAAGTCTTTACTAATTGAACCTTTTCGTTCTTCTACGACAGATGGGTTGGGGAGATTTGGGAGTTTTTGGCGAACCAAATAAGGAGACTCCAAATTTAGATAGGATGGCTTCCGAAGGGATGCTGTTTCCCGATTTCTATACGGCTAATCCTCTTTGTTCTCCCTGTAAGTGCACACGCAATCTTTAAATCTCAATATTTAATCGATTATTATTACAAAAATTGTAAATTTTATATTATTTTGTAATTTAACTTATTCGTTTCAAGTATACTACTGTTTTATAAATATTATTTCCATGAAATGTAAGCCAAAGATCGTTAAATTTTGAATGCAATAATGGATGAAAACATTTGATCTTGGAGCCTATTTTTGGCAGTAACTCTAATTTTTTATGAGAACGATGAAAAAAATGCTGTTTAGTCCATTGTTTTGCCTTGAATACAAGTAAATAGTAGTGAGAGATGTGTGCACGTTCTCCAGCAGTGAATGGGTGCTGGCTTGATGGAGGTGGCAGCCCACAACTCTGGGAGATCTAGTGAGAGATGTATGCACGTTCTCTAGTAGTGAATGGGTGCTGGCTTGATGGAGGTGGCAGCCCACAACTCTGGGAGATCCGGGTTTAAAAACTCCAGGAAATTTTCGTGGGTGGTCCATCCTGATACGTCAAGCCCATCCAACTCATTGTGGGTTTATCCGACCCCGTAATGGGCTTGCTATAAAAGGCCCTCTTGCTGCCTAACACTGCTGAGAGAGTTAAAAAAGTGGCGAATGGGTATTGACAGTAATCACATCTTTACTCCTAAAATATCCAATTCTACACGCAAATCTTCAAGATTCTACAATTAAGAACATCTCTAATGTTATGTCTAAATACAAATAAGAATTTACCATAATTCAGTTAAATAGAGGGGTGAAAAAGTAGGAATACAGTTGTTATTATGGGGAAAAAACATTTTTATTCATAAATTAAATCATACGAAATAATGAACATCAAACATCTATATTTCTCAGATTCACAAATGTATACCTACTTTTATACCCCATGTAATCATATTTAAATTGAATACTCGTTTCTATTGTTATAAATTCAAATTAACGTAATCTATATTTAGCTAGGGCAGCTCTGCTGACTGGAAGATTACCCATCAGAAATGGTTTCTATACCACCAACGCTCACGCTCGCAATGGTAAGTTTCATATCACACATAGACAATTGTTACTTAGAAAAAGGATACCTTAAGTTCTCATTAAAATGCAAACCATAACAGAGGAGTCAAAAGGGGCATTTTTTCCCTCCTGGGATCGAGTAATAAATTCCACAAATTATAATCGTTAAAGGCTTTGTATTTTTGTAATAATGTATTGTATAATCTACTTGCGAAAAAACACCCCAAAAATTAAGTAAATAAATAAAAATTGATTGATATAATTGTCTCCAATCTTCCTCCCCCTGAAAATCTTACTCCATGATACCGGAGTTAATAACCTTTAGAAAAGAGATAAGCGACAGAAATTTTAACGATAACGGGGTCAGTTTTGAAGAATTTTGATGGAAAACAATAATATAATACCAATGCATCCTTATGATAAGCCCTAACATAATAAAAGGATATAGTAATTCACTGTATTGTTTCTTTAGGATTTTGGGCAATAATTTCATAGTTATTACATGCGAAATGTTCATGACATTAGAAATTAATAACAGAATTGTTTTCGACAATGCGCAGCCTACACCCCACAAGAGATCGTAGGAGGAATTCAAAACCAAGAGATTCTACTACCGGAATTACTGAAGTCGGCCGGTTACCATAATAAAATTGTAGGAAAATGGTAAGTGAAACAAATTCCTTTCACTAATTACTCAATTTTCACTGGCTGATTTCCAACAATGGCAGGCATTTAGGGCACAGAGAACCATATCTGCCTCTTCGGCACGGATTTCACCAATGGTTCGGATCTACTAACTGTCATTTTGGACCTTACGACGATAAAACTACTCCCAATATTCCGGTGTTCAGAGACAACCAGATGGTAGGAAGGTCGGTAGGATTCTATCCTTTAGAATAGGCTCATGAGGCCTAATATTCTTCTATTGTAACACGTATTTATCTTATTCCAGGTATTACGAAGATTTCCAAATTAACCAGACAAGCGGAGAAAGCAACATGACGAAACTCTACATTCAGGTTCTATTGTTTTTTTTAATAATAACCTTTGTTTCTTACATTATTATTACTCTTTAATCGATTTTTAGGAAGCGGTCGAATTCATAAAAGAAGAAGCCAATTCCGGAAACCCATTTTTTCTATATTGGGCACCCGATGCCACTCATGCCCCCATCTACGCTTCTAAAAATTATCTAGGAAAGAGTCGCAGAGGATTGTAAGAATCTTCGCACACGCTGCTCCATCCCTGAAGGAAGCAACGTATGAAAGTATTATTTTCTTAGGTACGGGGATGCGGTGAGAGAGTTGGACGATGGGGTAGGAATTATTTTGGACACACTACGGAGAATGAACGTTGCCAATGACACTTTTGTATTCTTCAGCTCGGACAACGGAGCCGCTCTGGTCAGTCGTACCATGGGTGAGAATGCTTCTCCATCTTAACTGCTTGTTAATTAAAAAGTTACGTGTCGACAATAGGGGCGAGAAGTGTTTACTGTATAAATAGCTTTTTGAATGCCTCCCGGTAGGAAAGTGGCTCTTATTTTGATGTTACAAACGTTATTTCTTAAAGGCCTTTTTTAGAATACCAAGACCTAGATAGAGGGTAATAAAAAATGTCATTTGGCCCGAGTTTAGCTCCCCAAAATTTAATCTTTTATGTAAAATACATGATACGGAAGTGACACGAATTAGTCAATATTGTTGAAGTGCCTGTTTATAACAATTACAGATGTACAAACAATACTTAGTAAACCCTACCATTTACGACTGGAATAAACTTCCTATTATGCTATACGGAAGCTGAATTTAAGTATCGTAAGGTGATTGAGGCCATCGTATAAACCTGGCCATCTATGGTTAACACTATTTTTACAATGATTAACTGGTATTATTTAATACTTTCTATTGTGCCCCCGCAACCCTACTAATAGCGCTTCATTTAAGGGGCATCAGTAAATTACATGCAAACACTTCGTAAGTCTAGCAAAACCATCTAGGAAAGATCCTTCCAGGCAAACTTGGCACAGGTTTTACCCATGGCAGTGTTCCGGTGGTTTTATCTACCCGGGCACTGGTGATCACAGAGATATTTTCTAACGTATTTGATATTTTTCAGCGGGAAGTAACGGACCATTTTTGTGCGGAAAACAAACTACTTTCGAAGGAGGGATGAGGGAACCCGCTATCGCTTGGTGGCCCGGAAAGATCTCTCCGGGTTGGGTGAGTATCGTTATTACGTTACTATAGTTACGAATAGAAGTTCGGAATCAATTAAAAATAGAAGTTCATCTATTTTTAATTGATTTCTAAATCACGCACTGGCGAGAAACTTGCCATAATTTTTGTATTTTTTGACTCTGATGCAAATTATAACTAATCGGATATTACAAACAATGAACACTGGTAGGCGATCTGTCGAGAAGGAATGCCTGTCGGAAGGGCATTCCTTCCGATATAGGAAACTAGCTAGCCCTTATTTAGGAGTTACAAATGGAAAAAAAATCCGGAAAACTATGTAGCAAGCCCATTTGCCAGGCTCGAATCTACCAGAGTTCGGTGGTTTTACTCACTCGTCCATTGATGGGCAAGTAAAATAAGAATTTTAAGATACAATGGTTGTGAAAGGTAGTGAAAACAGTAACAAAAAATACACTAGTTGACAGAAAAATTGTACACTAAGGAAGCGTTAGAATCGAATGATTAGTGCAAACGTAATGAATACAGTATCATAGCAAAGGGATAATTTCTCGTGCAACAGTTTAAAGTAACATTTACTGTAAGGATCTTCTCTAGTGTAAATACACTGTCGGGCATAGAGATTTATACAGGCAGGTACCGTATACAGTTCAAAGATACCAAACAACAGGTAAGCTAAGAATTCGGTACGCAGTGAGCCTCTGAATCTTTTTATAAAATGCTGGAGTAATAATTTGAAGGAAACTCCTGTGGCATCATCTGGCGTGCAATCAGATCGCAACTTGTAATCTATAACGAATTCTATAACGTTTAATTTTATTAAAATTTTTCTTTAAAGGTTAGCCATCAAGCTGGAACAGTTATGGATTTATTCACCACGGTATTGAAGCTAGCTAATTTGAAAGTTCCTAGCGACCGCATCATCGACGGCATAGATTTAACTCCAACTTTATTACATCACGCCGAAACTCTGAGGTAAGTGTTGCATGTGATGTAGGCCTGTACCGTACACAAGATCTCCGCTTTTCGACCCGATCGATTACTGAAAAACTGGCTAAACGGCGCTCGAGCGCCGTTTAGCCAGTTTTTCAGTAATCGATCGGGTCGAAAAGCGGAGATCTTGTGTACGGTACAGGCCTACATCACATGCAACACTTACCTCAGAGTTTCGGCGTGATGTAATAAAGTTGGAGTTAAATCTATGCCGTCGATGATGCGGTCGCTAGGAACTTTCAAATTAGCTAGCTTCAATACCGTGGTGAATAAATCCATAACTGTTCCAGCTTGATGGCTAACCTTTAAAGAAAAATTTTAATAAAATTAAACGTTATAGAATTCGTTATAGATTACAAGTTGCGATCTGATTGCACGCCAGATGATGCCACAGGAGTTTCCTTNGTTTTTCAGTAATTGATCAAACTGCAATTTGCCATAAGTACTATCTCTTAAACTGGGATTACGAGCGCCGTTTAGCCACTGTTTTTCAGTAATTGATCAAACTGCAATTTGCCATAAGTACTATCTCTTAAACTGGGATTACGAGCGCCGTTTAGCCAGTTTTTCAGTAATTGATCAAACTGCAATTTGCCATAAGTACTATCTCTTAAACTGGGATTACGAGCGCCGTTTAGCCACTGTTTTTCAGTAATTGATCAAACTGCAATTTGCCATAAGTACTATCTCTTAAACTGGGATTACCACACCGAAACGGTAATACATTGTTATTGCTTAGAAGAAAAAAATCCAATTCCGATTTTACTTACAAGAAATCTACTTATTTCTCACAAGTAAAATAAACTAGAAGGGTCATTTTTATTCTACCGATTAATAAATCTTACAGGCCCGTATATTACTATCGTGGAGACGAATTGATGGCCGTTAGATACGGAATGTACAAAGCTCACTTCTGGTGCTGGAGTAATTCTTGGAAGGAGTTCAAACAGGTAAGTTACACGGGATTAGAGGAAGCCCATCTTTATTCATCGTACGTAATCATAATTTTACTAAAACATTTGTTTTGAAATGCTAATTTTGAAGTCGTTCGATTATTATTTCAGGGTATCGACTTTTGTCCGGGCGAAGATTTGCCAGGTATAACGTCACACGTTCAGATGAACTACACTCAGCAACCCATATTGTTCCACTTGGGAAGAGATCCGGGTGAAAAATATAAAATCAGGTAAAAATTCGTTGAAAAATTTTCACAAATCCATTAATTAAACTACATCACCGAAATCTTCAATATCTGGTAAAATATTTCCAGTGCTAACAGCGCAGAATACAAGGAAACAATAGCGAAAATCAGGAAAATAGTGAACGTTCATAGATCGACACTGAATCCAGGCAAACCTCAACTCAATTGGTGCGATGATTCGGTCATGGTAACTTATATTTCGTGATTTTCATTCTAGCAACATGCAATAATCTTCATATTTTCTATTAAATTGTCTTGCTTCGTAACTTTTTACACAGCACTGGAGGCCACCCGGTTGCGAGAAATTGAAGAAATGCCTTAAGGTTCCACCTTCTAAACCTTATTTGTGCGTATGGAATCACTAAAACTGTTCCAATTTTCATCTAGAAAACTCTCGTGGCAATTTTAGGTACCCTGATCGTTTGGACCCACGAAAAATGTTGCATCCAACACATTCGTTACGAGAAGTACAGTACATAACCCTGATTGGCCTTTCAAGGCATAAGAATTGTTAAAATTGAATGCTGAAATTGTAACAATGTTGTATAAATTAATTTACAATTTGCAAGTGATTGAATAAAACTGCGTTATTAATAGAAATTTATATTGAAGTACCATTTATATTCAGGCGATTTATACCTTTTTTTTCCGTAATTAAAATTCACATTTCAAAAAGACGTAACTCGGAAAGTAATCAGCAGAATGACGACCTATTCTACTTGGACACTTCTGTAGTGATGGAATTTTATTTGAAGCAAAAAAAGAATGTTGATTATAAAAGTATCTAGTAGGGCGGTAAATGGCGCTGCAACATCTCAAAATGTCTGAAAAGTTACGATACACACGTTACACTGTGTGGTTACGCAACAGTATGCTCGATTTGCTGGTCTCCGTTGTCGCCACGTTGAAATCACTGGTAATGGAACTTGCATAAACATTCACATCTTCATGTCGCGTTATACAGTGCACCGTAAGTTTTGCGATATTTTGAGTTATCCACTATATTACAGCGCCATTTACCGCCCCAGCGGACATTTTTGTAACTAACATTCTTTTTTGCTTCAAAAATTCCATCACTACTGTGAGCCCGAGGGTTTTGAGGGAATAAATTTTTGAGTTTAACATTAGAGGATGAAAAATACATTATCGCAAGTTATAACGGAAATAGATCGGATGTCGAATCTTACACATCGACAAGCTAGGAAGGAAGGCAAGTCATCATCCGTTTGTTAATTAGTCAACGCTCGTGTGCTAATTAGTCATCATAACGAGTGAACGACCAGTTGGCTCAGTGCCAACGACGATCGTATAAAAACGATCGTCACTTCAGTGCGACCATCAGGAAGGTCCGAGTACAAGTGTCTCCCGTCCCGATCCTGTCCGAGGAGAAGCCGGTAGAAGACATAAGCCTGTGACAGCCAGCCAGCTTTCATAGTCCAGAATGATCGTCGCATATCGTCATCCGATATCATATTAAGGTATATCGAAATGCAGTAACCTTCTCTCACTCTAGAGCCTTTGTAAACTCTCTCATGCGGCATAGTGAATAGTAGATCGCCGTTATAGACAAATTTGTGTGTAATCTGCATCTAAGCACTAATCAGTAACTTCCTTATGTATATTCCTGTAAATTAACTTTAGTTATAGAATAAATCTTTATTTTGTTATTTGTTAAACCTGTCTCCTGTCTCTCCGGGGAAACCTGTTGATTTACCTACGCACTCCCCACTCGTTTTGCCCTCCTAGCCATCCGAACGATTCCGAGATCGGGCTTCACCAGCCTGTGCAGATTAAGTGGTCAGTACGAGATTAACCCCTGACCCACTGCTTATCTCACACTACAGAAGTCTCCAAGCAGAATAAGCCGTCATTCTTCTGATTACTTCTCAAGTTACATCACTCTTAAATCTCCTGTGTATTTTTCCATGTGCAAGAAGTCACAATCCAATTTGGCCAGATGGTTGAGTGCTCAAGGTGGCAGCCTACCACTCTGGAGGACCCGGGATCAAATCTGGATGAGCCGAAAAAGCCCCAAGAATTTTTCAAATGGCGGTCCGTCTAGATACATTGGACCCGTCCCTTACCACCAGGCCACCTTGTATGGGCCTGACCAAACCCATAATAGGCTTGCAAGAGGCCTCCTTAGTGCCCACAGAGTGGTTTGGTTTGTTTGAGTTATGGCAACGCAACACTTGGGTGATCTGCCTTCCGGGAGGTCTTTTTAAGGGAAACTGGCTCCTATTTAGGTGTTACAGACGCGGAGAAGACCCGGTAAACTCCACGTGGCCAGCCTGTACGAGCGAGGCGCAAACCCACAAACTCCCAGTGTTCAGGATACAAAGACCGCTTGCCACTGATGGGCAACCCACAGAGTGGACACTTAAAAAAAATCCCAATTGTGAAAGTTCTCAAAAAAAGTACTGCTTTACCACCCCTGCCACAGGGACCGACTGCACACCTCCATATTTTATGGAGAAGATTCACAATGGTATGTTAACATTTTTTTAAAGCACTATATTGTATAGGCCATTATATGTATCAATATATAAATTTATATTACAAATATGCATTTCAAATATGGATAATTGTTCAAAAATATACTTACTGTCACTTAACTCATTGCAAATCATTCTATCTTGAGAGTTCAATTATAAAAATAAAATCCATTCTTCCTCAGTTAAGTTAAAATTCTTCAAAGACTGATTTTATTTCTCATTTATTTCTGTATTTAAATAAAGAAAAAAATGCAGTACATACTGACAATGCTAAGATCTGCTCATTGTTTTGAGATATTACACACTTTTTCTCAATTTAATTCATTCCATTCTTACATTGTTCACTGCAAAAATTTAAATGACTAATGCCAAATGATTTCCAGATTATAACAGACTAAAATAAGGCTACTACATAACAATTAAATATCAAGTAATTTGACCTAGAATATTTATTAAATAGTAGCCTTATTATAACTCGATATAATCCTGCAATTGTTTGGCACTGATCTAAAAATTGGGTTAATAATGTTTATATACTTGTATATAATTTAAATGACATCAAATTAATTACATGCATTATCCTAAGAAAATAAACAGTTGTATAAACCTGTATTTAAATTATTAATTTGGTTGTTTATAGTATATTTTATATATATATATATAAATCATTAGTATATAAATACAAAACATCAATCTTGATAATTGCATATTTATAGCAGTCACTTAACTAATTTATATCCTTAGATTGGAGACAATCAAGAAAATAAGTAACGAGTGACAAACTGGATGTATTTTCTGTAAAATTTATCTAAAATTATTCAAATTGTCAATTAACTTTTGGGTTAATATCATAGAAAATACATTATCTAACAATTTATTTAAATATTTACTATTCTCCAAAATTTATTGTAAATATTACACGAGTTATTTAGCGTTATGGATATAAAACACCATTACTCTGAACAATTGATAAGAGAATGTGTTTATTTTCGGCTCTGACAATACAGAATTTATAAAAAACAATGTCAAAAATTATAAAAATATCGAAGACACACAAATAAAAAACAAATACCAGCCAAATCACAACAGAATTGGTGCAATAAATATGTATAAGCTACCTTCGGTGGCCTTTGGTTTTAATTACAAAGATTACTTTCAAAATACATTTTATATATTTTTGATAATACTGCATTCTCTATCGACATTTACGGCGCCGGATGACCGGTCGTGGGATTCTCGAGAAGCTTCTTAAGGCTCCACCATCTAAACCTCATTTGTGCAATGGAAACTCTACGAGTGGACACGTCCTGCCACAAAAGTAACAACCATAGACGGCATTTTTTAAAAACTTTTGTTTTTTTTTTGCATTTAAAACAGTTCTAAACGAAATTTCGTCACGAAAGACTATCTCTTCTTCGGGTATGAAATATCACATTTATCACGAGTGATTCGTTTCCTAATTATAATCAACTTTTTTTTTTTTTACGTAAAGCAAGTTAGTCAAATTGCAAATCCACAATAAATTCTTGACGTTTTGATCCATAAAAGTTTAATAGAAACCATATAAAATCTGATTTTTTCATTAAAGTAACCTTATATATATATATATAATATATGTATATTCAATGTATAGAAACTGATATGCAATTTGTTGGGAATGAAAAACAAATAGAACTTTTTCTAACTACTCTCATAATCTAAAACAATGACATTCTAATATAACAATATCTCCACAGGTAACAAGAATTAACAATTTTGTCAGTATAAAACATAGAAAATACAACCAAATATACAAGCACATTGCTTTACTTAAAATGTTGTTTTCCTCATACGATTCTGATTATAAAACCTACATAAAAAAGCCTATATGAGGCATTTCTATTACAAACACATGACAATAATCCTAACATGGTTACATGTTTTTTTTTTTTTTTTTTAAATAATTTACAAGATTCTCAGCAACAAGACATTCATTCTAAGATATGCACTGGCATATTTCTAATAATATTTATATGAAAATATGACAATAATAGAAAATAAAATGCAATTGAGAAGATGTTAAGGAAAAAGATCTTTTTTTTTTTTTTCATTTATTGCTTTAAATGTCTCCAAAAGTATGAATATCTTACCAGTTATGAAATCAAGTGAAAGGGAATGAAATTTATCAAATATAATCGTTTATGAATACACCATCGTGCCTATTAGAAACTACTTGTTCCCCTTTCTAGGAACTGATTGGCAATCACGAAATATATCCAATCAAGAACATGTTAACAATTTGTTAAGCCCACTCAAAAAACACCTAATTATTGATGGTGCATGAAAATGATGCAGGATAAAGTGTAAGTAACTACAAAACCTTGTCGACATTGTAATGTTCCTGTAAACTATGCGAAGGTCCTCCACGATTTTCTAAGATGTATCGTCGAAAGTATTCGATACGGTAAATCTAAATAATGAATAATTGGCATACCAAACGGGCAGAAAGCATCCCTCTACCCATCTCTACTTCTCGTCAACTATCGTTAACATAATATCCAAACTGATTAATATTTTTTAGCCAATCTTTGTTGTTAATGTATGTTTTAACATCGTACGTATTTTAAATAGGACCGCTTACATTCGTCAGAACTTTCTCTTAATTTCACCCGCTAAGTTAGTTTTCAAAGTTTATTATATTTACACACACTTCACCCAGCAGAGGATTTCAACACATTCAAAACACAAAATGTATATAATTATTCAGGTTGAAATTAAAGCATTCATTAATTTCTCAGTAAAAATTACAACACTTAAATTTTATTGTTCAGGTTTAAAACACGAAAAATTTAAAGTGAATGTGGGCGGAATGTGGGATATCATTCAGCATACAAGTCTATTCTAATGTCAGTTTTTTTTTTTTTTTTTTGTTTTTGCTGAGAGAAAGAAAAATTGATATCAACAAACAAGCATACAGTTCTACCTAACGAAATCCACTATAACCAAAATTACCAACATGACTGTGACACCAACAACATGACAAATACAGCTATAAATATCTGATGCCGAATTGGTCAACATTGCACATGTAATAGATGCCAATATGCAACAAACTACGTCACGATATATCTGTATTTGATATCAAATTATAACAAATACATTATATCGTTATTCTTAGTTTATATAGTCGAATACAAATTTGTATCATTTTACGGTTAGTGTGTGTATTTATATATATATATGTATGTATATTAATGGGGAAATAGCACACGGAATGAATTTTTTCAATAAAAGTTTTCGTGAAAGACCAGCTAGTGGACCATTAATTTACAAAATATTTATGGTAATAACATTACATTGGCAACAGCTTGATGATCAAGATTCATTCTAGATGCGCTCGAGGCATGCTTTTCCACGGCACCCATGCCAACGTGTTACGGTTTGCAATAACAGAGAATGGAATGTTCTTCTTAATTAGCTTATATAATTACATATATATTTATATATAAATATAAATAATTGCCATTTCCTCACTCATTACTTCCTGGCATTTTAGGAAATTTTTTTTTTGTTTAACACCAAATCGGTTCTTTCAAATCCGATTTTTAAGTGGCCATTTGTTTATAAAACACATGTTAATTTTAAAATTTAAATAAAACCTTTAAAAATTTTTGATGATTTTTTTCCCCCATATTTTCACACCAGCCAATTCTCATTTTGTAGGATAGTAGAGGCTTTCATTGGGCACATTGTAAGAAATTCCTGTTCCAGGAGCGTAGGTGTTTCCTGGGTAGGGTGGTGGTTTTTCTCCAATTCGCTCGGTTGAAGTGGTGTATCTGTGCTCACCTGCTAAAGAGATGTTGTTTTACTTCAAGAACTTTTCTATTTATATATTTAAAGAAGAAAGATTTAATTAATTGTTTAATATAATTCTAACATCTTTAAAGTGAATTCATCACCTTGTTTAATAATTAGAAATAAATTAATTTAGACTAATCTGAAATTCACAATTTCTTACCAGAACGCATCTGCATGGTAAACAGAAATTGCTGGTTCGAGTTCCACTTCAAATTGATCTTTTCTTCCAAATTTGTTTACAATATTGTAAAATCCGCATCCCAACCCATCCCAATATGCATGCAACTACATTCTTGAAACATATCTGGACAATGACTAATTATTTTTTTCCAATTCCTTAATCAATTATTATTTTCTACGTATATTGTAACGAATAAAGTTTTATTTCTATCTACATCGTAAGCAGATTTAAGCAAGCAACTGATTCAATAAATCTAGGCACACTAACTAAATCATCATAAATAGTAGACATACGACAAATCTAACGCTACGTGCCGTCGGCATAACCAAAAAGCAAAGTCGGCTGCTCAGAAATGAAACAAGAATCAAAAAATGATAATAAAAATGTAATATCTTAAGTATAAATGCTACTCAATTGCCAATATAATTAATCAGATTACAGAGTAGCCAACTTCTAACTTCTAAAAATTAAATTCTACATTGTTACCAATAGAAAAGCTTCCCTTCTTTTTACATAACATACTGTTAGAGTGAAGAAAAGCCACCCAGACGATGTAGGAAATTCATCAAAATGTACGCAAATAGTAATTTTTATCCCAAAAATGTGGGAGTGGCCACATAATCGAGGACACAATAATCCTGCTTACGGATTAGTTTAAAATTAATTTATTCATTTCTAATTATTAAATTTAATACAAGACAGTAGCCTAACTTTCTACCTTTAGTACAAATTATGTAATTGCTATGTAGTTAATTAGACAAGTTCCAGCTCTATAAACGACACAGTTGAAGATAATTTTTAAATTCTTTTCTTATTTGAAGCTTTCTAAAATATTTCAAACTTATAGTTAATGTTATTATAAAAATATTAGTTCAAACTAATTCCACGTAAATATTCACATTAATTTCAGTCAGTTATAAAAGTAATAAAAATTGAGGCTGCCTGAAACGTATTCATTGAAGACTACTATTATAAACTTCAAATTGCTCGTACGCATTAAATTAAAATAAAAAAAAAACCTAGAAATTCTTGAGGTGAACCTCGTCGAAGATTTTTGGGGTTAGGTGTATGAAAAAGACCGAAGGCTGAAGAGCTAAAAACACCAAGTAGTTGATTACCAGGATTCATTGTCGTCGCAGATTTGGACCGTGTACAATGCCTACTGCTCTCAGTCGAGAGTAGGATTGATGTAATATGTCGTGAGGGTGTAATTAAATGGTTGTTTTTCTTCCTCCAAATGGTATATAATTCATTTAAATTAATATTTCTTTTATATGGAATTTGAATAAATAAAGTTGTAACAAATTTTAGCAGACACCCGATATGTAATTTACAAGCAAGCAAACAGTTTAAACAATTTCATGTATAGCGGTTAGGTATATAGTATATAGTGGCAATGCTATATACACCTTCCACAATAATAAAATAATTTTGTACAAAATGACAACTTCCATATTTCTTCTTCTCTAGCTTACTCTATCATTCCAAATATTCAAAACAGTATAGATAAAAAACCAAAACAGTAAAATAGTACCTTTAGTTATTGAAATTACTAAAATGCTTTCCCATTAAAATTATTACTAAATAAAGAAAAATAAGAACAAACTCTGAAGCAAGTATGATAGCAAGTGACACTACTATGATAGTTACAACATGCAATGTCGAAAACAGGGATCAAGTGATACAGGAGAATTCAATTTATTGTCAAGAGGAAAGAATCTGAAAAAAGTTCTGGATAGTTTAAGAGGCAGGGTTGGCATGATTTAAAAAAAAATGTTTTAAAACATTTATTAAAACATGGTTTCTATGGAAATAAAACACTTGATAATCTAGTAAAATAGGAAAAACAAAAAAAAAACTTCAGTGTAAGATTCAAGAATGTACAGAATGTTTTATTTAATATAAAATATAGCATTTTTAAATGTTTCTTTATGGAATGGCATTTTTAAGTGCAAACACCAAAACAGGATTGACAGCAGTGGCTTCTTCAGCTTGAAGAATTTCTTATTTTCAGAAATGTACAATGCTCAGTAGTGTTTGTTTAGGTGCTTGAAAACTTTAACAAGCTTTGCTGCTTCTTCCTGTCCGAGTTGATTTCTAAGGTTCGAATGAACAAGTCCATAGGTAGAGAAAATTCTCTCAATTCCCGCCGAAGAAGCCACTGCTGTGTGAAGCTGTGTAACTAATTTTAAAACAGGTTCATCAATTCTGTCACGTAGTGACTGCCACCATGCAAGAGGAGTGATATTAGTTAGCACAGACTCTGCAAACATATGTTGCAGAAACGGGCTAGTTTTTGCCAAGTATTTTAAAACTGAAGGCATAGCGTCTGGGTAGTAAGTGTGGCACACAGTTAGTGCAGCATCCTTCATACCGTCTGTGAGCTTTGCACCCTGGTATCTTGGGTCCAGAAGATTTGCTAAAAGGTGATAGTCTGTGACAGCCATATTAAATCTATCTTTGGCTGCTTGCGTGACTTCAGTGATCCCAAGTTGTTGCAAGTCATTTTGAACACTATAAAAGTAATAATATCATTAGATGTATAAAATTAATGAATTTAATGAATGCAATTTTGAAATTAGATTGGTTACAAAAATCAATTCTGGCTAATGTAACTTACCCAAACCATAATTCAATTCCTTCACTGATTGTGCAGTCATTTCTTTGCATTTTGTCTAATGCAACAGTAATGATCTTTAAACGTGTCAGCAAATCTTCAGCATCGCGCTTAATTTCAAGGTTTTGTACTTTGGCTACAATATCCTTGTCAATTACGAGTCTGTTTTCATTGCAAACCTGTTAACATAAGGTTTGTAACTGTTTTTATAATTAAACACTTGATACTCATTATTCAATACTCATTGAGTACATGAGTGGAGTTAACTAGCATTAGAGTAAACAGTAAGTTTACAAAATAAAATAATCGTATATTTCCTCTTATCTTTATTACTATAAGTATTACTATAAGTATATTATTACTATATTACTATAAGTAATCACACTTCAACATAACTAGTATATGCTTTATGAATTAGTGACTGTCCACAGTACAAAATAAGAAAATAAAAACTACTTAAAGTAATGATAATACCTTCATTAGAATAGGCCAATTCTGAATGTATGACTCTAAGCAATCAGCTAAGCTGTTCCAATCAACATCCTGTGGTAATATCAATTCTTTTCCACCCACCTCTTTGTATTTGGCCTTCGGGAAATGATGATTCCGGAAGTATACAATAATGTGCTTAACTTGCTCGTTAACCTCTTTAATATTGATATCTTGAGCCAGTAAGTTTAAAATATGAGCAGAGCATCCGTAAGTGACAATATCTAAATTTTCTGTCATTGCTAATGTTTCTCTCATTTTTTTCATATCGCTTGCATTGTCACTTACCAGGCTACTTACTTTACAGCCATACTTTTGATTGCATTTTTTTATTGCTGCAGTTGCAATAATTTCTAAGGAGTTTGATGGGTGCCTTTCTGTGCCTGTATCAACTGAGTCAATCAAATGAACTGTTCCATTAGGATCAGTCACACAGACACAAATCACTGGTTCGTTATGGATATTACTCCACCCATCAATAGCCATACAGACTGTAATATCCTTTAACTCATCAGCTGATTCATTTTCAATGGAATTGTATACAGTGTCCAGCAAGGGTCCCCCAACTTCCTTTCTGTGTGGAGGATCATATCCAGGTCGCAACATCTGACAAAATTTTATAAATTCGGGGTGTTCTACATGAGTAAAGGCTGAATTGGTGGCATATATAAATTTTGCGCATTGAAGATCCAATTGCATTTTTTGATTAGTTGACGTTTTCACAATAAATGAATCAGTGCGTTGCAATTTTACTTTGCTTTGGGATTCAGTGCCAGTGCCATTAGTGGAGCCAGAAGTGATGGCGGAGCGCTCCCCACTGGTTGCAGACTCTGGCTCCTGACTTTCTGACTCCTGCCCATCTAAATAATAAATATAGAAACAATAAATTAATTACTAATTAGGTGTATGTTTTTAAACAGACATGTGAAAAGTATTAGACTCAAGTTGGACCAGTGCAATATAAAATGATACAGTTTAGGATAAGAACCAAAAATAATACACTTTATGCATGAGTCTAATAATTTGCACACTTCTGTATGTTCAGTTCACAATGATTACTATATGTAATTGTATACTATTGACTTTACTTTCCGAAGCCTAATTAACTTCTGCTTGGAAAATTTTTAATCTATTAATTTTTATATTAAATAATTATTTCCATATAAAAGCATATCTGACAGCCAAAATAATTGCCATGAAATAAATAACCCCCAAAAAAATGTGCTTTTATAAAAAAACTATATGAAAAATTTAAAATAACCAAAAAGTGCTTTTACTGTATTTGATAAATATAGCTGCAAAGAATTCTTTCATTTGAAAGGTGTGAAAATTCACATGCACAATCTATATTGTTTACAAACCAGTTGACATTGAGAACAGCTGGTGAATGCTTTCCCAGAACATTTACATGGTAAGAACCATTTAAGGTGGGAGGGGAATTAGTTTATCACATATATTCAAATATAACACACAATTTCTGATTTTTATGCTATTAAAATATGAGGGAAACTGGAAAAAAGGTATATATAAAAAATTCTACTGAATAAAAAATTATCCAATAGTATTAATATTTTAAAAATTTAACTGAAGTCAAATTGGTCCTATAAAAGTTTAGAACGATTTAATTAATTTGACTAAAAACACTCTCATAAAGATCGAGGCAATTAATATGCTAATTAATAAAACGTTATAAAAAACTTTCGCTGCAAAAGTAATTAATAAAATTTTCGTAGATCATAGATAACAATGTATATGTATTAGCCCATACATTTTTGGGAAAAGGACCTTTTTTCCGTAACACTATGGAGATAACTCGGGCAAAGAACTAAAGAATATCTATATAGATACAAACTGAGTTATGACCAAGGTAAAACTTTATAGCAGCTATAGAAAATTTTAAAACTTATAATGGTTCAAAATACTCACCCAGCTGATGCAATTCCTGTATATCATCCTGTTTATCATCTTCAGTATGTTTTTCATACGAGCAACTAATCCAACCATTTCTTTCCTACATATTTTGCATTGCATCCTGCATGCCAGTTTCCTGGATTTCCAGAAATTAGTTTGTACTGGTTCCAGATATTATCAAGCCTTCTTCCTGCACTCATTTTTTTACTTAACAAGTAACAACGATAATAATAATGTCTTTTTCCATCCAAGTAATATTACAATACATTACTGTTAGCTGTATTGCTAACAGTTGGGTTGCAATTTTTAATCATATTTTTAATTTACTTAATTTAAAATATACGTTCTCTACCTCAAATTAGTAGTGTCTTGACCCTGTACTGTACATCATACTTTTCCTGTTAACAATGAAGTCCTGCTGGTCGTCTATCTAACGCTATTTAGAGGAAAATTTTTGAATTGAAATAATGTGATTTCTGGTTTGCACCAGAAGTTCGTATATAGTTAATAGGAGCCTCCCGCACCTAAGCTTTCAATATCTGGTCTCGACTTTCATCTAATTTTCCTATTTATCGGGTTCATCTTTCTCCAGATTAGTGAAAAAAGTTTAAAAAAATAGAACAAGGAAATTAAAGATGCAGTGCTGTTCTTACATTTTTTATTAGGTGTAAAAAGAATGCCATAATTTCTTCAGAAAGATTTGTCAGTAAAAAATCATTTTGCAAAAATCTAGGATTATTAAAAATATATCTACAATAACTGAAAACAAATAATGTAATAATGTAAATGATAGTGAATATGTTGATATAATAGAGTTGTTTAAATTTATCTATTCATTGAACCCACAAATTGCAACAATAAATAAAAAAATAAATAAATAAATATAAACTTAAATATAAAAAGTTTGAAACGATCTGTTAAATGCTGTCAATACAAATGCAGAAGATCAAATGGTAACTATCAATATGATCATAAAAACATTTTAAAAAGTATTTTTAATAATTAAATTAATTCGTTAAGGGAAAAAAATTGTTTGAACTGTTTTAATTGAAAGATTACACCCAATTGGATTGCCTTGTGAATGATTAGCAAAAATAAAATGTTTTAAAAACACTGAGTTTTCTGTAATAGACATTTATTTGACTAGAGGAAATATTTCAAAACGATCATGAAATTGTGTTTGAATAAAATATGAATTTAGAGTGAATTTTTAAATCTAAAACTAAAGAAATTAAAAGTTTATACTGCTAACTGTAATAACTTGTGACGATTGTAAAAGTCATGTAACTTTTATTTCAAATATACACCTTTTAATTATTACAAGGTGTGCATTTAAAATAAATTCTTTCTAGAATTTATTTTATATATAACCTTTTAGAATTACTACTAAAGGTATAATAAACATATACCCTTAGTAATAATTCTATGGCATTTTATTTGCTGCTTATAAAAATTTTTAAATTACCAATACAGTTATAAAAACATACATCAATGTTTAATATGACTTGTAGTTATATATTTAATAATATACAATTTTTTAAGAGTAAGAAAACTAAGAAAAATACTTTATAAAAATGTTGTATAAAAGTTTGAATTTCAATAACTTTTGTTTTGCAATGTTAAGTCATGGTAAAAACAGAATTCTGCAAAGTGAGTAATAAGTAAACAAAGGAATTTTGCATACAATGTGCAGAAAGTCAATAATGAATGTATTCAGGCAACCACAATATATGAAAATATAAAAATATATAAAGAAAATTATAATTAATAAGTGTAAGATTACTTTACTTAATATTTTATATAATTTTAAATCTTACAAATTAAACAGTAAAACAAATCAGTCCACTAACTACTGAAGTTAATGAAAATTGGCATTACACGCTTACTAGGATATGGAGGATGTCCGGCTGTAAGAGGATGAGGAGGAGTGATTTGGGACTGAGATTGAAGATCCTGTTGGTGTCTTTCTCGGCGACATAAACAGATGGCAATTCCAACAACACACATACAGCAAACAATGAAGATACTGACCACGATTGCCACAAAAACACTCACACCAAGACCCATAATATGATTAACTGCACTGTCATCTAGAAATAATAAATTATATAAATATTTTTAATTTATTAAGAACATTTATAAACTGAAACAATTCAATGATATATTTTATTTAAATGCTTTTTAAATTATGTATTCGAAATGTATTAAATTATACTTGGAATACTGCAACTTTTTACAGTTTGTTTGAAATTTTAATTGGATATGATCTTATTTCTTTATATATAGATACAAATTATTAAGATCAGAGATTACTGCAATATTTAATTGAAATTTCACACGTATCTGCTACATTCTAATCTTATCTTATAAACAGTAATACTGGCTTCATTCCAATCTAAAATTTCCCACCGTGATATAAATAGTCTAACAACAATAAGGATCGAGTTCTAAATTGATTTATACTAGTACCGTACTGTAAAATTAAAAAATCTATAAAAATATCAATAGAAAGAATTTGTCATGGTGATTTCAGAAAGTATAAGAAATTAGAATTAATTTCTATAGCTTGAAATCTTACAGTTAATCGATAAATTTACGATGTTGATTTCATGAAATGTATGTAATTAATTGTGTGCATTTTATCAGGTTATAGATGCATATATGTAGATTCTGACAAACTAAAAACATTCATATTTGAAAACTTATGAGAAATTGAAACTTACCGACACACAATGCACGACTAGTCTCGTCACTGTTATCCCCACAATGATTGATTCCATCACACGACAGATCACTGGATATGCAATGATCATTGAGGCAGAAAAAACCTTTACACGCTACAGCTAAATACATAAAACAATCAGAAAATTCTTAAAATTATTTTCAAATAATTAATTTTTCAATTTTTAATAAATAGAGAATGACATAAATTTTATATTATATATACGTTACTGTGAAAAACCGAAATTAGAGAATGTCGACACATACAAAATACGTCGGTGAAAGACCGAATATTTGGTTATATTATTATACATTCGAACAATAGCCGGTGTATGTCGACAAGCACAGATAAACTTTGGTGGAGGACAAAACAACACCCGAGAAGCCGACGTCAACAGAGAGGCGACAGTCTGTCGCCAAATTCTTTGCCATTTCCTTCTGCTCAAATTGGTTATACTGTAAGAATACAAGTCCCTGATGTCAACCGTAGCCATACAGATGCCCGAAATGTGTTGGTGGTTGTTGTCGGAATAGAAGACTCCGACTTTTATAAATTAGCAAACAAAAATGATACCCTCAAGCAGCTTTATACCCATAATCAGTTCGTAATTTGTAAAGAAAAGTTACTTTCCATAGATGAGATTTCTTCTCAAGAAATATTGCTGAGAGAAGCAGCTTCAGCTAATTTGAAAAGTGGAGGGCAAGGCTATACATGCTGTCATTGCAAAAAGAAGTGTTCCATGAATAAATGCAGTTGTAAAAGCAAGGGACTCTTGTGCAATTCAAAGTGCCATAACAGTTTAAGTTGTTGCAATAAATAAAATTATATACTGTTAATCACATAATATATGTATATGTGTAATTTTGTATATTATTTTTCTTTTCTAATTAAGAATGTACTGTTCGTTTTAGGTTCAACAACTTATTTACAAGTGCTGTTACTTAAGTTTTCTCCTATTTTGACATTAAAAAGTTGCATTTTTGTCTTAACGTAATAAAAATATTTTTATTCAACATTCGCCATCAGTGCTTGCTGAATGTCGACATTTGCCAATGTAAGTGAGAAATAATGATATTTAGCAAATATTTCGTACATACACGAAATGATTGTGTGAATGCTGACATTCACCAGAGAATCTCAACATTTGGTCATTCACAGTAACATATATATGTTACAGTCAAAACCCGTTTTTAGTTAGAACTCGTTTTAACTAGTTGAAACTAGTTTATACTGAATGTCTTTGTTAAAACCCGTTTTGTCTAGTTAAAACTAGTTTATACTGAATGTCTTTGTTAAAACCCGTTTTGTCTAGTTAAAACTAGTTTATACTGAATGTCTTTGTTAAAACCCGTTTTGTCTAGTTAAAACTAGTTTATACTGAATGTCTTTGTTAAAACCCGTTTTGTCTAGTTAAAACTAGTTTATACTGAATGTCTTTGTTAAAACCCGTTTTGTCTAGTTAAAACTAGTTTATACTGAATGTCTTTGTTAAAACCCGTTTTGTCTAGTTAAAACTAGTTTTAACTCAAATTCATTTTTGACTAGCAGTAAATTCTAGTTTTAACTAGACAAAACGGGTTTTAACAAAGACATTCAGTATAAACTAGTTTCAACTAGTTAAAACGCGTTCTAACTAAAAACGGGTTTTGACTGTAACATATATATAAAACTTTAAATTGTTTTGTTTTAATGAATAATAATTATTCAGATACAAATATCTGAATTAAATCACTCACAAACACCTTCCGTACTTATTCCAGCAGGTACTGGTACATTTATTGGAAAAATAAATGTTATCAGTCACTTTGAAAAACCTGGTTATTATACATTTACATAATTCGAATGCGATTAATTGAAAAATTCTAAACAGAACCTTCTACGTGAAATGTGACAATATTCAAATTAAAGCATGTAAAAGTTATCAGTAATGACAAAATGTAACATAATAAAAATTATAACTGTGTACACAACTTTCAATAATACAACTGTAAATAGGCTATAAAAATTATATGTTGTATCATATACATTAATAACTAGCAATTGTGATGACAATATTTATGACATTATGCTAAAATTCGCATACAGTCAGAGCTAACATATTGCTTGGGATATGTAAATGTTTTCTTCATTATTAACACAACCTCCTTTGAGTACGGCTTTAAAATTTCAATGGCTTCTGTTAGTTTTTGTATATCAAAGATGAATGTGTAGAAGCTTAGCATCCTCCAAACACAGGGACATCCCAGGCTCATTTGCAAATTGGGTCATAGCAATGTTATAATTCTTTTTTGGGATGTTGTACATATTCTTCCTTAGTCTGGTTATTAATGACCTATAAACATCTATACTGAAACCCGATGCTTTGCAATGATACACCAACTGCCATAAATCATCATGCTATAATTTGGAAAAAATAATTATAAATTACAAATGAATTGACAGTAGAGAGACGGGTTAGGCAATGTCTCATATTAAAATTAATAATTATAATTTTTAATTAAATAATTTAGATTAAAACAGAAGAAAAGAATCGGCCCAAATCTGCAACGCCTGATTACCATGAAGTATTGCCAGTTATGTTACCCGGACCTCCGGTCCAATCTCCTCTTCCAGTATATTTAACCTTAAGCTATAATCATCGTCAGTTACTATGGTGCCATCAGTATAGATGTTTATATGTATATCTATGCCTTGCCGACCAAGTGCCTTATGTGGATGTTTACTGAACGACGGCACTGAATGCATCCCCAGTCAGCACCATAAGAACCGACAATAGTTACAGCTTAAAGTTAAATATACTGGAAGAAGAGATCAGACTGGAGGTCTGGGTAGTGTAACTGGCAATGTGTCCACAGAGTAAGCAGAAGTTGCAGGTTTGAGTCCTGCTTTGAGCCGATTCTTTTCTTTCAATTTAATCTAATTTACTTAATTAAAAATTATAACTATTAATGACCTATTAGTCAAGCTGAAATAGTCAAGGCATCGATCAAACCTGGTGGTATCTAGCAATGAAACTTTATATATAATAGCGGACAGTGTTGTCTATAGGATCTTTACCATTTGTTATTAATTGAAAGACTGTTGGGTTTTGTTTTATACACAACATCTTTGTTTACTTCCCTAGCTATTCTAGACTATACTTTGTGTAGCATGGGACTGTAATCCAGGGATAGGTATGTCCAGTCTTGGGTTATATGCTGCATGACTGTGCATGTATTCTTTATTATGTTATATTTGAATATTGAGAATGTTCCATTTAGAATTTTTCTATTAATCACATTTAAATTACATACATATTTAACAATCTGACGAAGGCGTCCAAAAGTGATCAAAAATGTTTATTTTTCCAATTAATTAACATATCTACTGGAATAATTTCAGAAACTGTTGTGAGTTATCATATTAAGTTTATTTTCCAGCTTTTAGTGGTGTTTTAATCTGAATTAAATATTTTTATTATTAAAACAGTCCTGCAATTACATAGTAGATTAACATTAAAAACTGAGTAAAAGTCCATCCAGCATTGCAATTTATAGACAATATCCACCAGTTGACATCAAATGACTGTGTCCATAGTATATGATTTTGGTGTTTGGGGAAAAATTTTACTCCAAAATTTAGCTGGTAGGACAAAATTTGGCACATCTGTCCCCTCAATTTGAATAATATAAGTTTTCTAACCAATTTTAGGCACAAAAAGAGATGAAAAATGTTCTTACAATTCTTCAGCAGTTGAGGTGTGGTGCTCATTTTCCCTTGATATAACATTACTTGTTAAACTCTTCTAACAATGAAACAGCAATCCCAGCTCAGAATTTAAAGAATTTTAATACTTAAAAGATCTACAAAGAGGTTCTCTGGCTGTTGTAAATCTTAGGAAAATGATTTTGTTTCGAGAAGATAAACGCTTTTGCTATGAAACCAGGATGGTGTTGCAAATCAATTGGATGTCTCAAAATGGAAGACGTCGCTACTGCAATAGCGGACCAAAGAATGGAAAATTCTCATGTCGGCAGTAGTGCACGTGCAGCATCATAGCAATTATACATATCAAACATGTCAATGTGGTAAGCTCTGCAAAAAAATCTTGCATTTCTATCTAAAGAAGAAAATTTTTAATTCCACATTCCACTTCTATAGTCGCATCTGTAATTGATATAAAATTTTTGCACTTTATTTCTTAACTCCTAAAATTCATTAGAAAGAAAACATGTAATATGCATATTAAGGGTATTAGCAGTGTCAAATTTTGCTCCGGCAGTGAAATTTTGAAGTAAATACTTTTCCCAAAAATCAGAACTGTATACTCAGAACAGTATGTATACAAAATTTGGTTGAGATTTGCTCAACAGTTCTTCCTACAGAATGAAAAACGCCGACTTTCCCCAAGGTAAAAGGCTCTATCAAATTACTAAGAATTAGAACATTTTCAAATATTTTTAGAATATGTCAATTGTTCTTTTTCTTGCATTCCATTTTGGAACATATTAATGCTGTAGTTGTTTGCTTTTAGTACATTTTTTCCTCTTTTGTATCGATATTTTATCTGTTAAGGTTTTTTTTTTTTTTTTGTTAATATGAAAGAGAAGATCTATTGTCTCGTTATATTTTGTATTGTAAAATATAATAAGTAAATAAATTATCCTTAAAATGCATTCTATCAAATATATTATGGATGGAAAATGAAAGGACCTTCTTAATTTCAAAATCACTATTTGAATAGCAGCAGTAATGATTTGATCAATGCTTATGCAATATAAAAATATATTCCAAAATTATTATTCATAATTTTCATTGGAGTACTGTAAAAAGGTACTGAAACAATTGGGATACTTTTATTCTTATAAGATCAGCCACAACCAGCAGTTGCATGGTGCTGACATGGAACCAACTTACCTTTGCATTGGCCTTTGTTGCAACTACAGTATTGAATGTGTCATGGATACGACATATTCAATACTGTAGTACAATTCTTGAAAAGTGACACATTTTTACCTCAGTAAAATAGTAAATACAGGTAAACCTCGACTTACGCCGTTTCAAGTTACACAGTTCCCGATTATACGTAGTTTGTCAAGAAAGTATATGGAAAAATAAAAATCAAGTTTAAGTCATTTTATTCGACTTTACGTCTGTCCGCCACAAATATTGAAGTCGTAATATCACTAGAAAAGCGTTTAAAGCACATAAAATCATATTAAAATATATACATTTACAAGTATGTACTGTATTTACAGTACATGCATTCGTAAATTTAGATTACTTTTTTCTGTACTATATTAAAAACTAAAATTTATTTGTTTGTAAGCTTAAAATAGATCCTTATTAACCATATATTATTAAAAATGCATTAATAAATAAAATACAGAACCGGGAATGGTAATTTATGGTTTAGCCTAGTGACAAGTAGATTCGGAGACAAGTAAATTCGACTTACGTCCCTTTCCTGGAACCAATTACCGACGTAAGGCAAGATATACCTGTAACTGTAATTATTACATTTGGGTCACAATGTTTTCCAGCAGATTTCACTACACTCACCTAATGTTACTATATTTGGCTGTGAGTCCGCCTACCAAATTTTTTTGGATTACAGAAACGTATTATATAGAAACACCTAATGTTAATTTGATATCACAGCAATCTTTATCCTTGAAATATTGTTTTTCAAAGTCTCAATTGACCTGTGACATACTCTCTGATGGTCCAGAGATACCAAAAGATTCTCAACACTTATCCCTAACTGCAATCTTATTCTCTGGATTTTAATCCATGTGAGTTTTGGTTTTGGGGAGACTTGAAATGTATGGTTTATTGAGGATATGTTGCAAATTTGGCAGCCTTGAAAGACAATCACACTGCACCTGAGAAGCTTCACAAAGAATCAATTACAGTCGGCTATTGAACACCGGCTACTGAACGACAACTCTTATTTCCATGGATTTATAGCCCGATTATTTAAGGCAATTGTTTGTTTATATATATAGCTTTGGGATGTTTGATATATTTACAGAAATATCTTCCGAAACATTCCGAAATGCCACAATACCATATTTGGTTGCATTTTAATTGCTAAACCTGTCTTTAGATAGAAGCACTTTAATTTTGATCAAACTGTACATTATTAAATCAAAACAATGATATACAAATAAACAAACAAGTAAATAAGTAATACAGAAGTATATATGAATAAATAAGAAGATATTCAAATTTAAGTTAAAGAACAATGCCTTTTATATTCTTTATATTATTTTATATGCTTATTATATTATATTATACACTTGTTTTGTATGAATTGTAAGACAAAGTTCTCTTGAATCGGGAGAAAAATGTTTCTCATTCAATTAAAAGTTTGGCTTCCTGAAATAAGCATTTCAGTATGAATAAATAAGTACAGAATTATATTACAAGCTTTCGGCAGAATTAATTATAATATGCACCATTCTAATTAGAAAAGAAGTTTCTCACAAATATATTGATTTAAAAGTAAAACTTTAAATTATTTTCTATTTTGTTGACTGTACATTCATACAATAAAGTTAAATGAAGCATTTTCAATTAATTATATTTTAAAATTGTGGCTCCCTGAACTAAGCAGTTCTCATTTTGTTTGTTTATGTATTGGCAGAGAATCAATTTTCATCACTTTCTACAATATACGTTAAAAAGATTATAAGAATAAAACTTACGAGGTTCTTTGTAGGCAGTGATTATCAATTTAAACCCATTGCCAGGATAGGTCCAATTGTCAGTCACATATCGTAATGTTACAAAATTACCATGTGTAAAGATGATTCCTACATCAGACCTTGTACTGCGACACGAAAGGTCAACCTGTAACAAATTACCTAGTTATAATTAAACTGCCATAAAGAATTTATATTAAACATTTTTAATATTTTCTTTATTTACCATTAAATTTTATTAACTTCAATTATAGAAACAACTATTAATAAATTAATTTCAATTATTGCATTTAATTTTGTTTAATGTCATTTTCATTTCAAATAAATTTGTTGTATAATAAATTTTTATAAAACTTGGATTGCTTAATTAAAGGAATGAAATATTACTGCTAATAACTTATTTAAAGATGTCTATAAGTAATAAAATTATTACTTTAGAGATTCTAATTATAGTTCTGTTCCTCCAAATATATGTAATAAATTCCTATAATTTATTTGTATATAGTTGTAAGGAACGTTAAAACAAACCTTTAAGGTTGTTTTAACATTGAATTTTTTTTCTTTTGTTTGTTTATATACACACCCTCATCCTTCTTCACTTACCACCCTATAGCAGTTATGGTATGTAATTGGCCACCATAACAATGGCAGCATGGGTGTGTGTTGAATCATGTATAAGAGGAAATTAAGAGAAGACAAAGAGAGAACACTATTGTTATTCATTGGTATGGACTGTTTCTGCATAGATATAGAACCTGAAGATTGAAAGATTATAGGATTACGTTCAATCATTGTTACTTAATCGACTAATCCCTTGGTTCTCTCATTTAAAAAATTTTTATTTGGGGAACTACAGGGTCAACAAAGATTTCATTGTAATTTTATCAGTCTGACTTTCAACATGTAATTCAACATAAATTAATTTGAAATTTTGAAAAGAGCAGATTCCATATTATCAAGCAAAACCTTAATCTTTGATCTTACAAAAGAAAAAACACTGGCTAACAACTTGTAGCAGCTTTACAAGAACTAAGGAGGACAAAAGCAAAATGATTATTAGAGCAAGCTTCCATGTAGACACAAACTGTTATAGACCCAGTAACAATAATACAAATACCCACCAGATAGTCTAGAAAACAACACACAAAATATACTGACTGACCTTAACCCACAATTACATGCAGTTTTTCTCACATGATCACCTGTTTAAGTAGGTGATTTTCAACTGACTTTTCAGTGTAAGTATGCTGCACTTAATTACAGTCTGTCGAATTGGACAGTTCTGAAATATTCTTCAATGTCTCTTCTCTGTACATGCCAAATTTCAATGTCATATAGTGCTTAGTTTATGAAGTATTGTTTGTTTACAGAGCATGCCCTTGACCAGGCCCTCAAAGGGATCCCTTCAAACTTTGCAACAGCCTAGACTAATGTGCAATGAGTTCAGCTGAAAATAAATGACGGGAGGGCTGAGATGTTTCTCAGAAAGACCAAAAAATGATTTTATTGTATCTTTGGGCATGAATAAAGCCCCAAGAACATTTAAATTCTTAAAGGTTATAGTGTCCCAGAGTATCTTAAGGAGACAAGAATTCAAGACTGTACCAACTTGCAGATCACATGCATCATTATGTCATGCATAGCTGAAAAATATCTATGATATCATGCCTACCTTTTGTAGCAATCATGAGATACCTCCATAAAATCAGATTAACAAAAATGACATTAAAGTGGAAAAGCATTATCTTGTACATACTGGTAAGATCATGTACCAATAAAGATTGTATGCAACTACACACATAAGGTGGTGATTTTCCACAGTAGTTTTTGAAGGCATGTGATGATAATTTTTACAAAATTTTTACATGGATAGCATGAAGCATGAGTTAAGTCAATTTGTGCCTTGTGTGGGAGTTTACAGGACAAAGGCACTTGATGCAACAGCCTAAAGTAACTGACAATGGTTATATTGTAGTTAAATACACTTGGAAGAGGACATCAGACCAGAGAACCAGGTAGTGTTATTGGCAATGCATCCGCACGGCAAGCGGAAATTGCGGGTTCAAGTCCCAATCCGGGCCAATTCTTTTCTTCCAGAATATTTTTAAATTATTTAATTAAATTATAATTATTAAGTTTAATATGATATGGCACCTAAGACCTTCCTCTAGGACAAATTAATTAGCAATTAAAATTATAATTGCCAAAAAATATCCCAATCTTATATAACAGTTGGTGTGACTTTATCTATGGTACTGGCCTTGTTTGAACAAATTCATAATTAAATGCCAACTTTGATTTGTGAAGTTGCAATCATGTTGCAGAAAAATCTAGTCTATCATATTTTTTGCTTATCATCACACTCAATCAATAATGAGAGTGAAATCACATGTTAGATCATGTTATTACCACTCGAGAGAAACTATGTAAGTTTACATAGAATATATCCACGAACCAAAGAATTCAACTGTCATGAATCTTCCTCTATCCTCCTCAATTGGTTTCTTTTTCATATCCGGGTAGAATTAGACCCGAATGAAGGACGAGAAAGATCGAGCCTCAATGTTAACCCAACACTGCATCTCAGTCTCTGACCACATGATGTTTAAATGAACCTTGGAACTTTTGCTTGTATTTTGATGAGTCTTGTTTTCTTTCTTGTCTGTTAAGAATTTCTATTAGGTAGTTCACAGTATTTTTATTAAATGAAATATTTTATGGCATTTCGAGCTTGCCATTATTTTGTCATATTTATGAACACTGAAGCCAATGTTCGTCCTTCCAGTCCAACAAGTAAACTCAGGTCCTCTGAGTCTTACATCTATTATTTTTTTATCTTCGCATTGTGTTTACTTTACAAAATTTCTTTCCTGATTGGAAAGCTTTTAAACATAATTTAGTGAGGATTTGAACCTCATATGGAACCTCACATAAATCTCAGGAGTACATTTCCAATCTAGATCAACAATGTAACGTAATCAAAAAGTAGGAAGAAGAATAGCGTTAGGACTATCGAAAACCCTAAACTCAAGTTGTTGCATGATCACTTCAGCTAAAAAGCTGAAAGAGCGGCAATATCTATATTAAAGAAGATCTATATTATGACCTCGGGTGAGGCCATAAACACTTGTTCCCAAATTGAAACGTTACCGGAAATAAAGATTTGTCAAGTGTATTTATTACAGAAGAATGTAGCTACTTGTCGAGAGGATTGACAACTTTTTTATATCTTACATTTTGGACCACAAGGATGCAATATGTTATGATGTAAAGGCGCTTTGCCCAATAAGATTGTGCTATGTAAAAGATAATTAATTTGAACGTCTTATAAACCTTTCCGTTTTGTCAGATTTTGCTATCGGTAAGATGTATTGAGTTTATGCTGTCAGCAAAACTTATGTTTTTTTCTTTATTAATTTTGTATGTCTGTCCTATCAGCCTGCTTGAAAACACTTTCAAGAAAAATACTAACTTAACACTATGAAACTTCGAACAATTGTTGAAATTAAATGGAAGGTGCCTACTATTCCTAAAATAAAATAAAAGAGAAAGTTTGCATTTAACATACAGTAAGTTGCTTGGTGTAAATCTTCTTAAAAGATAAAATGGTTTTAAAAAATAACAACTTATTGTTTTAAAATTATTACATTATTTCACAATGAACAAGTTATTCATTACATACTTATAATTAAATTAACTATGTCATAGAAATTTATTTTTACAGTACATACCTTCTCTTAAGAAATTATCATAATTTTTGTCTCCGTTTTGTTTTGTGCTATTATCATTCAGTAAAGAATAAAACCTTTGACATATTCCAAAGTCCTCATCTTAAAGAAAAAGCCGATGGAAGAGGGGCGTACGCCCTAAATGCGTATCGGTTTGTAAGATATTCCCGAATAAAGAGTGATGTTAAAGACGCCCAGTGTCTACCTACGCACTCAGTTGTGAAGTAAAGAAGAATAAAATTTTTATTTCTGACCTTTCATTTCAAATTCTAGTTGATTCAAAGTCTTAAAAAATTAAATAAAAATGAACAAAAACTAATTAATAGTAATAGAAAAATTAAAAATAATTAATAAAAAAAATAAATTAAATGAAGGTTTTATATTTAATATAAATATAAAATTAAAATAAAAGATTTTATCAATAATTAAAAATATTTTTGAATAATGTACTAATCTTATTAAACTCAAGTATTAACTTAAAGAAACAAAAACTAAAAAAATCATAATATTCACATAACTTAAATAGAAAATACATTTATCTATTAACTCTTTTCCATTCTGTGGTCACTATGAAAGCCTTTTCTCATGCCCAATGTGGGTTCAGCCAAATACACATTGCAGCAACTAAATAGTGAGGTTGAGGTCGAAGTTTTAAATGCAAAAATGTGTATGTCGGACGTTCAGCGCCGCTTTCCTCTAAGCCAAGAAGTTTGACAATGGTGTTTGGATAGTCAGTGGAATCATGCTCTACATTCCAGACACCATTCTCAAACTTCCAGGCTTACAGGAAAGCAGAGCTGAACGTCCGACATACACATTTTTGCGTTTAAAACTTCGGCCTCAACCTCGCTAACAAAGAGCAGGATATAGCTTAGCTGAATACATCATCGTCAAAAAAAAAAAAAAAAAATCAAGCACAACTCAAATCTAGATTCTTTGAACTGGTAGACCTTTATTACTTTGTCGTTTGGTTAGAAATTTCGTCATTTATAAGAAACTTTTCAGTACTTGTATACAATAATTTATGAACTCTCTACATATAAATACAATTTCTGTACATATATTTTTGGTTTATAATTATTATTGATAATATTTGCTAATTCATATTTACAAATACAGTGGGTGATCGGTTAACGAACAGATCGGACAACGAACAAATCGGATAACAAACACTTTTGCGAAAGATTTTTATGTTCGGACAACGAACACATGATCAGATAACGAACATCCCACATAACAAACACAAGAAGAAGCGACGTAAAATAACGAATACCAATTGGACTTTCCTTGTCTTCGAGCAATAATTCGAAACTTTTCGGAGTGTGGGAGACGTCGACATCGACGCTCAAGCCGGTATATACCGATCGGATAGTATTCCTCCGAACTTTGAAACTCTCCCTTATAATTCCAGCCTTTTATT